GGTTTAGGGAAAGTTCATTTAATATGACAAGGGGGGGATGAAGATATTGAAACTTGAAGCTTGAAATTTTAGCAGCCCCCCTCGCTAGCGGTTCAATTGTTTAGGAGCCCCCTCCTTGGTAGTCGAAAAAATTTCCGAGCCCCCCCCCTCCTCCTTCAATTCCTTTGCTCCCCTGAAAAAAGATTGCTAGACTGTATTAAATATATTTACCGTTATTGTCTTCAATGGTTTATACTACGACAACCTTGAGATACAGTTGTGATACAATTTTCTAAAGCATTTTTGGGATGAACAAGAGTGTAATAATCACTGAGACTACATTTGTTATATCTGGAAACCACGTGATATAGCTGAGTTGCACAGGTCATTAAATTGTTGAGTTGAAAACCATCCGATCTGTATGATGATGTCATGTGTTGGTTTTGAAGTATACAAATTTTCGGAGCCCCCCCCTCCTAGCGCAACAATTTTTTCAGAGCCCCCATTTTCAGAGACCTTCGGGTGTCTAAAAATTTTCGGAGCCCCCCCTCAATATCTTCATCCCCGCCCCCCTTGTCATATTAAATGAACTTTCCCTTAGCATGCTCTGAAACTGTTTCAGTTTCAGTTTAGTTTCAATGTATTTTTTTTTTGCCCGAAAAAAAATACATATACATACAGACATTCAATATATTTCAAAAATGTTATTTAAAGATTAAAGAGACGTAAATTGCAAGTAAAAGAATTTTTAAAAAAATGTTCTGGCGAGGAAGCTCAAATGGAAACCTTGGGGCTTTTTATATGAGCTCCCAAACGGCAAAGTCATACTGAAATAGAATTAGAATAAAAAGAAAGCAAAACAAACCAGACAAAATGCAGCAAAAAACAAGTATTATTTACAAATGGTTAATCAACTAAGAAGAAATTTTTTTAATCAGAATTTAAAAAGAGAGATAGTAGCAGCAAAAAAGAACGTAGAGCATTTTTTTTCTCCTTAATTCTCATCTCGTTAGTATATGGTACAAACTGACCCAGACATAATTTAGTCCATGTTTTGAACATTTGTATAACTGTTAAGACTTCCTGGCTGCGATGAGACGATTAGTGGTACATTAATAAAAAGCCTTTTTTAATCAATTTGAATCTTTGTTCTACAGATGTATCGATCAAGACTCGGTTAATAAACATTGTTTCACTGATCATGACAGTTTAGCTCGTTTTCTAAAAACCAGACAATTGTGCTATTTGTTTTGCCAATTGCACGGCAGCAACAAGATTGCCAATGGCTCTGTCGTTTAATAAAATGAAAATACAACCCACATATCTAATTTGTTTTTAACATGATGAAGCTATCACATAAGGAAAACAGATATATTAAAAAAAGGTTCGCTTGAACGTAGTTGCTTCGGAGAAAAGTCATGGTAATGACAAACTACCAAGCTATTAGAGAACTGTATTGTTCTGCAAAATTCACTGGAGAGTCGAGGAGAGGTACATGGCGAGTTAATTTTTCTCTAAGACAAAAGAGGATAGCTAAATATGATGGTGAATGATGGTGCAAGTTCTATGTTAATATTTTGGGTTCACTATACTCAATCGAAATGAATGTCACCCTGGCGTTTTTAATTTAAATATTTCACGTTTCATATAACAGGTCCGAATTGGACGCGCCGGGAGATGATGTGAAGGGGGGAAATAAATTTAAAAAGCAATTTAAATGAAAAAAAAAAAAAAGATTAAATTATTGAGTAAGTATGAAAACAGTTTATAAATCTTTCCATCTTCGACTTTTCGCCTTCTTCTCTTCAATTGATGTGAAACAGCTCTAGCTCATAGTTCGAGGAGGCCTAACCTCTCATAAGCTCCTATAGTTTCTGTTAGGTCTCCTCGCCACTTCTTTTTTTTTTTTTTTCTTCTTCTTTTCCTATATTTTTTGTAATTAGTGTAGCAAATAAAATAAAATAAAAAAAATAAATAATAAATAAAAGATACAATCTTGACGTAGTGAAATAGCAATTTAAGCAATTGCAAATAAACCGCCCAAAACGTTAAAGTTATAGCCCACAAAGTTTGACATGTTTGGGGATATACTCGGTTAAGACTTCCTCTTCTAAAGAAAATGTGGCCAGTTTAGTGCTGGTATCCATGTGAACGTCAGTCAAAGTTGAACAAAAACGGCACAAGCAATTTGAAGCTACAAAATACAGAAACACTTTAATATAAGGCCCACCAGTAACAGGCTCGCCAATATATTCTCCCCTCTAACTTGCATTGAAATGAATTTGATTTATTATGATATTTTCAAGCTTTTACCAGTAACTGCAAAACATATTTAAATCAGCACTGCGTTAGCTTGTTTCGAAGAGCTTTTTCCAATTCCGTTATTATCGCCCTCGGATATAAGCCCCTCCGTTTAATTTATCAAGAGCCCTTCTAAAAACCCTTACAAAGATGTATAATCCCAGGGCTTTTAAGCGGCAGATTACGGCACCGCATATCATATGTTTGGCTCACAAACTTAACATTTTTACATTGTTACTGAGACCTCACTGCCTGCGATGACATTATGAGCGCGTCAGTTTAACTTCTAGCAATTGACGAAAACCGTTTTTTACTCAATTTGAATATATGCTTAACAGAAATATCGATCAAGACTTGGTTAATAGACTTTTATTACTAACAATTTAACTCGTTTTCTAAGAGCCAGGCGATTGTGCTATTTGCTCGCTGATCGCACGGCAACACAAAGGCAACACCAAGATTGTCGAATTCCATCGTTTAAGAGTGATTTTCTGTAAAATTCGAACTTCGGCCTGACACGGTACCTCATCGATTTGGCTGATTTTCGGCATATAGTCTTAGATGTGGTGTCCTAAATACTGAATGAATATTCTAAGGTTCGAATTCTCTTTGGTTTCAAAGATACAGGAATGACAGTTTTGACGAGGCCTCGAGGGGCCGCCATGTTGGTGAACTGAAGGAGATTTACAGTAATTAATTCTAGCCTTATCATTAAAATAACTTAATCGTGACTCATACAGTTTGAAAGAACTATCCTTCCTCTTTTCATTTACCTACTCTTATCTGAAAATGGTTAAGCCTGACCTAGAACGACTATAACTTCTCACAGCACTTTTTCGGTACTCAAAAGGTACACAAATTTGGTAGAAATTGGAAACTCAATATCACCCATGTCACATCGATTTAGACTAAGCAATTTTAACTAAACATAGTTTGTTTATAGATAAGTTAGACCGTTGAATAAAATAATTGGGCAAATGCAACGGGGCAGATATATAATTGCATGAATGCGCAATGGTTCAGCCACTTGGCCGCTAAAACTTCCAAACAAAATTCGGTGAATATTTGAAAAGAAAATTCTTTAAAAATTGATCGTGTCTCTTAAAGCCTATCTATCGCTTAAAAAACCCTCCCTTGTAATGTAAAAAGATGACCTTTTGATTCTTATCTTGCGAAGAGCTTGAAATATGCGCTAAAATGAAAATTATAAATTTTGTTACACACGGCACTAGCTCAAGTTGGGTGAGGACAAAACATGGACCAGGGGTCCATGGACTCCCTCTTTGGACCGGGTCCACGGACCACGTTCATGGACCGGGTCCATGGACCCCCTGTCATGGACCAGATCCATGGACAGTTTTTTTTATTTTTATAAGAATAAGGTTTTGCACCAGGTCCATGGACACTCAAAAACAGAAATAGTGCCCAAAAAGATTTCACGAGACGCTGTCGACCAATGCTCACGATTGATACAAATATTTAGTTGTGCTTACATGACGTACACTCTGCTTGCACAAGTGCGGTCGCAAGGCTGTTAAATTAAGCTAATTCAAAAGTTATCACCAAGAGAGGAATCACGCCCTCCAGTTTAAAGACTCGCATCACCCTTAGAAAAACAAGCTGAAGTTAAGAATTCATTGCTTTTAGAGCAATCATGACTGAGTCACATCGCAATTCTCCATAGCTGATGAAGCTTCAGTTTAAGCTACAATCCATGCCACAGTCTTCTTCTTCGAGATCTGGTTCTGTAAATCACTCAGTCCTTGAGAATTTATAATCGTCCTGCTAAAAGCGCTAAGGAGCTGGGCCCAGCGTGACAAAACATTGCAGGAAAAAGTGACATTCATGGACAAAAACAAAGTGGCTTAGAATTATTCAGATCCAGGATGCACTTTGGAGAAATTAAACAAACTAAAACCCTTTTAATCAGCCGCAATGAACAGCTTTACATTTTTAAAGAGGTAGAAAATCAATATGTGTGTCACGACCTCTCAGTATGAAATGCGCGGCAAAAATTTGCATTTGCTCAGTCAAAACGTTTTCCTCCGAAGCATAATCTACCCATCAGAGAAAACAATTCATTGGAACAAGCAGCATTTTGGCATGAGGTACCGACCCCCCTTTTTTTACACCATGTAAGCACAACTAAACATTACTGATCAATCGAGCATTGTTTGTTGTTGTTGTTGTTTTTTAACCTTATTTTTGTACTATTTCTGTTTTTGTTCATTTCTCGTCATTAAAAAAAACTGTCCATGGACCCGTCCATGACAGGGGGTCCATGGACCCGGTCCATGAAAGTGGTCCATGGACCCGGTCCAAAGTGGGGGTCCATGGACCCCTGGTCCATGTTTTGTCCTCACCCCAGATAAATGGCACTGACAAATTTGACTGAACGTGTAAACCAGAAAACAGTCGAAGAACGGTACTGTTCAGCAGAATTTACGCAAGGGATACATGGCGAGCTTATTTTTCTCTCTGTAGTGAACATCTGTTTGTCAATTTCTGCAGTTTTGGGGAATACTCTAATTCTAGTCGCACTGAACAAGGAAACTTCACTTCACCAAGCATCGAAACTCCTGTATTCCACCCTAGCGATAACTGATCTCGGTGTTGCTATCATTGTGGAGCCTTTAGCTGTGACTTATTGGACTTCTGTCGTGAACGAAAAATGGAACATTTGCTATTATACACATTTCGCAAGAGATATTTCTGCTTATGCTTTGTCTTCAGTATCCTTCTTTACACTGACTGCAATAAGTTTCGACAGACTTCTCGCATTGACACTGGGGCTTAGGTACAGACAAGTCGTAACTTTGAAAAGAACGCTTACAAGTGTACTTGTTTCTTGGGTTTTTTCTAGTATTGTGGCATCATCAATTTTCTTTGAAATTCAGATAATTTTATGGTTTGCCAAAGTAGGTTTCGCTCTAGGTATAGTCACAACAGTTTTCTCTTATACAAAAATTTTCTTCACACTCCGTCAAAACCAAATTCGTGCTCTACGGAGCGACATTTCTCGATGGCCAGCAACTCAAGCAATTCCACTGAACGTAGCGCGATACAAAAAGGCAGTGTACAGTGCACCGTGGGTGCAGCTAGCGTTGGTCATTTGTTATCTGCCGAATAATATAGTGGTAGCTCTAGAAATTCAAGGAGAAATACCTTTAGCAATTTACCTTACCAGACAATTTACTTTTACTTTAGTTAATTTAAACTCGTCATTAAACCCTCTGGTTTATTGTTGGAAGATCACAGAAGTGAGACAGGCCGTCAAAGAAACATTAAGGAATATTTTCTTTTGAATGAGTTGATTGACTCCACGCTGGAAGAGGTAGACAGACCTTATCATACATGCAAGAGAGAATCTCATTCTCTCTTGATACATGTATCTGATATGTCCATTTACAGCTAGGTTTCTTGATAACATATTTTTAACTATACATACTTAAGTTTAAAGAAATAGACTGGAAAGGCAATTAACTTGTTCTGCAATAGTTTTTAACCTTTCCCTAAGAAATATGCTGTACTGTCGCAATTTGTAATAATCATCGCACTTTGTAATACCTGTCGCAATTTGTAATAAATCCATCGCACTTTGTAATACCTGTCCTAATTTGTAATAAACCTTGTCGCACTTTGTAATAAAAAAGCTGTCCCAATTCTTAAAGACGGTCCATCGCACTTTGTAATAAACTAAGCTGTCGAAATTTGTAATAATTCCATCGCACTTTGTAATAATTTTTTGAGAGTGATTCGACTTGAGAGTGATTCAACATTAATATAATGCCAAAATATGTATGGTACTTCATAAATTAGGATGATGACGTCTGCTAGCACGTAACATCTCCGTATCATTTTCTTTGGTCAAACATGCATGTCTTCCGCTATAAATTTTTCTGCCTTGATTAATCACGAGACCAACTAGAATCGCTTTTATGAAAGACATGAAACTTCTTATGACATATCACCAAAAAGATATGACTCATGTTTAAATTTAAAATATTTAAATAACAAAAGCAACATTTAACAACAGAAAATCCATGAATAACCTGGCATTCGTCTACGAAATCCATGTTTGTTTGCTAAGTCTTCGGGGAGGGGGGGATAATCCCATATATGGATGGGCTAGATAGGTAAGTACCGCCTGATAGGGTATGGTTTTTGAGGATCTCGTGCCTTTAATAGGGTATTTTTTTTTTTACCTTGTTGGCCTTATGTCTTTGGTTTGATCCTTAGAAAGGGTAATTCAAGTAGTAATGGATGGTTTGTTCCATCCTTTCCATTTTGTGGGAAAAAAAAGTAATCCTGAACACGCTCGGAAGAATTGCAAGGTCTTACGAGTTGTATATACGTAGGGACGTAGAATTTTTTACTGTCGACCCCACGGTATTTGCTTTAGAGGACTCCGTATAAAAAAAAATTGTTTAAAGATGGAATGAGTACTCCTTTTGTTCCGATATGGGACCAAATCAAGCGAGAATAATGGACCAAATGGCCAGCCTGCTCAGTGTAAGACCAACTAAGTTTTATAAAAACAGATACATACGAAGATATTTCCCAGCGACTAATTGGATTTTGTGTTTATGTTTCTGTTGTGGTTCGACGGTTTGCCACTGCTGACGTTTTTTAGTTTATTTGCAGTAAACATTTTGAATCTTGAGGCCTCGTTCTACTTTAAGATTGCGTGTTAGACAAGGACGGTGCACCACGTGCTGTGTTGACCTGTTATAAGATCTAGCGGGACAGCTTGAGCTTTCCTGGTGTCCTTATTCGAATGACGTAGGATGGATGTTACGATTTGTGGAAATTAAATGCTTTTTAATAATGGCTCGTTTGTGTCCAGTGTGTTTAGATCCTGTACTCTGACAATGCTCTGTCCAGAGGCACATCCCGTATTGACCATATAAGGAAATACACCGGCCGGGTAACCATTGAATGCAAACCATCTACAGTAGAATAATAGCAAGGTTTAAGAATACAGCATTTCGTAACTCAGATAACTAATCAACATTAATTAAAAAAAAAAAAAATGTTTAGGACTGTGAATAAAGTCAAATGGTTTGAATGAACGGGGATGTTACGTGCTAGCAGACGTCATCATCTTTTATGAAGTACCACGCATATTTTGGCATTATATTAATGTTTACGAAGTAAGTTGAATCACTCTCAAATATTATTACAAAGTGCGTAGGAATTATTACAAATTGCGACAGCTTAGTTTATTACAAAGTGCGACACGGTTTATTACAAATTACGACAGGTATTACAAAGTGCGATGGATTTATTACAAATTGCGACCGGTATTACAAAGTGCGATGATTATTACAAATTGCGACAGTACATATGCCAGGATATTAAATTTAACAGTTCCCTAGCTTTCTTAGTAGTGGTGAAGAAACACCCACATTGGGTGCAAAAAGGTAAAAAAATGTTTCTTTTTCTTTTCACCGGTTTCTTTACTTTCCCGTCATTATTAGTCCAAATGGGAGGTTTTAATTACCTTCAAGTCGTATAACAGGTATTATAAAAACATGAATTTTAACAGCTCTATCATACTTTTCATCATTAATGTGGCTCTCAGCACTTGTCAGTAATGCTAAATCCTTTCTTCTCTTAAATTTTATGTTTTTTTACTTTTAGTAGCATTTTATTCGAAGTAAACCTTGCATTTTATGTAAAATAAAACAACCTTATCTTCCATCACCCCTTTAAGGGATGACTTCTTGTGTCATGACGAAGACAACAAAAATTAAAAACCTGTTGATGAAAGAGGATCTTATGAAGGGCAAGCTGACGTTATGCTATGAAATCATACCTCTTATCGATTATTACATAAAAATCAGAATGTATGACATGATTGATTGAACCACAGGAGAACTTACTCTTAAAGGAAAGTTTAGAGAAAATAACACAAGATAGAAAAAAATTACTGTGAAGGGTCCTCTTTTCCACAGTAACTAATTACAAAACACGGCAAGGTTTAATAATTGACGGCTGGAATGCATTAGGTGGCATTAACATCAATAACAGGTGTTTTTACTAACAGCATATACTCATAAACATGAAATCGTGCAATGCTAAACGGCGTCGGCAGTGAGAAAGGCAAAACAAAAAACATTAACTCTAATCAGCAAAAAAACAACTTTGCACCTGCAGCACACTTTTTTGTACATTTCTCTACCATTGTTGTCGCAACTTGAAATTTACTAGTTACACGTTTTATGGAGAAAATGTTGTATGTGCTCACAAAAAATTTTGTTGCTTGTGTTCCTGTTCGCTTTTTTTTTCTCACTGCCGCTCATTTTCATCTTGCTGGCCACTAGCATTTCTCATTTTTTCACCGCCGGTGTAAAATTTTCATGTTGTTGTTCTTCCAACGAAATTTGTCCCCTCTGATTTTTATCTCTCGCTTTAACTCTCTATCGCTCCGCTCTTTTTCTCCTTAAGCTTCGCTAGCCTGTCTTACTTTTTCGTTTTCTCTGTCTTTTTTTTTTTCTATTTTCCAAAATTGTGGAAATATATGATAACTAATCTAGGCTTAATACTTTAGACAACCCGACAAATTAAAAACAAAGTCCGCTTTACATTTTGTCTTTATTGACTCTTTAATTGTCTCTGGTTTACAAGACGCAGTTGACCAAGCGATTTCCTGCTAGGCTGAATTTCAGACGATTACTTCGAGTCGTTTTTACTCCCTATTGAAGTAACGTCTGAATCGACCAGCCGTAAATGGCGTTCAGTGACGTCACTACTCCGATGCTTTAATTCATGCAAAAAGTAAAACACGATTTTCAACTGGCAAACAAAGAAAAATCGTTTGGAAATGTCAAAACGCTGTTTTGTACGACTAAAACGTCACACTTCCTAGTTACACATTATTTTTAAGGAGGAATTGTCGTATGAGCTTACCCAATATTTTGTTTCCTGTGTTCATGTTCGCTGTTATTTTTCACTGCCGCTCATTTTCACATTGCTGGCCGCTAGCATTTCTCATTTCCTCACCGCCGCTTTAAATTTCCATGTTTTTCTTCCTACGAAATTCGTCTCCTTTGTTTTCAATAACTCGCTCTAGCTCTTTCTCTGTTATCCAAGTTAGTGTAAACACAAGAAATAACGCCGAAAAAGACACGACTTTGTTGTTGTCCGGGCGGCATTGTGATTTCTTTCCAAATAACACCTTGAGTTGCATTTGGGTTGCCATGCCTGTTGATTGAGTTATTTTACATTGGTATGCCTGTGGTGCCTACGGAAGGTCGCTCGCTCGGTGTACGGTCAAGTGATTACCAAATTTTCTCGGATGGGTAGATTACCACATTTCCTTAGCTATGGGGCTCCGCCCACGCGCGGTGCGAACGTGGAGCTCCGCTACAAATCGTGCCAAATGTTGACGAAGAAGTTTAAAAATCGTTGAATCCCAAAACGGAATTCTTTTAAGTGGCGTTGAAAATCAATTTCATCCTCGGAGACCCAGGCGCAGAGACTTTCCCTCGCCCTCAATATCTGCCCCTGGATCTCCCAGGATGGGTCAAATTTAAATGACCAAGTTTTTCGGCTGATACATCTCCGCCATTTTGGTTTCTTCTAGGACTTAGGACTTAATCGCGGCGAATGAGCATCTCGGAATGTGTTATCTCGCCGAGGCCGATTCCGCTGAGATCTCCGTAATTCTTTAGATGATACGACAACCGAATTCAATAATTGTTTTATCATTCATTCAAAATAATTCTTAGTTTAAAAACAAGCTAAAACACGCTTACCTCCGTCGATGTTAAGTTCGTCTTCAATTGCCTGTTTATCGGCACGTTTAGGAGATAAAGGTTGTTCAGTTCTGCAAATATTCTCCAAATAGCACATATCGTCCGTCGAGTTGTATTCTTGCTGTTCTTGCTATGCTTTTAGCCAATAGTTCGCTTGTTTCTTCCTCGCGAAACGAGTGAAAAGTTCCGCCATTTTGTACTCACTACCAAAACAACTCAACCTCGTCCCCAAGTCGTTTTGGTCAACTGTCCAGTTTTCTGGCAAGTATGCTGTAGAATTGACGTCATTTTTCACATATCGCAAACTTCTTCCAAATTTGGTCGACAGTAGCTGGTTATGATGAATTATCCGTGTGATTTTAGCCAATCAGAAACGGAGAAATATTCTGAATGAATAATAAACGATTTTATTTTTTGTTTGACTAAACGGCTCCTAGTATACTGACCCTTTTTAGTCCTGGCTAGATAAATATATTTCAAAATCGGCATACCTGATCAGTATTTATGTAATAATGACTAGGAGAAGAACTGAAGCGCACTGACCACATGAAGTCCTCCTTCAGAACGCCACATACATGTATTGCAATACCTTATCTTATAGGCCTTTCTCAAAAATACCATGATACTCTTTGTTGTCCATCCAAAAATTTGCATAAGCATTGTTTTCAATTTCTCTTGGGACTTTACAAGACTGTGTGAACCCTGGAACTGGGCACGAGACTGTCCCTTGATGCGACAGTACCAATGACAATAGGGAGGTACCTTGAAAAACAGACATAACAAAATGAAGCTTAAAGATTTTTTATTCTTGAGAAATTTCACGACTTACAGCTTAAATAAATTTTCAAGAGCTAGCGGGATTAGCTAATACCGCATCATAATCATCGAGTGAAACAGAACTGTCATGCGCACAGTAAAAGCAATAATATTCACGCTGCATTTACAGTGACACTTTGTCCAGAACCCAAGCCTCGTTCATTGAAGGTGTAAGTATTGCTGCCGTCCTTTATGGTGATCTAAAAAAATAATAAGATACTGCTGTAACTATAATAATACCTATATATCTAACTATTTCTCAGCCAGACACCTTTTGCACTTTACATTTGAGGCCTCAATAACTTTCGCTAGCTTTCCCACGCTTTAGAGCGGTGTTTAACTTTGAGAGCTAAGTCACAGAGGTATCCCCTTTAAAAGGGTGTACGCCACACAAAGGTGTCCACTGCTCACGCACAAGGATGTCCACATTACAGGGTTATTGGCCTTAGGAGTTGTTTACATGGAGGAAGGAAGATCCTAGAAGGCGGAACATGTTTGGAGTTCCAAATCGAAATAGGTGTTCCTAATTGATTCAGACGCCGAACTTTTCATGAACTTAATTCAATGTATTAGGTTCGGCTCATGAAAAGTTCGGCGTCTGAACCGGGCCTAAGTATCTCTTTGTGAAGGGCGGCGAACGGGAACATCCAGACGCTGAACACCGAGGACTTTTGGTCCTAAAATCTATCGGATATATTATTTTCCTCGAAGAACAAACAACAACACTCCAGGAACGACGTGGAAAATCTCAGAATTTTACAACATCTTGCTCTTTCACGTCACGTTCATGGCCTGGAGGTTTTCAGTTCAATGCTGGTATCCGTGACAGCGTAACCTAACGTTGCCTTTCACGGTATGGGACGAAACCGGGATAGAAGAATTGCTTTGTTAGAAGATCCCTTTTTTCAACCGACAACAAAAGCGCATCAGAGTTCCCATACACTTTTCTTATGCACATGCCGCACATGCCCAGCTACAAAGGCGAATCGCATTCTTTACCTTACTGAAGGTCCACCCTCCAAAATAGCCCCCATTCGAGTTTTCTTGTAATCTGATTTTCAGTTGACGAATGGTACCGACACTCTTGAAAGCCACCAAATAACGATCTGTCCTAAAAATAACGGAAAAGAAATCAAACCTTGCATGACGAAAGCACTGAAGTATTTCGAGTTTTGCCTCGATAGTATTATAATCTACGGTATAAAAGTAAAGGTTAAGATCCTTATCTTACGTCGGCGACTCGTAACATTATACATTAGACTGACAAACCTGAGCCCGATGGTGCTCTCATTTTACCCCCTCCCCCCACCTCTTTCTCCCTCTCTCTCCCTCTCTCTCTCCCTCCATCGGTGCTCCGTTTTACGGTATTCAAAGCTACTAAAAGCTACACGCAAAGGAAAGAAGTCAAAGCAAGGATTTGACGTCACACCTGGAAATCTCTATGGAAATCTCCCTCACAGCTCAGAAGGCCGCGCACCAACCTGCTGTGACGAGGGCAGTAAGGGCCGTATTTTATACTGAAGCGATGCAAAACATTTTTCACTTATAGCTAGTAAGTCAAGTAAACTACAAAATAAGGGGGTTTAATTTAAAACAATCTCAAAAACTAATTTATAATTCATAAAGAAAAAACAAAAGAATTTAATGTTTTATGGGTGTATTTATATCTAAACTTTACGTCCAATTTTTTAGACCATCATAACCACAACTCTAAATGTTAGTGCAAGAATGAGTTGATCTATATCAGAGATTTTGAAGCCGTTCAAAAAACTCGCATTCGTGCTCGTTTTTTACACAGTACTAAAACATTTTTATGAAACAGAATCCAAAGCAAACCTTGATCTACCAAAAAAGTGGGATTTTCTCGTCAACATTCTTTTTAAGGAATGTTGTTGTTGCTGTAGGTATTTAAAAATACCTACAGCAGTTATCTTAAAATTCTTGAAATACTAGCTCTCTTACCCCTGCCTGACATCTGCAACTAATTCCTTCAGAATTGCTGATTTCTTTCCAGTTTAACGTAAGTCAATAATACTTAAGCATTTTACTCCGCTTTTTACAGGTGTACTTTGATTGATAATGTATATTACCTTCAGTCTACCCAGAGCAGAACCTAGAGAATTCACAGCCTTCGTAATGAAAATTAACTTTCTTTCACACAGAAATAAAATTCCTTTGTCGCGTTTCACGTTGTAAGAGGTTTGCTCCAAGTGCAAATTATATCAGTAACGTAGACGGTAAAATAAAACTTAAAATTCCCCGTTGTTAGCATTCCTTAGTACTCACTGGTCAGATTCAAAGTCGTCATAGTAACCGCCTTTTCCGACACTACTCTCCCCAGACTTCCTTCCTCCATCACCAATGAGCTCCAGGTACAAGAAAGAGTTAGTCCCGTCAAACCATCCATCACCCGTCTGTACGGTCACCTCCATATCTTTATCTGAAAAACATCATCATACTGAGAAGCAGACACGCAAAGCGAAACTGTGTAATACTTGTAAATTCTCGAATGACCTGTGGCTTTGTCAATCCTGCTCACGAGAAGTCTTTCCTTTTTATGATTTGGATAATGATGAACTTTTGGAACTAATCTTCAATTTCACCACTGTGTCTGCCTCGTACACAGACGTCTCTCTCGCGCGTGCAAAGGAAGGCGGGAAGGAGACATCGGGCAAGAAGGCGCGTCGCCTGCTGTCTGTACCCTTCCCATGGTCCCTTGCAGCTCATCACCAGTCGATCGCCTCTACCTTGCGAAAAACGAAGCGCCTGAGGAGGAGGCTGCCACTGTGTCATTTACTCCTCTTCCATTGATCACGCTCGACTGGAGCTGTTCTTTGGAATAATATTGAAGAATCTCTTGAGTGTCTTACCCGTCGCAAGTTTAAATAGTCCTTAAAAAGGGCTATTTTCAGTTATTCCCATATTTCCTTTAGTTCCTCAACTTTTCAGTGATTCAAGTCTGTGCATGTGTTGATTTCCTCTTTTCTTTTCTTTGTTTGTTTTTACATTGGTTTATACTTGTGCCTTCATGAAACAACCCCCTTAATATTCTGAATCAATCTTCAATGCCTCCTCGCTAGATTAGTTTTAAGCTATTTTCTAAATGGTTTGTACCTTACATGAGTGGTATTTTTTTTTTTTTTAATGTCTCTTTTTTTGTGTGTGGTATAAATAAGGATCTTGTCTTGTCTTGTCTTGTCTTGTCTTTTCTAGCCAATCAAACCATATGATGTAGTTCCCTCCGTAGTCTGACATTCGAAGAGAGGGAATTTCCCGTAGGGCACATGTCACCCGTCTCCACCCCCTAACCGTTAGGGGCGCTGACATTCCAGACTATTTCCTCAGAATTCACTCCGGCCGGAGTCACGCGTGAACATTGCGTGCCTAGAGCGGCCGCAAAGGGGACTTATTGACAATTATTCCTCGCGCCCAAATCGGCTCTGAGTCAGCCGAATGGGCTATCGACTCAGAGGCCATGAGAGAGAGAGAAATAATTTTTTTAGTAAAATCCAACTAGTTGGTCAAAAATATCGAGACAAAACAACTTTAGTAGTTAAACGCAATATAGCCGCCATTGTTTTGTTTTTCAAAGCCGGCGCTTTTCGCTACTGTAGTAGTAGCTCGACCAATCAGAACGCAGCATTCATAATATACCACTGGTTGGATTTCACTAATAACCGATATTAGAGCTCAACGACATGACGAGAGTAAAAGTTAAAGGGGCTGTATCAGAGTGAGCTCAACTCATGGTTTCCACATCCAGAGGTTTCCGAAATTCCTTGACTTTTCTCTGACAAATGTAAAATTTCCCAGACCAACTGAGTCACGAATTTCACAAATTAGGTCTCCATAATGGGCTCAACCGTCCCCTCCTCTCCACCCACTTATTTATGCTTTTTCAAGTCACGTGCAATGTACATGATTTGATAGTTCCTGAATATAACATGTAAAAAAGGATTAACTTTTTTGAAAACCCAAAATCAATCTTTAAATATCCGAAACTATACTTAAGTATTCTCACGGACTCGTCCTTTGTCATACTTGAAACTCTACAACAAAAATCAAACAGTTCTATTAAAGGAAAAAAAACGGTCAGTTGTTGATTATACTCCTGTATCGTCGCGATCGAAAAATAAAGGCGGTCCCATTTTTTCAAGTAGCAATTCGTTTCCATCGTGTTCTTGAAAAGTTTGTCTCAAAAGACGTACACTAACCACTTATAAGAAGAAATACACTAGAGAATTTAAAAATAAAACTCTGCTAATATTTCGGGGTTTTCTCTGATTTCAATGAATTTTGTTGGTTTTAAAGTGATACCAAAAAATCGCGACCTAGCTCTTTGCTGTTCACTTTTTTGGCCAGTGTAGTTGCTTAAACTTGAGTAACGAGAGTTTAGAAACTTAAGAATATCCTACCGCGTTAAGAACAGCCTGGCCAACCACATTTTCTTCTGCGTTCTATTAGCTCGTGCTTTTCCAGCAAATTTAAAAGCCGTGCAATGGCTTGACAGGGGCTGCAGTATCGGTAAAAGGAAAAAAAAGAGAAACAGGGAGTAGAATGGTTCGTTTTACTTACATACATCCTTTCTTTCGTCGCAGTGGTAAAGTTTATTAATTTTCATGATGTCAGCAGCAGACATGGCATTTCGGTTTCCAAGTTCCATTTTTGGATTTGACCACGCTTCCATGGTAACCAGTTTAGGCGACTTCGCGAAGGCATGTCTGCTGTACTGCATAATAGAGTGAAGGTCATATTGAAAACCCAAGTTTTCCATCATGTCAGCACCGTACGTCTTCATAACGCCTTGCCTGTACGCTGTAATCAAAAGAAGTTATAACCATTTATTAATTATACATATGATCCCTTGTTGAGGGGTCTTTTTTTAAAGCCAAGATTCGGTACTGCGACGGTGATAGCAAAAGCTACTTTTTCACTGACGGGCGAAAAGTCGCCTAGTTACTTTTCATACGCCGATATATATCGCAAAAAAAGTAGCCCTTGCTCGCAGGTCTTTGGAGAATGAACACAAAATCAAATTGGTTTTATCGACTGTAAATATGTTGATTGAAAACAAGAAATGGTCAACTCAACACAGTTTAAAAGCTGACGGCTAGAAGGATAACCGTTCACTCCTTTAGCTCAAATTTGTCTAGAAAAAAAAACATGGGGTAATTTTGAAGGTGCAGTTGACTGAAACAGCTGGCTTGACTAATAAAAAGCCTGCTCAGCCTCTCCTTAGCTACATCCCTGCAGCCGTTAAATCCCTTGATTGTGGCCAAATTACCACGAGCCCATAACAAGGAGCGAACGTCAATTTTTGTTTTATATTATATTCTTTTTCTGACAACCCGCCTCGACTAGCTAAGGAGCTTGTTGATGTCTACTGTTTTTAAAGCCGCAATAAAGCTCTGCTGTTATTGTCGTCGTTTTCGTAACTATATAATAAGCGTTATTGTTTAGGATGCAGCACAAGACACCTCCAAATGTTGATTCTGTTGATGAGTTGTAGCAAAGGAGACTTAAACACTCAGGGTAATGGGTTACTGAGAAATAGGAAAATTGGTTACGTGGAAACAAATAGCCAGAGAAAACCGCTGACATTTTCGCGCCTCCTTAACTGTTTTCCTCGCGAAATGACGTCTGATGACGCGTCACTACCCAGATCTGCTTCGTGCCCCTGATTGGTTAAAGCAAATTTCACAAGCGCGACCAATCAGAAGCACTACCCAGATCTGTGTAGTGACGCGTCATCAGCATGGAATTTTTGCGCTCGTTTCTTAGACGTCATTTCGCGGGAAAACCACAGCTGGAGTCGCGAAATGTCGGCTGTTTTCTCAGGCTAGCAAACAAACCAGCGGCAATGTTTTGCTCGTAAATTCGTAGATAGGTATCTCGATCTGCTCTATTGTGCTCATGGTAGAATCCCAGCAAGTGAAGGAGCTCATGTAGAATTGTTCCTTTGTTCTCACAGCCCGTTCCAAGATAAACCACTTGTCTCCCTGTTTGTTTCCCAATAACCGATAAACAGCTGAAAACGGCGAGACAAAAATTGAACGGTGATCTTTGTTACAACTGTACATCATCAAAAAGGCATAATAACGGAGCATGTAAGAATTTAGGAGCTTCTAGGGAGCAGCTAAGCTTCTGTCGTTTCTTGATTTTTAGTGAGTCCCTCTAAGAGGAGAAGGTGGACGGGAGTACGCATTTTGCCTAGTCCAGGGCCCGCGAAGGGGGAGCGGCCAGGGGAGCCCTGGCCCCTCCACTTTTTGGCGTACTTTTTAGTGCTATTTGTTCAGCGCTTTTTGCGCTTTAACCTGTCGGCGATTTCATGGGTATTTTTTGCGTGAAAGTGAGTTACCAAACGAAATATTTAGCTGCTCAAGGCGATTTAAGTTTTCATCACATGCATCAAATGAAACCGCTGCATAAAGACTGGAAGATGCCATGACACTGAGAAACTCTCGTACCACTCCCTCTCCCCTTCCCACTTTCCCACGCACTTGAATTAAGCGGCCCCCGCACTTGAAAAACTGCTGCGCAGGCCTGATTTTCACCCCTCCCTCCCCTCCCCCTCTTCGTTTCACGTATTGGGGAAGAAGACATATCCAGGACGGTATTTTACTATTGTATTTACACTTTTCTCCGTCGCTGTCGCAGTTTCCAGCCATCTTTGTGTCCTTTCTCGCCACCTCATCTGTCTTATATCGCTGTTCCAAGGCCATGACGCTTGCGTCTTTAGTGTCTTATGACTGCTTGCAATGCCGCTTATATCGTATGCACTTTAAGTGTTATTAACAAAAGATGGTAACATGATGATTCTAGACGCGCGCCACTCCCTTGGGTCGTTCACTTCCAGTTTTACTCACAATCGATAGAAAGACAGCAAATATAAACTGTAAGTACTGTATTTTAAGTGCGGAGCCGAAAGGGACAGTGATTCTCTAATTTACTAATTAGCAAAGGCGTTTTTGAGCGAAGCACGTCAATAGGAAGTCAGCCGTTTTACCTTTTAATTAGACTGCGAGCAGTCTCTCTTTTTCTTCAGATTTAGTAAGGGGAGTGCAGGTGCGCGCGAGCGTTGAATAGGGAGCTTAAGCAACAACGTTTTTGAGCGACGCACGTCAACCGGAAGTGGCCTTTTTTCATTTTTTGACGGTGGTTTCGCGCAAATTTTCAGTCAAATCGCCTCTATAACAGTAAAGAAACTAAGGAATACAAATTTTATGTCATCAAGGCATGTTAAGAGGGAAAATACCTCACTTCCGGTTGACGTGCGTCGCTCAAAAACGTTGCTGCTTAAGCTCCCTATTGGCGAAGCCGCGAAACGCGAGAAACGAGGGTCTCGCCCCTTCAGTCACGCGCGTGGTCATTTGCGTGTCTCAGGCGTTTTGCTCAACGGACCAAGAAAAAGAGAGACTGGTCGTAGTCTACCTTTTAATATGCCACAACGCTTTTAATGCTAAGTGTCTTGTCTTCAGTCTTATAGAATGAGTCACCCGAAAATTTGGGTAAAACTACCGCCCAAAAACGCAAAACGTCCACGTGTGTCGCTTAAAATTTCTTTGCTTAACGCACTATTGTTTCTCCTGTTCGACCACTCGCGCTTCCCTCGTTACTTACGCGGAGCCAAGTTCAAAACTAACAAAGTCCGCCTCTCCACTCCAAGGACGAAAGCGCACACAGGTTGCTTCGTGTAAGTCCTGAATGGCGCGCTCCAACTCTTTTGCTGCTTGATCGCCCAGACCTGTGATTAACGTAATGTTTTTCAGAATACGGGTGTCGGGTTGAATGACTATCGGGTGAGTAATGACTGATTGACTGACTGAATGACTGAGTAACTCAAAGATTGGCTATCACTGAAGTGGCTATTAAACAGATAGCTGATGAATCACGAGTTAGTTGACTGGACGACGGACTGGTCGCTTGGCTAGCTAATGCACGAACTGGCTAATAAAAGACTACGTTACCGTCGTAGACTGACTGACTGTTGCGAATTTACAGCTCCACTCTGATCATGCAACTCGCTGAGCACTGAATACATGCGTTTGAGTGATTGACTGACAGAATGACTGACGGACTAGCGGAATGGATGGTTGACTATCTGACAAAGTGACCGACTCACTCACACACTGACTGACGGACTGAGTAGAAAACTAAGCTGACTAGCAGACAGGAAAACAGACAGACACTGATTGACTGACTGACAGACAAACTGACTCTTAAAGTGTGTCAAACCACCTACAAACGGATTGACTGACTAAATAGACCAATCAGGGGGACGAATAAATGACGGAAGGAAGAAAAGACGGAAGGGAGGAAAGAATGAATGAAGTGTAAATTGTATTTCACCTTGAGCGCTGAAAAATTCTCACGGTGACCTCATAGTTGGGTTTGAACGCTGGCAGATCTAATCTAGAGGTCGTCAGTTTAATCCTCACGGAGTTTAAACATATTGTTTTGATTCCTGGTTTACTTCACTTGCAGAATTTATCCCTGTTTACTCCAAGTACAATTCACATTTCATTTCACTCCACACGTGTGCTACGCCACATACAAACTTTGGTGAGTGGATGAACGAATTGCAGACAGTCTGAGTGAATAACTGACTAACTGACTAAAACACAGAGTTACCACGTGATCCACTGACTGACGGACAGACTAACTAACTAACTAACTATTATCCACATACCTCCACTCACAATGTATGGGATCTTGATGATAGTTTTTCCACCTTCTACAGAGGCTGGCCACCTTAACTTGGACGAACGTACCGCGCCTCTTTTTACATTAACGCTACTGACACCAAGTAAACGTTCTGAAGAAAGAATGAAAGTACATTCAAACTCAAAACTCTCAACAAGGGCCACCTTGGGAACAGAAGAAATTAGCCGTTATAAAGTGGTGGCAGTTTTAGAGAGGTTACACAAAAGTGATTGCGTGGATTATTTGTCTGCCGGAACAAAAACAGTGGCCACTGCAGAGAGGTGGCCGTTATGGAGAGGTGGCAGTTATGGAGTAGGCTACGAGCAGTCTCTTTTTTTTCTTAGTCTGTCGAACGAAACGCGCGAGACAGCAAAATGATCACGCCTGTGACTGAAGGCGTTTTCGACGTTCGCGCGCGCGTGTATTCCCCTAACAAAATCTGAAGAAATCGCAGTCTAGTTGTGGAGAGGTAACCGTTAGTGGGGGTTCGACTGTAATATGAGGACCGTCCCGGAGAGGCGGAGCCGAAACGGAGAATGGGACATTAGCCATCCCCCCAAATTTCAACATAAAAATGAATATGAAAATAACTGTTACTGTTATTGGAACCTGATATCTGGGCTTTTTGACTTGCCCTTTTGTAAATGGTGTTGTCTGGATTCTTGGATATTTTTGGAACAAATATCTCGAAGAGAATGCCGAGGCCTTTAAGGTCCACAAGATTTCAATGCCCTGAGTTGCCCCTAAAGGATCACGTGTCTGGCGATCGCTTCCAAGCTGCAAAGTACGTCGCGCCCGTTTTCTCTTCCACCTTCCTTCGCGCGAAAATTTTATATCGCAAGAGAAACGTTTGGGAACGAGGCAGCCAGGGGAATTGATTTTTGCAGGATAAATCATCGCAAAGTTTAAGAGAAGAACGAGACATGCTTTGGTTACGAACACTTACCGAAACAGAAGATTTGAATTTTCTGTTTATGATTGGCAGAAAATATCTTTTGCCCTTCAGAAGCAAATTAGCAGCCGTAGTCTCCAAGGATGTGGTCACGAGTGTAAGTTACACTGCGAAGGGCCATGAGTTGTAGAGGAAACTAACAATCAATCATGGATCTTGATTATTACCACGTGATCACAAAAAGCTCGTGCTTAGACTACTCGACGTTTTTTGAGGAAAGCACTTTCCACGACGCAAGGAGACTCAAGGAAGTTCGGTTGGCCGAAACAGCACCGGAAGCCTTACAGACAGAAAAAGAATTACAAAACCCTCTAGCAATTTTTTGCCGCAAGAAGTAGATAATTGTTTCGTACAAGTAGCCATCACCAACAGAAAGCAATTGATATAGATACTTTTCTGATTAAAGCAGAAAAAGGTGATCAACGGTGCTCGGTGCCAAGCTTTACTTGCTGACTTAAAAGCACATCCCATCTTATACCATGTAATTTTTCCTGATCTTACGTTTTCCTTTTAAAGGTGTATTTTCTTAGCTTTAGATTTTCTCACGTTTTAATGTATATGTATATATATGTATAAAGTTTACTACGCATGAGTTTATACCAGCAATTCTTTGTGTAGCTAATTCAGTCCTCTTTCTGCTGCTTGATTGGCTGATGTCTTCTCCTTTATATTAATCACATCGGCATTGTGTTTGTTGACACCCTTGCAACAGATGTTAATCACCATAAAAAAAAATGCTCTTATTCAAACGTTTGATCAGGACAATATTCATGCTTGGAATTCCCTGCAGCCAAAGTGCTGTCGTCGTCGTCGTCGGCATCATCATCATCATCGTCATCGTCATCATCATCATTGATTATTAATATTATTATTATTATTATTATCTGAGGGAGCTAATTCGATCACGAGTGATGGAACAGAAGAAGAACTGACAGTCAAACACCCATCAAAAGTGGGGGGAGGTGGAGTACTGTTTACAAAGACTTATAAAGCAATCGTGGTAAGTCTTTGACTGCTGTCTTTGTGATCTAGCATTTCAAAGATAGGAACTCGGATTAAAGGATACAAAAGCTAGGGAGGTTAGGTCGACCTTTTTTCCTTTCGGCCTGAATCCCTCACAACCCTCTTGCATCTGTTAGTATCCAAAATCAATTTCTAAAAAAAATCTAACTTTAAATCAATCGGATGAAAACTGTTCGAAGAACATCTTCCTGTTCGATATTTAAGTTAACGCAGTAAATCCAAAGACGAATAAATGTTGCATTATATTTCGATTTAATTTAACATTGTTCTTGAGACATCATTCATTAGGTCCATTGGTCCCAATTAACAGAGTTGGGGATCAAACTTGTTTTGCTTGGCTGATGGAATAAAGCCTATTGTTGTAGGACTGTATATTTAGCTCAACAAGTTTGTGAAACTTTTTTCTATATACTTTTGAAAATGGTTTTGCATGAATTGAACCGAAATATCAGTGTGTATTCTCTTTAAATTCGTTGGGTTACTTTTATACTAAGAAACGTGTTCTTCGGAGTTGTTTTCATCCTGAAATTTCTTCACTTTTCGGACGAAATGGTTAATGGAAATGGTTAATGTCAGCGACAAAGTGGAAACAAATCGGTACCGAGCCAAAGTGCTCCTGAAAAGGTTTAATGTAAATAGTCATACCATAATGTTTCATCCATACGAACAAAGGGTAGCAATACATTGAGAAAGGTTTAGAATTGACTGTGAAATTGAAACGACTTATGATCATTGCTTGCAGCGACCACCGTTAATTTTCGCTACACTTTTTATTGAAAGGAAAGGAGTAGGTAATTTATTTGACATGCATTCGGGAAGTGAGTTCTACAATGTAAGGCTCTCTTAAATGGAATAGCAAAAGTTTTCATCTTCCATGACTGAGGTATTAAGAATTGATTAACGTCGACTACGGACAGATGAGCTCTGACAAAACATTCAAAATAGAACTGACATCGTTCACCAAAAATACACTGCAGCGCCGCGAAGGGCGTAGCTATGTAAGTAGAATACATTGTCTAACAATAGAAATACCAAAAATCAGCAAAGTTCAATATGGTTAGTGAAAAATGCCATCTTTTTTGCTCTACAAAGTGATTCGTAGACAAAGCAATACTCCCAGTCTATGACAACCTTACCTGATTTCTGTTTTGTTGCTAACTCATCCGTAGCAAAAGAGAACGCAAACGAAATCATGAAAATTATGTTCAACAGCGACATGATTACGTTGATCGCTTTTCACGGGTACAAAGGCACGCTTCCATGTAAACAGTTATTTAAAACTTCATCCAGAGAGAACAACACCTCAGCAGAGTGTATTCAAAATCCGGAGCCTTAACGACGACAGTTGTTCTAATTTGAATACAGTTATTAGAAACTGGTGTTAACAATGCAGGCATGTCCTAAAGTAGATTTCTAAAAGTCCCATACACAGATTCAAATATTGAGGCGTAGGTTTTGTAAAAGAGAATTTAGAGATTTTTCGGGTTGGCCAGATATTTTAACTCCCTTTTAAAATAAAAGATGTAAATGTAACATTTCCAGGAAATAAATGTATACGTTTTTCTATCGACAGTGTTAAAAAAGGTGATAAGTTTATGGAAACGTACATTGTCAAAAAATCTTAGTCTTAATTGACTTTTTTTTCCACTCTAAATTGCAGAACCAGCGGTCCAATTAAGATCAATGGTGAACAAAGTGAAAAATGAGTCAGAAAAAAAAAATAAATAAAAAGTGGTACATCAGAGTTTGTTTGGTTAGCGGCCCCTCGTTCCATCCAGGAAAATAAACAAAAAATTATCTTTCATATTTCCTGCTTTTATTGCAGGCTTTGTGATACAGAATTCTCCGTAATTATCCTTTTCACTTTGTTTCCAAGGAGATTTTTTTATCCCAATCATACTAGCATAAATAGTGACCTTTTAGAAATTTATTCAAATAGCTGCTTATGACTGGTTAATTGAACTTCACCTACTTTGATCCCAAATTATTCGTAGACTGTAATGATTTCCGAACGTTATCATATACACCCGGGGGGTACTCAACAAAGTTTTATACGGGGAGGCTCTGCACCGAGGTGCAACCCCTTACCCTTTTATATACCATTTTTCGCAGAAAATGTAACCCTTTCGTATGCCCTCTAATTGAAAATGGTACCCCTTTCACATTCTTAGTTTAAAACTTTGCACCCCATTTACTACTGTAACTGCACTCTCTTTAGGAATGGATAAACCTCAAACTAGAACATTTTGTCGATATTTTCACAGAAAAAAGTGCATGTGTTAGTCCTTCTGGGCCTTTTTACTGACCAAAATGACAGATTTCCCTACCCTTTCATATACTTTAACTAGTGATCCATACCTTTTCATATACCTGAAGCCTGAAAAAGGTACCCCATACGGACAGAGCCTCCCCGTATAGGCCATTATACGGATTACCCCCCCTCCCGGGTTTATAAAGCTATTACAACAATCAACGCTCTCGAAGGCCTCAAGCCTGCGCGACAAGACCGCAAAGTCATGTGCGTAGATGTATATCCCTTGATCCTTTCCCACAGAATGAGCCTCCTAGACATATTTCATTCTGACCACCATATTTTGATTATCGGTTTGGAGTTCACCTAAGAACTCAAAAGTTGCCAAACATGTGTTCGCAGCCAGTTTGCACAAGGTGTGAATAAAAAAAACTATTTTGATTGTTGTAAGACCTCAACAGACTGGTTATTTAAACGCATACATAGAAAATGAGGTGCCGCGTCAAAGTGTAAGACAAATGACGGAACAGACAATTAACTCTGGAGAGAAATTCAAGTGCGAAAAATAACCCATCTATTTATACGGACTTTGTTTCACCTAGCGATGACGAGATCACGATTATTCACTCTCACCTTTTAATCTAACTGAGAGGGCGAAATCCTATGATGTTGCTATTCAAATAAAACCTCTTGGATCAAACGTTTAAATGGCACTTATGAAGACTATGAAACCTTGGGATTCCCCAAAACTAAATTTGGATAAGTCATTTGTGAATTAATTGTTTTTACTTTGCCCACTATTAGAGACAATGACTTGATCTTCAGGCCCCGGTTGTTCTAAAGATGAATAGCGCTTTCTACCGGATAAATCACTATCCAGTGGATAAGTATTGGGAAACCAATTGCGCTATCCGGTGGATAGAGATTTATCCGATGAATAGCGTTATCCACGTTTTGAACAACTGGGTTCAGGTCTGTTTATTTGTAGGTTATTATTTGAGTAGACAAACAAAGCTTTCTATACCTGACGCTGTACAAGCCCTTCCACACATTAAACCATATGAAGATTTAAGAGAAGGCTAAATTGAATCTGAAAACAATTTTTTTGAGATGGGGGAGTTTTTCATTTCGGTATCTTTTTGGGGAAGGAAATTTTGGTAAGTATTTTCTTGAGTGCTTTAATAAAAGTAGGGATTTCTTAAGGTAGTCAAAATAATCTGAAGATTTATTTTGGAATTTTTTCCATTTTCCAATCATTTCACCCGTTGAAGGCCGCGGTTCAGGCGGCCGAAAGCTCGCACTTTTTAAAACATTTTTAGACAGACATGATCAATCCTGGTTGCGGTCCCCTTATTTTTCATTTAGCCAAACAAATGTTTCAAATGACCGACTCGACAAGTCTTTTTTTTCATTAAGAGTTAAAAGGTTTCTTGTTTTACTTTTCGTTTGTGGTTTTATCCCTATGATCTCTATGGATAAAAGGTGGTCACAATTGACAATCCGTCGATTATTAATCCTAACGTTTTTCTTTTTGCTGGCTTGTACGTGACGTCACGGCAGCCATGTCGGTGATCGAAAACAAAAGCATTTCTCTTACTGGGAACAAAACTATATTTTCGAGAAAATTTTCGACAAAAAAAATTATCGTATTGACCACAAAAATGGCCGCCTTGCTACGTACTCTTGCGAACCAAGAATTCACAATACAGTGGAACCCGGCTACAACCCCCCGTTATAAAGGTAAACATCTGAAAGCCTGGCAGAATTACAGTAAAATATGTGGAAACGAACCCCGCTATAACGAATATATTTTGACGGTCCCAACGCACAATGTACCCCGCTGTAACGAATATTTTGTCCGGTCGCTCGCAGCAGTCAGGGTAAAACTGAACGACAAAGTGTTTTTGAATTAGATGTCTTGATTGTCAGCGCTTTACACTTACAGTTTACAGTATCAAATGAATAAAAATAATGTTTCGTACGTGCAGTATTGAAGTTTTCGTAATTGTTATTTATTAAATTACCCGGCTATAACGAATATTTTTGCTGTTAACCAGATAATTCGTCATAACGGGATCTTCGCTATAACGAATTATTATTTCCGTACTGTGGCACTTCGTTATAGCGGGGTTCCACTGTAGTCGCGAATTCCCTGAGGACGAGGCTGAGTCTATTCATGGATGCCCTCTAACAGGTAACACCAGCTAAGACAGAATTGACAAATCAGGGTTTCCTTTTGACTGGTACCGGGACTGGCTAAGAAAACCAATAGCTTACGCTGAAGCACTCGTTAAAATCAGCCATGTACAGGGACTTATTGTCGACTCGTTTGCTTGAACAAAGATGAAATAACATGGCGTTTGTGGTAAATTTAATGAAATGACACCACGGCTTCATGCTTAGAAGAATTCGACGACGCGTTGGCAGGCTCTTTCCTCGCCGGTGGCTTTTGGTCGTCGGCTCTCTTTTAATATCTGTTTTGATACTTGAACGAGTTAAACAGAGTAATTTTCACATTGAGATATTTACGGCGATAGTAGATCTAAAAGAAACGGAAGCGACAGGGAAAATTATGCCTCATCTTTTAGCAGCCAAAGTCGAGGCAGAGAGGGACTGGAAAGGAGCTAGTAGTGATAGACAGCAGCTCTCAGGTCTCCATGGCAACGATGTTACTCGTTTGGCCGAAAATAATGTAATGAACGATGTTATTGATCAAGAGGAAGACTTTGCTAGTGGCAAAGGCGTCAACGTCCACATCTGGAGAGGGTTATGCTGTCCGAAAGTCAACAGTTTAAGACAATACCCACTGTTTCCATTACTACCAAAAGAGCGTTTGTCACGTGACTCTATCAACTCCGGTCCGATGGGGAACTGGTATGGACAGAGAATCATGGGATATATTCATCCTCCAATCACAGGAAGTTATACATTTTACTTCCATGCGCATGTTTATGCCGAGTTCTGGCTCAGTGAGGAAAAAAACAGCACAGAGGTTGCACTAATAGCGAAAGTTGCAAAGGAAAATCACAATTTCTTAGGGAAATCTGTAGGACGAATCTCAAGACAAATTCACCTCAAGAAAGGCGGTAAATATTTCTTTGATGTTCTTCATGTGATGAACGGTGGAATGATGCGTCGTGATCACGTGAACCTTACGTGGAAAATTTCGGGAAGGGAGCACTTTAGTGAAATCCCTAAAATGTTTCTCTCGCCACTACTAAATGAGAAGTTTCCATATCCAATCCATGAATTACCAAGACGAGAAAATTATTTACTTCGACAAGCTAACAGTATCATCAACACAGACGATAACGATGCAGATGCTGGCGAAGATGATGAAGATTACATAGGAATGGAAATTCCAAGTAAAAAAACCCGACTTTCAGAAGAATTTTCATTGTTTTTTGGAGATGATTTTGACGTCCAAAATAAATATGACAAGGCAATTTTCAAACAACTTCCAGATGTATCCGATGGTTTGTTGTCAGTTTTGCCGAGTTGTTCTTATGATCCAGCGTACACCAAGAAACGGAAGTTCAAGCAATTTGAAGGGATTTGGCAAACACATTTTAGTTCTGTGTTTCCAGATGACGGAACAAAAGAATTCATTTGTATTGGATACAAACAGAAGAAAGATTGCCAGGGAAATGATGTTTTAAACCAGGATGAAGTACTCACACTACTACAGATGCTTACAAGGAAAATTGACGAGATGTACCCAGGGTATGGTTGTGCTTTTTTCTGGTCATCCAAACCCATTCACTCCTAGTTTTTTCGTTATTCATAGACTTAATCGTCAACACAACCGTATATTGTAAACAAAATGGTCTACGAAGAGGACTAATGCTACTTTCACACGGCACAGGAAACCGCACATCTACCCCTCTCCTAAGCCAACATTTTGCCCTAAGTGAGAAGTAAGTGTTAATGTTGGCTTAAGGGAGGAGTAGGTGGGCAGTTTCCCAGAAATGTATAATGATCCGAAAATTCGAGGTTTTAGGTGTTCAGTTCATAAGGACCCACCTTAACCGTACGAAAATCTAGAAGCCTAGCTGTTCAAGGTTACGAGTGAACAGAGCGAAAATATCGATCGGTCCTGTGTGAACCAGCTATCCAGTCAAATTGTTCAGTAGCTCGCCCTGTGCTTATAACTGGATAGTGTATGCTAAGAGCTAGCCTGATCCAAGCACTCAGATAATGGGAACGGCGCAACAACTTTTCCTATCGTAAACGATCGCTCTCATTTTTTAGACACTGAAAATTTTTGACCTGTTATTAAGAGTTTTTCTATTACAAAGAAAGAAGACCGCAACCCAAGATCAAACCCAGACCTCGAACCTGGACATTTCGTATCCTAATCTCTCTCCCATACCACTATACTATCACACCCACCCGCCAAATTTCCGAAAAATTTAAGCACATAAACTAGCCAACTTTCTTTCTCAACTGATACAAAAACAGGTGACCCTAGCCCATAGCTTTGAACATAAATTCAACTTGGGCTTCAACGTCGTTCTTTCTAAGACTATTTAAAAACGTATTATTTGCCTAATTGTATGAATTTAATCCAAGGAATATATTACATCTATCATGACTAAGAGCTTGGTAACCAATGATGGCATCCACCATTAAAAATGGCAACGACCGTTTAGGAAAGGGAAATATGAGACGGAGCATCTCCAATATTTGAACTACGCCAGAAACAGGTTAACACAGAATCATCTCAGTGCTTGGCCATTGTGACTGTACTCGTTTTTAACACATCAAAAAATTCAGACAATTTGCCACACTTTATTTAAAACTTGAATTTAAGTCATCAACCTTCGTTTTCAGAAACTACGCCTTAAAAAGCATCGTCAACATCGAAAAGAACCATGATATCATCCGAGGAAACCGATATCTTCTGGAGCTTGTGTTTCAAGATCATACTAAGAACAAGGCTAACGTGCGGATGGCAGATTTCGTGTACAAATTCCACAATAGCTCAAACCTCTGTAGGCCAAACAGGATCACGTGGCAAAGAAAGGTGACAGTGAATGTCATTTTAACCGTGAAGAACCAAGGTAGTTGGGCGCAACACTTTATCAATGAAATATCCTGGATCTGCCGTGAGACAGGTGATGATCAAGTGAACATTATCGTCGTCGACTACGGCAGTCCGGACGTGGATATTGAAAAGGCTTTGAAAAGGTATGTGAAGATAGCCTAATTGGTGAATCACAGTCAAACCTAACCTCTTATTTATAACGAATTCTTAGGACTTCGCAAGGAAAGGATGCTTCTAGAGTAAAGAGTACAACAGGGACTCCTCAACAATGGCATTAAGCGGTAAAGAGTCAAACAAATTGAGATCTCGTATTTTAAAATTGCCCCTTTTTTGCCCCAGTAAAAGAGGCAAAATGTGTTGCAATGTTGGACAGAAGTTCTTGAAACGAAACGCCATGAATTATGTGCCTTGCAATTAAAGTTTGGAAAAGGGATTTGATCCTATCAAAAATGTTACTGCCCCCCTTCCATCCCAGCCCAATACAATGTTGACACTCTGAAGAATTTGGGCTACGCGATATCAACACTGTAGGTGGAGGGAGGGGGGTAGCCTAGGACTAGGCTCCGTTTTGGGGAAAAAGGGCGAATAACGCAGTGACGGCGCAAAAAAAGAGGCGAACAGAGCGGGGAATTGCTCTTCGATTTTTGGCACCCAGTTTATATTCGCCTTTTCCCCTCAAAGGGGCCTGGTCTCAGGATAACGGGGTGGGAGGAGAGGATGAGTGAAGGGTTCCAATTGCAAGATTGCTGTCTAAAATTGTGGTCCTTTGCGTCGTTTATCCCCTTCCTCCTACCCCACTCCTTGTGTGTGTTTTAAAAGTTCGGCGAACGACTCTCAGGTTTTTTATGAGAAGGTTATGAAAATTAACAAAATGATCTTCAAAGGGAAAATTGAAAAAAAAAAACATTCGCAGGTACCATTTTGGTACAATTGGAATAATGGAATGATAACAAAGACACAAGTTAACAGCAGTCTTAGTTTGGCTACAGAGACCTTCAGTTCAGACGTCTGAAAAGTTAACCACTTTACCCTCACAATCATCCCACATATAGTTCCGTTCTGACAGGCCTTAATCAGTCAAATAATACCTTCCTTAATATGTCATAATTAACCGAGAATTTAAGCTCATCTTTGTTGTCTTACCTTTTCATAGAAGTTTTCTGGGCAGCTACAGAGTTTTGAAGCGATCCGGAGCATTTCATAAGACCGAAGCAATCCAGTCAGCAGTCAACACCATCAGCGATCCACACAGCATTGTTCTTTTGTATGACCTTCATCTTGTCACACCTAAAAATATGTTTAGCGCTGTAAGAAAGGTAATCAAATTAACGGTTATCATTTTAACTTGAAAAGGGAAACTTAAAAGAGAACTTTAAAAGGGTCGAACTCAGTACCAAAAGATAATTGGCTTGGTGATTTGCTTACGCCGAGCATATTCGATCATTATACGTTTCTGGGAAACTGCCCACCTACCCCTCCCCTAAGTCAACATTAACACTTTCTTCTTACTTAAGGCAAAATGTTGGCTTAGGGGAGGGGTAGGTGGGCAGTTTCCCAGAAACGTTCAATGATCCGCATATTTAATCCAGCGGCTTTCACTCCTGATAGTCGCCAAAAGAAACACAAAATATTCAACTTTCTTTTTGCAAAATCCAAAAAAACATACTGAGTACGATACAAAAAGTTCTGCTGAGATATTTCATTTGAATAGTAACACCATAGGAATTCTTTCACAGATTTAAAAGTTATGTAGATAAATAATCTTGCCATAACTTGGTGTAGAAGGTGATAAGGTTAACAAGGAAGAATACCAGCCAACTAGAGGCAATTTAACTTTAGTTATTACAAGCATGAGGAGCTGCCGCTATGTCAGGGTTGCCAGGAATAACTTCGGCTTGTGGCCAGGGTGGGATTTAAACCCGGTCGGAGCGATCACGCCCTAAACCACTCAGCCATACTGCCTTCTTTATAAATCGCTTATCCATGGCTTAGGCCATAAATAAATGTCCTCTAAGATCAAAAGTTTTGAGCCCGAGGGACAATATCCCCTATTGATGGCCTACTCGGGGAGTCTACGCTCAAAGGAGATATTTTTTTTAGGCTTCGGTTATTTATTAAAAGGGTAGGAAATTCACGAGTTGAAGGATATGAAAGGGTAGGGAAAATTGTTATTTAGGTATTTAAAAACGCCTTTAACTAAAATATTTCAAACCGACTTATGGTTGTACCTACCCACCCCGGAGTTTCTAGCAGGCTTTTAAGAAATCAAACTTCTATGGATTCATCACTGGTATGAAAATAATGCCCACGTTATGATCTATGGTTTTTAATAAGACATAAAAACTCAACATGACAACCTAAATACTTTCATTTTTCTCAACAAGTAACTGGCATTTAAAATGTACCTTTTTTGAAAAGATGCACTAAAAAGATTAAAAATAAAAAAAAAATCAGTTAAAGTACTTTCCCATAGAGGCACAAAACAACTAAATCGTATGATATTATGATTGATATACTTTCATTTGCACATGCTCAGCACACGGTGGAAGGAAGAATGACGTTTACGCCAGTTTTGTTCAGATTAACCTTCTGTGGTAGGCCGCTGACCAGTTCTACACAGCCCAAGGGATTCTGGGAAACGTTCGGCTTTGGAATAATTAGTAAGTCATTTGCCACTTTAGAAACGAGAGGGGAACTGGAGCCGAAATACCTCTCGCAATTGTTTCTGGGACAGTTACTGTGGACTCGCTGGTCAGCTATTGGCCAATTTTATTCCCTGTACCCAGTAACAGTCCGACGAACACCTTAACAGACAGAACACGGATATACAGTTTACCTTACCCTGGGTACTGGAGGTTTTTTCTCGCGTGCGACGGGGAGTTTCGTTTCGTCGGCCGCAGGCACGTGTTCGGCCGAAGGCCGAAGACACGAGCTACGAAGCGCGGGTCACTTTTTAAGACTTGACCGAAATCGGAAACTGCGCATGAAAAGCCTCTGGCACCCAGGGTAAGTTTACCTAGGAGATCGAGTAAAATGGTAAAATACTTTTTCTAGACTGCTTGGTCACTTGCGACAACAACAAACTACGAACGACACATAACGACAGATTACTAGACCAGTCATTGTACAACCGACCTCTCACAAGGCTTCAACTATACGGGCTTTGACGAGAAGAGCGACACTAGTTTGCGACTCGTCCGACAGCCTACAAGACGAGACTGACTACCTAAACATCGTTTTTAGTAAAAGCAACTACAGCGCGGACTTTGTCAGACGAAACACTCACAGTGACGCTTATTCCAACGCTCAGACCAACGTCAACTCTGGCCATGTTACGACAGCGACTATACCGTACATAAGAGGCACCTCTGAATCTATCTCATGTATTTTACAACCTTACAATATGCGTGTTGCACACAAACCGATAACCACTTTACGACGACTGCTTGCTAATGTCAAGGACAAAGACAAACCGGAGGACAGACAGGGAGCAGTTTACGAGATCAAATGTTGCGACTGCCAGGCCACTTACATTGGTGAAGGCGGCAGAAACCTTAGCACGCGACTGACCTAACACAAACGAGCAACAAGAAAAGGTGACGTCAACAATCCAGTGACAATCACATTGCTGAACGCCATTTACAGACGAAACATCAAATCGACTGGGATTCTGTGACATGTACTACGTATTCTACAGACTACTATCAACGACTCACTTTAGACAGCTGATTTACTAACTTAGAACAAACGCTACTAAATCGTAGTCAATAGTTACCGGCACCGTGCAAACGACTTATTGACAAACTCAAGCAAAACTAACTAAGAGAGAACGACAGGACAACCAACAATTTCACTAACAATAAACGACGGTTTAACTGTGACAATAGATGGATCGAAACGTACCAACGACATTACGAGAAGGTGACTACCGCACAGGTTGTCGAAGCGTCAGTCACTTTCAACAATAACTGACAGTCCTATTAGGACTACGTTCACCCGGACGATCATACTCAACCAACTAGTCTCAGAAGTATTTGCAAAAATTCGTTTGACCTACAACCTTGGACAGAATAAAATGGAACAGCAAACCCCCATCCTCCCCTCCCCCAAACCAAGGATGAACCCGCGCCAAAGCCAAAACGCGCCAATTTTCCATCCTTGATTTAAGGGGAGTGGGGGAGGGGGTATAAATTTTGCCTTTTTAATACCCAAAACTATAAGAACCTGTTTAGCCAAGCAAGATCAATTACTAGTAGGTTCTTAAATAGGGGTTAGAGTTGGGTTGTGATAAACATTTTAACGAAGGAGCCGTTTGACTCTGAGATTGCAAGACTGTACCAAACTGTAATTTAGAAATAACAGTATTGCTGTAATTCCCACAACGAAAGCAGGTTTATATAAAGTACAGACTGTAATTGTCTTGCATATAGGGGGTTGGGAATGTACAGTTGTGAATAAATACTGTCTATTTAAAAATATGGTCCAAATTCACGTTTCGTTATTTTTCTGGTAGTCAATGTCCTCCTATATCTCCTCCATAGAACTAAGCGAACAAAGAAATAAGCCCGTACGTTAAGTGGTCGCTTAAAAGAGGTAAAAACAGTGGAAAATTATTAAACCGTGAAACGTTAAACCCAAAAACGTGGTAGCAGTCGCTTACAGAAGGTGGTGGCTTACGAGAGGTTCCAACCGCAAGACTTTTACTGGAAAAAGTTTGGTGTTTTGGATGGGTGGTCGCTTACGGGAGGTGATCGCACAGGATAGACTACAAGTAGTCCCCCATTTTTCCTCAGGGATAGAAGAGCGAGCGAAACGCGAGCGCGCGTGAAAATCACCCCACGCGAGAAAAGGCACACTCTCTCCCCGCCGCGTGTCGCCTTTTCTCGCGTGGGGTGATTTTCACGCCCGCTCGCGTTTCGCTCGCTCTACTATCCCTGAGGAAAAATGGGAGACTACTCGTAGACTACGCACAGGAAGACTCGACTGTAATTGTTTCTTTACTTACTTGCAGGTATCTTTAAATCGGACTGGGACAGATTTGGAGGAATGAATGTCCAGGCCTTTCAGCACAAGTGGGGAGGGGAAGACTGGGAAATGATTGACAGAGTGTTAGCTGCGGGCTTGGAAGTTGAGAGACTGCGCATGCCCGGATTTTATCACTTCTACCACTCCAAACAGGGAATGTGGGACAACTGACAATTTCTAAAGAAAAAAAATGAAAGAAAGAAAAGAGAAGTTAAATGTATTTAAACCCATCTAACTAAATTTCTTCTTTAGTTGATTCTCTAACCCCTTTTTAATCTCCAAAAGAAAATGGAAAATAACCGTCGTTTTTATCAATTTTACTCCTTTTTCAACGGGAAGTTGTCTCTTGCAGGAGCCTTGTTGTCTTATTTAATCAAATAATGATCAGTAAAACAGGGGAAAAGTAAACTTCTGTCAGAAACATTAATTATATTTCCATTGCCGACTAATGCCTTATACAGTATTCTGATCATGTATTTTGGAGAAAAAAAATCATTTTTCGAAAGACACAGGTGGCACTTGACTTGTTGATGAACATTTATGGTATTTTGCATGTAACGTGATAGGAAATTCTCAAACTGCCATTAGTTTGGACTCCGTTTGGCAAGAGTTCATCACGTCAATTCTAAACGCCCGCCGTTGTTAGCTATATTGTTTGGCGAGAAAATAGTTTTAGAATTGTCTTGCAAAGTGATGCGCTTTGCTGACTTGAGGTCTTTTATGATTGTAATAAGCCTATTACGCTTAAAAAGATAAGCTTATAAGAATGTTTTAAGGATTCATAAGAAAAACACTAACCTTCAGAGCCTAAACTATTTCTGTACTATATCTTGCTTAAAGTGTGCTGGATTAGCATTTGTTTTCTAACAGTTCCATAATAGTTTATGTATTCATTTCTTTGTCTATTTTAATAACAATAACGGCGGGGAATTTTCATGGACTGACTGTAATGGCTCGAACTTCTGTTTTTACAGTTAAGTGATCGACTGCAATGTAAATTCACCATAGTGAGTGCATGGAATTTTGTCGGTGTAAAAAAAATAAGACTTTGACACGATTTTTTCATCCCTGAACACACCCTACTTCCTCTTATTTCAATCGCTTATTATTAATATTTTAATAAATACGCTATTTAGAGTTTAAACCTCGAATCGCATTCAGGGAAAAAGTGGAAGCCCCGCTGAGTGGTCGTTCTGTGATGAAAAATGAGATTACCCAAATATGCTAATAAAGGCTTTTAATAGCAAGAATACTAGACTACTCTCCAAATATACATCAACATGATTGATAGTTCTCATTTAATGGCTTAGCACAAGAGCACAACAAACTTCCCCAATCTTTCTTTTCCCTTGAATGTTAAACACTGGTTCAAGCCCGCCTTACTTTACCAAGTCGCTCGTCAGCTGAGACCAGGTAGGTAAATATGTGTCGCAAAAACACTTTGAATTCAAGCTAATGGTAGTAAATCGACTGCTAACAAAAAACTGTACGTTAAGTACTCGCCAAATATTTGAGTTCACATCGTAGAAGAAATTGTTTATGGTTTAACTACTCCACCATTATTCTAAACCTCAACTGTCTGCTGCTTATTATTATCAAGAATAAGCTCCCTGAAAGAAAAAAACCATTATCTCTTTGCAGTCGATGGGTTGTTGCTTAACGTAAAAATTTCGCCAGTGTATCGAAAATTAGCATTGTCGATTTCTTATGTTCAAATATTAGGAGTAATACAGCTGGTTTTAAAGGTTACCATGGGAAAGGGATTCTTCTATCTAAACTTAGCGGATTCAGTCATTCTGGATATCAGTTCACGAAAATCGTTATTCGGCTTACAGTCTGAAAATTGCCAATATATTAGACTTTACTTTATTTTATTTAAGTACCTTCATAAAGGAATGTTTGTATTTGCTATTAATTGGGATCCCAGCTAGCAAAGTTAACAACTTAAAATGCAAAATTTGCGGTTAAAACATAGAAAATCGTTGCACTGTAATTTCTTAGCGGGTTTCGTTTTAATTGAGTTCAAGGGAAGATATGGGTTGATATCAACGGCTGATACCACGAAAATAAGTGAATACGAAAAGGATATTTTGACTGGAATAATACAGGTCACAATATCGTTACAGGCGATGTTGCACTGTGCTTACACAGTTGGGTATATTTTCTATTGAATTCAAGAAAACATATGGATTGATATTAACGGTAGATACCACAAATATTCAAATAAATACGAGAAGGATCTTTTTGACTGGGATCCAGGCAGGGCTTCATATTATATAAATAAGCGCTAAAAGACTGCCAATGTTGTCAATATTTGTCAAAAATCGACGAATCGACTTCGAAAAACATGCCAAACGTTAATTATCATTACGACGCATTTATGTGCTTCAACGAGAATTACTAATGTGACTAGGGGAAAATGGAGGAGTAATATTTAAACATTAGATTCCCCCAAATTCCATATCCCAGAAACGGAAACTGCTTTTCACCAGGAAGAATTTCTCATCCTACTTTTACTGATAATTCTTGCAACGAATAGGACATTTTTTATGGATATAAGGTAAATATTGAATGTTCAAGAACTGCGTGTACGGAAAAAAGGATTGGTTTGGTGTGGGCGTTATCTTATGTCTTTGCAATACGATAGCAGAAAGTAGACAAAAAGACTCGCATTCAAAACATCTGGCTCCTAAAGATGTGGTCCCATTTCTTTCTATTATCATTTTCCTACCTGTTTAAAGTGGAAAGTAAAATAGGCTAGCTATAAACAAAACTTTTTCACAAATGGTTTATATTATCCGTCATCTTCCCCAGAAATTTCTCATTATGTTATCTCAAAACATTATTAAGATTTTTATTTTTTGTCAGGATTTTTGACATTAGATGTTGAGCCAAGTTAAAGGATATATTACACAAACAAATTTGAAAAAAAAAGTAAATGAATAAACATGTCACGACCAAGTACTCAAGCATATGCAAAATACTTCTCCAAAAAAATATTTCTGTATGTTACAAAAATATTCTTCAACTCCAACAATTCGCTGAAAGTTTTTTCGAGCTTTTTTGTAATATGACGTCCCAACAGAAGAATCTCCACTGTGTCATTTCTGTATGTTGATTTTGTCTAAATTTGGCTAATTGAGAGATACTTAAGCAGATCGATAAGAATGTCTTGGATAATCCTTTAAAAATCAAACGTCACAAACCTTAATGCTCAGTACTAAGCAAAGCCTATTATCATAAATTGACGACTTGTTTGGGGTTTTCAATTGGATAAATTTGGGACCTTAAGCAACGACTACGAAGACGGCAGTGAAAACTTTATCGCGTCGATTTGGCCCCACTCAATTTGTCAAATGTGGGCAATTTCTTCTGGACTTAAATTCTTCAGGGCTTTATCCAACTTCGAAAAGAGAAAGGAAAAGTCGTCCTCGTATGTTCACGTCCTCCATAAAACGTCGCATTAGAAGATTTTACGTCGTAGTCGTGCAGTGGACGTTAAAGAAATGTACGAAAAAGCGTGATGCACGTGCAGAGCTGTTGTTTTGCTCATAAAACCAATTGGCTTTTGACGTTGATATTGTCGTCCAGGTTGCTTAAGCTTCCTATTAAAGGAAATGTTACTTTCCATTTTATTTTGACGCATGCCAATAGCAGACCACGGAAGAGAAAAAGAGGAGGTGGAGGGGGGGAGGGGGGTAACAAAACCTCGTTAGGGGACGTCACTCAAGTGGTTACCATGACGACACTTTTTGAAGGCCATCGTAATTTAACTGCTTCGCATGCTTCACTTGGTTTTCTGACCACAAACCCTAAACATGCGTGATTGCTCTTAAAATTGACACGCACAATATTTAATTTGCATTATATTCAGTCTTATACTGAAATGCCACCCGCTGGATTCATTGTTCTATAACAATGCAGATTTACAAATCCACGCTGTGATTGGTTGGCTCAAAGTAAATAAGGGCTTTTACAGCCACTGCCGGAAGCTTTCTGCTATTTTCATCCAGGCTCTCACTGTACCGCCAATTAATTAAAAGCATTTTGCAGAAAGGAGAAAAATAATTTATAAAACCGAAGAATAAACTTGATAAAAGTACAAGAAAAGATCCAATAAGAGGCATTTCGCAACGCTGTAAATACTTACAAACGTGGACGCGCTTGAAAGTTTTAAAGTTCCGTGACTTTCACGTTTTTAGGGCAAAATTACAACCTTTTTACAAATCATATGAAAAAACACGCCTAAACGCACTTGGATTTAAAATATCTACTCTTTGGACTCTGTTAAAACGATTATCTCACTTAGCTCTTTAGAGTGGCGGATAATGAACGTAAGCCAATTCGGAATTTTCTTATTGTAGTACTTTATCCCGCCAACTTAGTTCCAGCTCGTCACCTTGAAAAGGCGTGAAGTTCATCTACCAGGTGCTTAAAAAAAAAAGCTTCGATCGCTTAAATCAAAGCCTTTTATGTTATCAGATTCGGCAATTTTCATGTCTGATTCTCTTAAGCGTGTAACCGATCTTTTGTTCGAAGATTACTCACTCACAGATAACCTGTCGAACTGGCTGCATGGTTATTATTAAAAGCAACTATTAGCTATGCATCTAATTGTCATAATTACGACCTCATCGTTTATGCACAGTGGGTTTAAGGAATTCGACTAGCACGTAAGTGATCAGGCTTGTTCGCGTCAAGAGAATTTAACGTTTGTCATTTGCTGGAAATCAGACTTTCTGATCACATTTTCACACGAGGTGCTCCCACTCCAAGATGCCGCATTCAGAGGGTCAGATGTAAGTACCAATTTTATTCTGTTAGATTATTAAGTAGATTGTTTGTAAGGACAAACAAGCGGGTTTATTCTATGTCACACTAAACTCTTAAAGCTTCTTTAAAAAAAACAAACGCAGCATGTTTCCCAGCATGTTGAAGAGAAAAAATATATTTTTATGGCCAATCCAAACAGCGTCGTTAGAAGTTCTTCGTTAGACCTCAGCGACTCTTTTAACTTGAGGACTGAACTGGTGCTAAGTACCTTAACAGTGAACGCACGAGTCGCCGATGGAAATAAGGTAAACAAAACATATGGCAGGCTTTGTTCTTTACTTAACGTTCCGAAGGGCACTTATACTAAGGACAGGTAAAACTTACACTACATGGACAAGAGCTCAGGGCAATCGATATAGATGGAACAGCTTGATTGATATTGGTGGGAACAAGGAAAAATAGAGTTAGTTCCTATTCACGTAGTTCAAAAATCGCGAAGAATAACAGAGAGAATTGAGAGCGGATTTAAGTCAGTACTCTCATAAACAAACAAAATCGTCTAAGGCTTTCAAATTGAAGAGAATTTCGTGAAAAAAAAAACAAGTCTCTCAAAATTGGCGGAAAAGTGTTGCGAAATAAACAGATCAATTAATCAGATTAACTCCTTAAGGACCACCACTATATTCACTTCAAACACGTCACGTTTAAAAGGACGCCATGAGTTTGTTGTCAAGAGAACTAGAACAATCCACCCTGTTTCCAGTCTCGAGTTATTCATCTTTAAATCAGAAAAGGACCTTCCGCGGAATAAACTACAAAAGTAATGCAAAGCTAGATCCGTAACAACAGCTAAAGCTACACCGTGGGTGAAAAGCATAAATTCAATTGACTGTTCAAGAAACTTGAATTATGCGGCTTTTGCTTTGAAGTGTGATGGGAAACAATAATATACCTAAAATATAATAATATATCTTCATATAACAAAAAAGAGCGACTTAAAAAAATTCTTTCCCTACATATGAACAGTGCAGTTTTAAAAACTCGATTAGCATCGCCCATAGAAGTAGTCAGTGATGTTTATAATAAACAATGTGAAAAAGAGGGTAGTTAAGCGTCGCTACAAGAGTACAAGGAAGTTATTAGTGAGCACCGCTGATTTACATAGTAAAAGAATTAAGTGGTTACGAAGAGTTCCAATATCTTTAAACGTTTTTCTCTTCGAAGAATTTAAAAAGGATAAACACCTGTGAGGTTAGCTAAAATTATTTGAATTGCTTGGAGAAAAAAAAAGATGGAATTTTTCCTCAGACTTGAAGACGGAACTACATAACTGTGAAGCATGCTTATTAGTCTTGTTTGAATGGCCAAGGTTAAACTGCAGATTCTCGGCATTAGAACCATCTTGTGAGGTATTTCACTCCGAAGTAAATAACCGTTATGTTACTTTGATCTCGTCCGAGCAGGTGCATGCAAGGTTTTACCCAGACTAAAGGGAGAAAAACATACCAGAAAGTGTTGCTTTTCAGTTTTATTTATACCTTGAAACAACACTACTGCTTTGATTCACTAACATGGCCTGTCTAGTATACTTAGTTTTCCTTGTCGCCGCCATACAAGAGAGATATAATGTCGTTATCTTTAAAGTTTATAATAGGTCCGTATAAATGAGAGCTACTGAGCAGTAAGTACAGCATGGTGCGTTGTATATGGCTGGTTCACATACCCCTCTGTGAAGCAATAATAAGGAGACCCTTGATTAAGCCCCCTCTTCCTCGTTTGGTTCCAGTTTAATAAGTGAATTCTGCTAACGCGACCAGCCAACGGCCACCGAAATCTGGTCACATTAACAAGGTTTTCAGATACGAAAGTGACTAAGACATTTTTACCTGCGTTTGATCCGTTTCTCACCGTTGAATTCAATTTTTCATAGTTCAACGGCGCATAAACATCGAAAGAAAGAAAGATTTATGCTATTGCTATAACTAAAGCTACAAGGGGTGGGTAGCTCTTTTTCACAAATAGGCTGCAATGGCATGCCCTTTTACTGATGCGTTTTTTAATATTTGATTTCTCAAATAGCCATGACCCACCCTCAGACATCACACCTACCGGTCTCACTTGGGCAAGCAATACACAGGTCTCGCTCTGAAGAACAACTACCCTACGGCAGCCAAAAGGCGGAAACGAATCTTTCATCACGAAAAAGTTCGACATCGACTGTGAAGCTCATTCCCACCTTTCCAAAACTCGGGAGAGAACTAAACGTACGTTTTGAAACTTCAGAACAACGTGGATCAAGGCTGGTTGAGGGGAAGTATACGGAATTTGAACGTGAGAAAAGACAGTTTAAAAGGAGGGCGAGAGATCGACAAGAGATTGGAAGCGAACAGGAAAGTTTCAACAAGACACTTGACACAGAATATTGCGTCAGAGTTAAAATGTCTGTAGTACACGCTGACTTAAGTCCAGCTGAAATAGAGAGTGAGCTGAAAGAGGCTCAAGACGCTATCAGCAACCTTCAAGATAGGCTTCAGAACGAGAAGAGATTATCTACTGCAAAAGACACCACCATCGAAAATCTACGCCATGAGATTCATCTCTTGGACCAAGAACTGGTAGATAAAAGAAAAGAAAATGACAAATACAACGATGAAATGAGAAAACTGCGATCCAAAACAACTTCTCTAGAAACAGAAAACAAAATTCTTGAACGCCAGGTTAAGATGATGAACGAGTCAACGAAAAGACTTCATAACGAGCTGCATGAATTACGAAGCAAGCTTCGGGTCCAGGAGACAAAAGTCGGAGAGCTTCGTGTGCAAAGATCGGAAGCAGTTCGGAACTATGCGCATCTTCTCCAAACAAGCGTGGACAAAGGCACAAGGCTACGTCATTTTCTTCAACAAGTGCAAAATGAGATTCTGGAACACAGTGTCACGACGAAGAAGTTTCAAATACAAAAGGAGGCTCTTGAGAATCTTATGCAAGAGGATAGCGAAGAGGACTTGCAATTTAAGAAGTACGGATTAATTTCGCCACGGAAAATCAGGAGATCGTCCTACGCGCTGTCAAAGGAGGAAAAAGAAAACGTGCGGAAAGGCGTTGAAAATGCTCTGGCGAGTAGGAATACCAAACTCCCGGACAAAAGTCTGCCGATTGAACAGCTCACAACAGAAACTGAGAGAATTGTTACTGAAGGACTGAAAACACGCCTGGGACAAGAAAACGAGGAAAGTTCTCAAACGGCAAAGCTGATGCAAGAAGCTAAACACCAGATAAAACGTTTGGACAGCATAGAGTCCGCGCGAGTTGAAACTTCTAAGCGGTTGCAAGACAAAATAGGTACGCAGCTCGAAGCCCTTGAAGGAGAACTCAAAGATCTCTCCGACGACCTTAGAATGGCGCAGATTTCAAAGAAAGAAGACGAAGAAAAATTACGATCCATCACCAAATTCTCCACAGCAGATGAAAATGTTGACAGCATAAGTCGGGCACGAAGAGCATCGCAAGTTGAGAAGCTGGATCTCGAAAGCGTGGTACACAACATGGAACGAAAGAGTGACAGCGGCCCCATGTCACCAAGGGATCTTGAAATTCTTTCAATAAAGCGCAAAATGGCGGCCATGCTTGACGACAAGTTGAACCTCTCGGATGCATTAATTGCTTCCCACAGCAGTCTCTCCAATCTCGAAAGTCTTTTGGAGAGCAGAGGCGAGGAAAATCAGAAATTGGAAAGCGAACTCACGGAAAAGGAAAAAAGAATTTCAGTCGCGGAGGAAAGTTTGATAGAAGCACAGAAAGAAACCGCGCACCTTAAAGAAGAACTCGAGACAGCTTTGGGCGAAGTGAAAAGAGAGACGGGTGAATTAGCGCAATCCAACGAGAAAGGCAGAGGTCGAGGGCATAGAGTTGAACTGAACTTTACCCCAAGCAATCAAGTTACACGAAAAAACAAGGCTGAAACCTTGAACGACGAGTCCGACCCAGCTGGGGAAAAAGACATGTCAAAAACCAATGAAAACACACCTGCATACAACAGAGCGGATAAGGAAGTTCAAGTAGGCGGTGAAATCTACGATCTTGAGAAATTTCCACGAGAAAATCCTCGTTACGCAAGGAGACGGTTATCGTTAGATGTAACGGTCAGCGGTCATCCCAAGTTACAGCGAAAAATTAGCAAAACCGAGTTGAAGCTGGTTAAGCGAGTAAACAAAGGGGTTCAGGTAGATTTAAATGATAATTGCAACAAAACAGCACCGGATAGTTTCATAGATGAATTTCCGGGAGAGAAGCTGAGCCACAAAAATCAAGAGTTTCAGGTCGTGATGCAACAAAAAGGTGGAGAGATCAAAGACCATGAAAGCGAGCTCAGAAAACCGCGCGACGAAAAGACAGAATCTGCAACAAATAGCGAGGATAATACGCATTTTAATCATCCAATGAGAATATCAGAGCTCTGGAAGTCTCTTGAAGAAGCCAAACGTGAAAAAGAAGAGGGAGAAAAACGAAGTAAACATCTCGAAGATGAGTTAGAAAAGCGAGAGCAAGAGATTCAAGCACTCATCAAAGCTTTGAAGATACAGAAGAACGGGTTCTCGTCACCGGCTGAACTCTTACCAAGTAGCGATACAGAAGTAGTACCGCAAAGCAGCGAAAATGTAAACGAAAAGGTAACTATGGGTCTAGAAAAAGGCCGACCACTTGAAGAACTTGTCAGTGCAAAAGAAGTCACTTCGTCTCTTCATGAATTTGTCTTTGACACCGAAGATGATCGATGCATTCGAAATGACCGATGTTTGGACGACAAAAGGACAGACGAAAAGAATATTTCAGTGCTAGAGTCGGTGATTAATGACATGAAAAAAGAGATAGAAAATAACGACCATCAAAAGAAGCAACTGGAAGCGATTTTGGGCGAAAAGGAAGAAGATTTACGCAAAGCAGAAGAGGAAATCGAACTTTACAAATCTCAAGTTTCTGCGATGAAAATTGAACTTGATGAAACGTTAGCAGAGAAAGAAAAAGATACTAAAGAAAGTGAAGAAATGAAGATGCAAATATCTGAGCTAAAAAAAGAGAAAGATAGTGCAAATGAAAATGTCGAAAGATGCAAATCCGAAATAGCAGACTTAAAATCGCTACTAGAAGATGTCAAGAGCGAAAATAACTGGAAGTTGAAAGAAATTCAAAGGTATAAAGACGAGATTGCAGAATTGAAGGTTTTACTCCGAAGATCAAAGAACGAAAACATTAATGTAGCGAAGGAGTATGAGTTGTACAAATTCGAAATATCTGATTTGCAAGCAACACTTGAAGAGGAAAGAAAACAAAACCGAGAAGCAGCGAAGAGAATCGAAAAGTATGAAACGCAGATTTCCGAACTGAAGAGTTCTGTCCAAAAATTGGAGGAAGAAAGCCACGGTAAAACAAATCATATCGAAGATTTAAAGCGCCGAATTTCAAAGTTGAAAACTTTGTTCGAGAAAGAAAGAGAAGAGAAGGATGCTACAATAAAGAAAGGGGAGAACTACGAATCGGAAGTTTCGGATCTCAAAGGTGCTTTCACTGAGTCGAAAGACAAAAATAATAATACAGTTAATGATGTCGAACGCTATGAAGCCCAGATTTCAGACCTAAAAGCGGCTCTCGGGGTGAAGGAGGAAGACTTAAAAAGGCGTGAAACAGAAAACAGTGATCTCAAGAAGGAGACAGAAAAAGCAGAAGAAGAGGTTCAGAAGATGAAAATAAAAGAAGCAGAGACTAGACTTGAAAAGGAAAGGTTAGAAACTAGCAACTCCAAGTTACAAATCACCATCGACAACCTAAAAAAGCAACTCATGGACGCGGATGAAAAAGTGAAGGAGTTAGAGCTTCAAGTTGAAGAGGAACAACTGGGGATTGGGCGTCTTCAAGAAGAAATTAAGGTGCTTGAAACAAAGGTACACGTTAGGGATGAGAACTTGGAACAAAAGGTGGAGGAGATTTTAAGGGGAGATGAGCGTATTGAGGAGATTAAACGAGAAAGAGAAGAACTTGAGAAAAAGATGGCAGAAGTGCCGCTTTCAGATCAACATGAGCTAAATAACGACACGATTGACGGTGAGACACTTGTGGTAAAATCTGAGGATCAAAGCTTGTACGAGAGTTTACCTGAAAACCATGGCGATGAAGACATAGACGACTTGCAAAAAGAACTGAATGAATTTAAGGAACAATTAAAGAATCTTCACGTCGAATTAAAGGAAATTCAACGGGAAAAAGTTGATTTAGAGGACACGGTGCAAAAATTGAGAAATGTAAGAGACAGCCAAGAAAAAGAACTAGAACTGCTTCGACAACAGAATCAAGTGGTTGAGAGCAGTATACAGGACACTGAACGAGCTCTGAGGAAGGATCTGGAGATGATGGAGGAGAAGGAGAAAGAACTGAAAGAACTCATGAACGAGGAATCTACAAAGGCGAGCGACATGGAGAGTTTGGAAGCAAGGTTAAGGAACGAACTTCAAGAGAGAGAATCCACATTAGCTGGTAAGTTAAATCAACTCATCTTTCTTATTTCAAAACTGGACATTTGCGTCTCAGTATGGCTCCAAACTCGGCTAATTTGACACATTTTTAAAGCATTATTATCAACCAGCAGTCATTTTATTAATTACGTCTAATTTATGTTTGAGAGAGAAAAATATTGAGGGGAATAAAGGACATCGGTGATCACTGAAGATCAAAATAAATGTCGTCACGTTTTAACAAATTCTCCTCTTTACTACCATACGAAATGTATGGGGAGGAGGTTGCAGAATATTCATGTTGGTATTACAGTTTTATAGGTTATAATAACGCTTCTGTAGCTCGATTGAAAAAGCCTTTACTGCTAATTTTAACTCTCCTAATAATGTCACCGCTTAATAAAACATAGAAGTCACCAGGAAGGAACTGAATGATTATCTTGAATACTAAGCAACAAACTCCTCATAAGTACCACAAGAAACGTAAAGAGAATGTGCATGTATATAGAGGAGATTAAATCAAAACGTAGACAAGCTATTTGAGACGAGTCTTATTTCAGTTGCAGGCGACAATATATATCTTGTGGTTCAATTTTATCCCTGGTTTACATTTTTTCCGTTGTTTCAGACTCATTACCACACATTACCATACCCAAAAACAACGAAAAATAAAATTTACCCCAAGAATAAAACTGAACCACAACATCTGTGACTGAATTTACGCGCGCAGATCAGCAATGCTCGGTAGCTTATGGTTTCTTTGTAAATGTTTCAGCAAGAACATTTACCCTGCATTTAAACTATCTAGCACTACTGTAGTCTAGACAATATTTCACAGTAAATTATATGCTTTTTGATAGCAGGCGGCGACTGAACTAAAAAATGTTAACAATACTCATCTGTCGCTTCTTATAAGTTAAATTGTGGTGAGAGCTATTGAAAAGTCTTTTCGAAAGTTGATTTTACCACTTACAGTTTCAAATATTTTAAAAAATTCTTTGAGTTGTCTGTTAAGGAACGACGTTTTCGAGCAAAGCACGTCAACCAAAAGTGGACTGTTTGCAATCTTGGGGAGTGATTTTGACCAAATTTTCGGACAAATCGTCTCTGTAATTAAGAGTAAAGACACTTAGTAATACAAATTTGTTAGCGTCAAGGCATATTAAAAAGAGAAAAGGCCTCACTTCTGTTTGACGTGCTTCGCTCAAAACGCCTCTGCTTAAACTCCTTAATATTGTACTAATGATAACCCTAACAATCCAGTTTTCCAAAAAGAGCTTTATTCCATTGCGAAATGCATTTCCGAAGTCACGTTTTGCTGATATTTCAGGTCACAAAGCAAACCAGCTGGCCTTATATAACATTTGGCGGTGCTTCGATTCAAGATAACAATAGTTTGCCTCCTTCAAGTCTTTCAAAGACACGAGAACAATGAAAAGCCGCGAAAATTTGGCTGTGCGCAGAAGTGCAAAAAGATTGAGTCAAAACTCGGCGTTACTTGAAAGCGCGCTCAGCGCAACAAGAATAAATTCAATAACTAAAATGCAACAGGCTGTAAAACAAACTGTACAAGCCGTTCGTGCTGTTGGACATAAGCGATGGAGATATTTTTTGTACACAATCATAGAACAATTACCAATTACAACTTTCTTGTCATGTAAACATCGATTTTGTAAATGGAGGGCTTATAAGGTACTTTTTGACCAACTTATAATCCACAAAGAGTAGCCAAAACATACAGAACTCAGATCAACTCATGTTTGAGGTCTTTAAAGGCGTTTTTTAAAGCCAACGGTTGCAATGAAAAAATATTGAAACAAATAATATATACGATTACATCTACTTCTAAATTATGACAACAATATTGCACTTTCCACTCAATCGTCGGTGCCGATATTTCCAGGTTATTATACTTTATCATTATTTTTTTTTCTACTGAGCACATCGGAGGCTGAAATTTAACAAACGCTCTGTTTTGACTACGCTAGTTTGCTCAACTTGGCTTCAGGATTAGCTAACAAATGGCTGATTTGATTTGCATGAAATAATTTTAAGCTCCTTTTGTGGGACGCGCGATGTTTGTTTGGCTCAAAGAAACTTTTGTTCGGTTAAAGGACGCGCTAACGTTGCTGTAAAAGAAATCATATACGTGTTATGTCTGAAAGTTCACTTAAGAATTGCTCAAACAAACTAAGAACAAATCAACTCGTAAATGAAAGAAACTGTTAATTCCACTGCCGGAAAATGACTGTTCATGAGTTAGGGTTCAATTTAGCCACTTACAACTGTAATCAAAATGCCAAGAACGCCAATTATTTAAAGACCCAATTCCCAATTGGATTAAGAAAGAACAATTCATCACAGATGCTGTAACAGCGTCGACGCGTTAGTCTCGGCGTTAAGTGTTTATAGCCGTGATACAGAATAGTTTGCTCTTAAGGTTTGTCAAGTGTTTGTTTGTTTACTTTAGCACTTATCGTTTCCGCTAAGCGATAACCTTAACACTTTTCTTTACAGCAAAGGAGGAGGTAATCGATTGGCTACAGCAGGAGAACCAACGATTACAAGTCGAGGCAGACAAGCTTAAAATGGACATCCAGCAGCAAGCGTTTGACTGGAAGCAAAGAAAGAAGATGGAGGAAGACTACAACGACCTGGCTGACAAGATTAAACATCTGACGACGGAAAATCTCGATCTACGGGCAAAGATCAAAGAAAAGGACGAAAGCTTACGACGGGAAGAAAAGCTGCGAATGGAAAATATGAAAAGCTCAGACGCTTTAAAGATCAAGCTGGAGAAGATGACCACAGACGATAAGAAGCAGAGGGAGAGGTTGTTCAGCTTGAAATCAGCGTGTTCCGAGGCTAACGAGGCATACGAAATTGTCAAGAAACAAAACTACGACATGAGGAAGGAAGTGGACAGTGTGAAGAAGAGGCTCAGCGAGAGAGACAACGAGTTAGAAGCGTCAGAGAAAGAAAAAGAGAGAATGGAGGAACAGATCTTGAACGCTTCCAGAACAATCGATGATCTGCGAAAGAACGCCAGTTTCCGTAGAGACGAGAGTGTGTCGCCGGACTCAGCTCTTGGAATTTCTCTTACATCTGCTTTTGACTTCAGCTCTGGTCCAAACAGTCCGAATTCTGTTTCTTCGGATAATGCATTCTCTGGGGAAAATTATGGCGGCCAGGAAACAGGACTGCTGTGCAAGATGCCGACTATGATCGAAAACTTTCGTGCCGTTGTGCGCGAAAATGAAGTAATGCGCGGGAAACTTTACGAACTAGCCGTCAACAAGGATAAGATTGAAAGTGAATCGAAGCACCTCACAGAGCTGAATGCGATCCTCAAAAACGACGTCGCTGTTAAAGAGAAAAACGTGTCCAGTTTAGAAGACAAAATCAAGACATTAGAGAAACAGTCACGAGATGCGAAGAACAAAGTTGTTGAGTTAGAGCGCAATTACACTGTTGTGTCCACGCAAGCTGATCTGTTGAAATCCACTCTCGAAAATCGAGAGAAAGATTTTACAGAATTGCAAGAGAAAGTCGAGCTCCAAGAAGAGAAGGAGAAAACGCTAGAATTGTATTCCAAATCAGTGGCGGAGAAATTCGAGCATGAAGCTAGCGAAAAGAAGAAGTACGAAGATCTGTCAAGACAACTTCTTAAAGAAACTACCACCCAGAAGAATATATTGCAAGGTATTGAGAAGAAACTCTCGCCTTCTAGTAATGTTGAAGCTCATTACTTCTCCGAACAAGAGGATGTTACCATGGCAACTGTTGAAGACAAAGTGGACGTCTTGCTAAAGAAGAAGAAAGATTTAGAAGCTCTGGTTTCCAGTCTTCAAGCGGAATGCGCAGATTTGCAACTGGCAAACGGCGAACTTCAAAAAGATTTAACGCAGTATTTGGAATCAGAGAAAATGAGGCAGGAATTAGAAGGCGAGCTCAAGGCAACACGAATTCGTGACGAGCTAACAAGTGCTAGAGCCATTAAGCTCGAAGAACAAAAGGCCGCATTACAAACTGAAAACAAAAGCTTGGCAGAAACGATTGCGGAGTTGAACAAGAAGGAAGAAAACTCCGAGGTTAAGACCAGCGCTATGAAACAAACCATCCAAATGTTGGAAAAATCCAACGAAAATTACAGAGAGGAAGAAGAAAAGCTGAGGAGCGATTTACAAAGAGCCGATGAAGAAAATACAAAAATGGCCAACGAGCTCAAATCATTTCAAGCCAAGATGTCTGAGATTGAAGCCACAAACGACGCTTTCCAAACTGAAAACGAGAAACTACGAACTGATATCATGGCATTATCTAAAGCGAAATGTGATGTCGAGCGGACGATTTCCGAAGCGGAGAGGCAGAACAAGAAGTTGAAAGAAATCAAGGATAAGGAGAGGGTGAGCCGAGAGATCGTTGAAGCTGAAAAGAATGAAGCTCTGATTCAATGTGAAACACTGCAGGATGAGCTGGACATAGCGAACAGTCACGTGGTAATGATTGAGAAAAAGAAGAAGAAAGCTGACGAAACGATAGCTGAATTACAGAAGAACAATTCCGAAGCGACTTCCGAGAACAGAAGGCTTGCCGACGAGTTACAACAAGCAAAGAAGGACTTGTCGGAAATGGATGAACGATACAAGAACTCGGTTCAAGAGGAGGAAAATCTGCAGCAGAAATTAAATCTTGCTAACCTGGAAATTGCTAAGCTGGCAACAACGCAAGAGAGCAACATGAGGAGAAATGACGCCTTGGAAAAAAATCTTGTAGAGTCAAAAGGAAAGAACGAAGAGCTTGAAATACTACTGGAGAAGACTCGCTTAGAGAAAGCTAACGCACTTAAAGACGTCAACCAAAAAGAAGAAGCTATCCACTCGCTTGAAGCAAAGAAAAACGAGCTCGAACAAGAACGACAGAGCCTTACCAACGACTTATACGTCGCTACGAGAAAGGTTCTAGCACAGCAGCAGAATGCGGAAAGCTTGTTGAGTGAAGTAAACTTCTTGAACCGCGAGATGAAAGGAAGTATTAGAAACGCCCTGAGAAAGGATGTTCGAAACACAGACGAAATCCCATCGCCAAGAGAGGGAGAGAAAGCCGTCTCGGATAACGAAGTGGTCATGCAAAATTTACGACAAGGCATTCGCACTACCGAAAGAAATCTCGACTTCTTCCGAGCAGAGGCGAAGATCCCCGAACACGAGACGAAAAGCTGCCAGCGAGATGTTGAATTTATAAACAAGGAGTTCATGGTCCTTCGTAATCAACTGTCGACATTTTCTACCACTTCTCAGAAGCTCTGTGAGGAAATTAAGAAGTTAAAAGAAGATTTGGCTCAAAAACAAGCCTTACTTGAAGAAACAAGGGCACAGCACGACGCTCTTAAGGAAGAAAACTTGGAAAGTCGCGATTCCGTTATTCAGCTGCAGAGCAAATGCACCGAGTTGGAGTCACTATTTGACGAGTACGAAACTAAGGCAGAGAAACAGCATACAGAACTAGTCCGTGCAAACCAGCAGATTTCTACTCTAGATTCAAATTTGCTGCGAGCTGAACAGAAAAAGATCGCGCACGAAAAGGAGCTGTTGGTTGCCCACGAGAAAATCTCCCACTTAGAGGCAAGTTTAAGAGCGATGAAGGATGAAACTCGCAGCGATAAACAGAAGATCGCAACGCTGGAGACGGAGTCGAACGAGAAGCAAGCTCTGGCTCGAGAACTCGACAACACTGAAGCAACTCTTAGGGAAGTCAGATCAAAGTTCGATGAGGTGCTGAAAGAAAAGGAGGAGGCTAAGACAGAGCTGTATGGAATCCGAGAAGAGCTGCGCCAGCAACAGACTGAGTCGAAGACTGCGCGCAAAGAAGTTGAAAACCTAAAGAAACAGATGAACTCAGAAAAAGACACGAGAAAGAAGGTGGAGCTAGACTTAAACGAAAACGCTGCGGTATGCAAAACATACAAGAACAATCTGCAAGACGTAGAGCGAACACTTGCAAAAATTCGAGAGGAGAACTCAGAGCTTGAAGAGAAAGTCAGCATTCTAGAGACAACCGGGAATGCGCTAAGGAAAGAGACCGAGCTACAAGCTATAGAAATGAAGCGACTGGAAGAGGAACTTGCAGATTCAAAGGAGCAGTACGGCAACTTGTGCAAGAATCACGAAGGCAGCGAAAAAGAGAGGAAAAGGCTAACCAATGAAATGATCGCAGCGGAGGAAAAGATCACAAAACTCCAAGGAACATGTGATGAGCTGTTAAAAGAAAAAGAAACGAGCTCCGGGAAAGTTTTATCCCTCAATGAAGCGCTGGAGGTGATCATCGCTAGCAACGAAGAAACAGCAGCTAACTTGAAAACTGACCTTCTAACTGCAAAGAAAGAACTTTCCGTGACCAAGAGCGCGCTAGAGAGAAGACAAAAACAAGTTGACGATCTGCAAGACGAGCTGAGAAACGACGAGCTCAAGATTAAGTCCCTCGAAGATAAGAAACAGGAGGTGTTTGAGAAGTACTGGGCAAGTCAAAACGACCTAACGGAGGCAGAAGGGACCATAGACAATCTGCGATCTGAGAACAAAGAACTGAAACAACAAAATGCCTTATCTGCACAAAGGATTCAACAACTACAAGACACCCTGCAATCTGAGAGAGATACCAACGAGAAAGAAGTAGCGGCGTGGAGCGATCAGATGAACAAGCTCAAGAATCAGCATCAGAAGAACGTGGAAGAGCGCCAAAACTTGAAAAGAGATTTGGAGCAGACTCAAGGGTCGTTAGCAAAGTCTAATGAGGATCTGAAGCAAACGAGTGAGCTCTTGAGCGAGAAGGAGAAGTCGTTCAGTGAAGAGGCGATCAAGCGCGATCAGGCCTTACAGGACATGTCAGCTCAAAACACAAGTATGGATAGTGAGCTCGCAGAAACAAAAGACGCACTTAAAAAAGCAAGTTCCGAAAACGAAGATCTGAAAGAAAGACTAGACTTCACAACAGAGAAAGCAGAATCGCTAGAGAAGGAGTTACAAGAGAAAAACAGCGACATTGAAGACCTCTTGGCTGAAGGACAAGCAAAGTTGAATGTTGTCCAGAAAATGAGGGCTACCAACAGTGGAGAACATTTCGCAGAGTTGCCATCGTCGGATTTCGTTCTCCGGGAAGACGTCGAGGACACAGACGGAGTGGACGCAAGACCTACTACACCTATGAACACCTCAATGAAAGACGTCGTGGATTCTTTTCATAAAGCGTGTTTGGCGTCCTTTAACGACAACAGGACACTTCAGCAGGAGCTGGCGGCCAAATCGGAAGAAATGGCGCGCGTGGAGGAAAATCTTCAAAAGGAGAAAAACAATGCAGCGGAGATGAAGAGGTATCTACATGACTTGGAAAAGAAGAAAGCAAAGTTGGAAGACGACGTTAAGCGGTTAAGAAGACGCTTAGAAGCATTGAAGCTTAAGAGCGTGGAAATGGAAAAGGAAAAAGATAATGAAATCACAGAGACGAAAGGAGAGAAGATTCTGCTGGAGAAAGATTTGTGGAACACCAAAGAAACTTTAGAAGAGCTAAAAGCCCAAATGAAGACTTCAGAAGAAGAAAAGGAGCGATATGCTAAAGATCTAGAAGCCTCGCGTAAGCAGATTGTCGACGCAAAAAGCGATATTAAGGGAAGCCAGCAGCAGCTTGATGCTCTACAGGAAAATATTCTCCAGTTGAAGAAACGCACGTTTGAGTTAGAAGCCAAAGATAGAGCAATGCAGCAGCAGATTCAAGAAAAAGAAAAGGAGCTTAGCGCTAATCAGTCCAAGATTGAAGAGATGGAGAAGTTGTACAATAACGCAAATGAAAAGAAGGCGGAGTTATTCGCGAAGCTTGGCAGAGCCGAAGAGCGTATCGCTAACTTGGAGAACGACTGTCAAGATAAGACAACAGAAAAAAACTCTCTTGGCGATCAGTTGGCAGCTTTTAAAGACGATTTGGCTGACAAGTGCTCACGGTTAGAAAAAACGGAGGAGGATTTAAATAATTCGCTCGAGAAATGCGAGGAACTGGAGATACAACGCGGAAGTCTACAAGCGACAAATGAGATCTTAAAACAGCAGTTAGAAGCCACAAAGAAAGAATGCGCACAACAGGAGGCTCTTCTTGAAAAGGAGAAAGAACTGTGTAAAGCCTTCAGTAATCAACTCAGTGATGTGAAAAAGGAAAAGGAGAACATTGATCACGAGCTCAAGGAAATTCGCGAACAGAAGGAACAAATCGAAGACCTGCTGAATAAATCGGAAGAGAACCTTAACATTGCCGAGGAAAAAGGCGCCAACTCTTTCCACGAAGTTGAAAATCTCAAGCGACAGATGATGAAGATACAGAGCAGCGCATGCGCCGATTCAGCACGAAAAGAGCTCGAGATTGGCAAGTTGAAAGCCGAGGCTGACTCGCTGAGAAAGGAGTTAGACGAGAAAGTCAGGGATCACGACGAGACCATAACAACGCTGAAAATCACGGAGAAGGAGAATGAATTCCTAAAGAAGGACCTGGCTCAGAAGCATAACCGAGAGTCAGAATTGAAACTCGATCTCACGTCGACAAACAGCAAACTGCAGAGTTATGTGATCGAGAGAGAATGCTGGGAACGCGAGGTGAAAAACGTCTTGAGTGAAATTGAACAGCAGAAGAACGCAAGCCAATCAAAAGAGGAGAAAATGGAACGAATGCGCACGCGCTACGAGAAGGAAATCGGATTTTTGCAGGAAAGAGTGGAGGCCCTTGAGCGAGAAGTGCGGATTATACAGGAGGCAAACGAACAACAAAGACACGCAGACGAAATTGCGGGTAAACTGGCACTCGAGACCAAAGACATGGAGATTGATAATTTAAAACTTCGTCTACAAGCAAGTCGAATGCATACGAGTGAGAAAAGCGACGTGTTAGACATGATGAAGGAACAGTTAAATGAGAGAACCAGAGAGATTGCCGACCTTATGGAGCAGATACGAATGTTGAAAGAAAGTTACCACCTTGAGTTAGGAAGTATGCATGCTGAATTAAAATGCGCACAGATGGAAAACATGTTGCATAAGCGGGGAGAAATTAGCGACAGTTTTGGAGGATCAAGGCAGGAAGCCGAGCTGCTTGAAGCCATCAAGGATAGCCGAAAGGAATCGGAGCGCTTAAGAAATATGTTGAAGAACAAGATGAAGGAGATGAAATCCCTCAGAAAGCACATCCTGTCAGAACGAGTTGGTGGAGCGAAAAAGCCTGGATATACAATGTACTAAGACCACATACTGATGAAAGACTAAAGACTAAGAAAGCCAAAAAGCTGTAAGAACTGAACTTTGCGAACGCTAAGAGTACAGAATGACAATATATAAACCAAGGGTAACTTTGAGCAGTTTCAATTATAGTTCAGAACTATTTACTCTAAGTGTTACACTTACTTTGCGGAATCAATGATTGATTTAAAGGGGCTATGTCACGCTATTTCATGCTATATTTCTAAAAAGCTAAAGCCGTTTTCGCATCAATTGAGTCCAAAAGTAATCAGAACAATGGCTCAGTTTTGTTATCGAAGACCTTTCATGTGGTCTCTTGCAACAGATGATAAGAATGGACATGAATTGAAACTTGAAAAAGTTGGGCCAACCTTTACAAAAACACGAAAAAAACGTTATTATGGTTAGCACTTCTTGATGAAATCTGTTTGATATCTTCATAACACTACAGGAGTGTATTTTGCATGGTAATGACTCCGGCCCAGAATTAACCCTAAACAGTGATATTCTCGTCGCATAGCCCCTTCTAAGTCCAGAGAGTGACTAACATCAATTTTCTCTCAACATTTTTTAATAGATTATCCATAAATAAGGTTATGAGAAATAGTCAAATGATTAACTGAGGAAAACTGCTTTGGTCTTTTATTGAATTCTCTCAACTAATTCTCCATGCAAATGTAAGGAATTCAGTTTGGAGAATTTGTATCTGGATATTGGGCCTTAAAGGGCAACTTGTAGCAAGATTTCTGACAAATCAACCTATAAGAAACAAAGACCAAACCAACGTGACTCGACCTTTTGTGAGTTTTCATGTGCAGCAAAGATTTTGTTTTCCAGTTTGCATTGGTTTGTGACGTTATTTTCAACCATGCTGATTGACAATAATTAACACAGAAATTGCTTGTAACTTAACAAAAGAAGTTTCCATGCATCTGCCCTGCATAGTAGGATAAAAAATCGTATATATTTTGTCTCACAAATAAGTTATTTAAGGTTAAATAACCATTGAGAGTAACCAAGGAATATAGAAAAATTACCTTTCTTACATAGTGAAAAATTTAATAATATATTCAAACAATATTTTCCTAACATTTCTCTACCAATGTGTAGGTTTCAGTCCACAGAAGTTCTCTGGATCATGGAAGACTAGAGTTATGAATTGTTTTATCTTCTCGTTTCAGAGTAAAAACCGCTTGTTTGAAACACCTAGTTCTCTTACCATAATGGTAAAGTTAAGTGCTCTTCCCTTTCCAGAGAGCTTGCCAATAGGCCCTTTGCAGCTTGCCATACTCGTGGTAGAAAATCGCCATGCTGGGAACCAAAAGTCACACCGGGACAAGACGAACAAAGGAAATTACCATTTAAAATTATGTATGCCTTTTGTTGGTCTTGCCCCAGTGCGACTTTTGCATACCAGCATGGCGGTTTTGTACCACGTGAATGTCAAGCCGCAAAGGGCTTATCACCAAATTGAGATGCAATAAAAAGGACATGTAAATTAAGCCTTAAATGAGTGTGCTTGCAATAAAGAAATCAAATGCACATTATTGATTTCATCGCTGTTTGAAGCTTAACCCCGGTGGGCGCGAAAAATTTTGGGTGACATAACTGTAAACCATCTTCGGGCATGATGACTTTCGGGTAACTTGACAGTAAAACACTCCCGAAACCCCCACATTCAAGAGGAAGAGTGGAGATGAAATCAACTGCCCACGAATTAATGGAAAAAAATAGTTAATTGAGAATGTTCTCACTTAATTGGGATTAAATGCGTGCTTCTCCTGGGGGGAGTACTCAACAAATTTTTATACTGGGAGGCTCTGACCCGAGGTCCAACCCCTTACCCTTTTATATACCATTTTTCACGAAAAACTGCACCCCTTTTGTATGCCTTCTATCAACAAAATAATGGTACCCCTTTCACATACCTCATTTGGAACTTTGCATCCCTTTCAACTGCTGGCGAATGCATTGTCATTTAAATAGGAATAAATCACTAAACTAGAACGTTTTCCCGACTTTATAAAGCCATAAAATTCATCTTTTCTGCCCTTTAGGCTCTTTCACAGACCCAAATGACAGATTTCCCTACCCTTTCATATACTTCAATGAGTAAAATCGCTATCCTTTCGTATACCCGAAGCCTGAATAAAGGCACCCCTTTCGGGCGGAGCCTACCCGTATAGGCCATTATAGGGAGTACCCCCCCCCCCAAGGCACTTCTTGGCACTTCTTGTCCTCCCCCTAGCCCAACTCCTCTTTCCCTCTAAAGGGGCAAAATTGACTTAAGCTTAAATACACGAATTGACCATTTTACAGTTGTGGGCTTAGTATCCTAGCCTTTGAGTGAACGTGAGGCTGAGGTTGACCTTGTTTCTGTACAGACCTCCTTCCTTTTCCTATGGAAATTATGCTTGAAAATAGGAGTTAGCATAAGAACATGATTTAAATAATTAGGCAGGACGTTTTGTATCAAAACAAGGTCAACTCCAGCCTTGTTTTCACCTGTTACTGTGAAATGGGCTACTGTCAAGTAAAGAAAGCCGAAAGCTGCTTTGTTTTCCGCAAGACATAAAAAGTTGCTTATCTATAACAAAACTTCCCCTACTAAACAAAAATAATAAAGGCAAAAACTGCTGTATATTAGTTATTTTGTGGTTAGAAAGATCGAAAATTACTCACAATTTGCTTGAAGCTTCAGCAGTTGGGCCGCGCGTGCTCCTGGACAGAACACACAGACCTGGAATTCAGTATCACACGCGTCCGCCATTTTGAAACGTGCAGATGCTTTGCAGCCGCTCCCTTGGTGGTGCTTAGTCTTCCAGGTCCCTTTGCGGCCAGAGAATAATCAAAGTAAGAACTATGGGGGACTCGTGGATATAATGTCTTGAAATTTGAAAATAGAGAGGTCACGTGTAAAAGAAATATTATTTAAAAATTGAAATGATATTCCCGCGTATCCGAGTGGGTTTCTAAAAATAACCACTCCAGGGTTCAGTTTCAGCAATCTAGCTGTGATATTTTTTGTTACCCCGTTTTATTATTATTAAAAGAAAAATACTTGAAATGCGGGCGGTTACTTGAAGTGCTTTTCATTTTTAGTTCGTAAAGAAAGATATAATAGCCGCGCGAAAGCTAGCCTTAGAAAACAGCCGACATTTGGCGACGCCAGTGCTGGCTTCCACGCGAAATGAAAAATGAAATGAAATGAAACCAGTGCGCGGCTGAACCGAGGTCAATTCTGCCTTCTTCCCCATCTTTGGCCTCAGTTCAGCTCTCGCACGAATGGATCTCTTACCACAAACGACCGACACAACCAAAAAATGGCCTGCCACGGATGCTACCAGAACTTAACTATACGAGAAGTATCTGTAGTACTGTAAAAGAAAAACAGTAAGGACCAACTCTAGGGCTCCGTTAAGGGAGATTTCCGAAGATAGTCAAAGGAAATCACGCGCCTAAGTACTGCAAGGGCCAACAAATGTGTTCGTCTCATAGAAAGTCAAAAAGGGATACAGTAAGGTAGCCTGTGCCAGGCTCTCAGATAGTATAGTAGGAACGTATTAAAACGAGCAAAGCGAAAATAAGACGGGCACGACTTGGGAAAGGGGGCGATGAGGGCGGCCCTGTCTCTCCCCAGCCCCCGCGCGTTTTTCGCATTTCTTATTACTGAACGACTTTCCACCACCATCTCGGAGCCTGGAACAGGCTAACAGTAAGGTAATGAGCATCTCTACTGGGTGTCAGGTGAAGGTGGTGTCAATTTTCAAGTTAACTGCAATTTAATAAAATAAACAGTTCTTTCAACCTTCATGTGAACTTTATTTCTTACTTTAATAAGACCTTCATTAATTGACAACTGTTTGGATTTTAAGAATGGATCTCAGTTATTAAGAAGCGTCGAATTTAGTTTATTGGGTTACGGTTACCGACGACTTGTCATTTTTTCCCCTGGGGTTTGTACTTTCAAAAAGTCCTACTTACGGATAATGAAGAGTTTCTACTTCATATCAATGTGAAATGGGAAAGCTATACAAGAACATTAATTTCATTCTCGGCTGGTGAACGCAGCCTTCCAAAAACCAACCTTACTTATGAGTGAGTTACTTTAATTTAGAGTGTTTTAGGCATAAATATTGATCATTCGACAACTCAGTTACTTTATAAATTGGCATTCGCATCATTCCGACAAAATGAAACATCACGCATCGTATTACATTATTTTCTTCACGTTACACTACTTTACATGTGTTATCTCCGAGAATGATGAAATTTATGAAAGAAAGGAATGTACTATTACTCAAAACACCAAAAAACATTACACAACCATGAATAAACCGGCACATAGAAATTAAAACAGTACGTTAAATTTCCTAACTACCTGATCTAAACAATTCCATATTATACAAATCTTATCCACAAGTAAAATGACAAATTTTATTTTATTGAGTCTTTCGCCTACTGCATAAGTTTGAATACATAGTTCTTCAGGTTGTAATGCGCAACTGTAAAAATCATTGAAATATGTTTCACTTATACCCACCAAAACAAGAGATTGAATCAGTTTTCCGAAAAAAAAACTGTCGCCTTGGTTTGAGTAACATATAAGTTTTCTTAAGAGCTTTTGGTTCCAAACATTCACAGAAATCTGGTACATTCACTGGTGATTCAAACAGGTCGTTAATGGAGATGAATATGGAGTTGTCAGAGACGTATTATCAAAGGTATAAGACAAACGACCAACGCAACAATCTAATCTCTCCACAAGACAAAAAAAAATAGAGGATCAGGATTCAGAGCCTTACATGCATTAGCGGAGAAGGGCGAAACAACATACCCTACCGCAGCCCCTCTGCCAAGTTGAAATTTCCAATCTGTTCCCAAGCTGGTTGATTAAACATTTATCAGTTCACATTGTTTTGGGAAAAATGTTCAAAGTGTAAATTAACCCTTCAACTATCAAGAAACCGGAAAATGAAAATTCACAAAGAATACAACATTTCATGGAATAAAATTCTGAAAAATAAATAGTACCATGCTAATAAAGTACTGCTGACAAAAGGATTAATTTTAATCGCTGCGCCATAAGTTATTGTCCAAAGTTAAAACTACATTTCAAGTCTTCATAACTAACCCTGAATTTAAAGTAATAATATTCATGTAGAGGTTGAAAGTGAAGATTAAAAGCAGTTATGTGAGGGCCTGCCTCTTTTGTGGCTCGACTAAGTCCACTTAAAATACAAAAATACCGAGATTTATTTAACGCAGCGGAAAGCACTAATTTTGCGAAATGCTTAAATTATTTCCATTTTTCTCCTCTTTTTTTTTTTTTTTTTTTGAGTACCGGGGTTTGGTCATTAAGACCTGGCTTGTTTCAAATTAACTTGCAACAACCAACATTATTATTACGCAACACGTCGCAGGGCTTCTCTAAGTAACTACATCTACATCTATAAAAAAAATCATGTCTAAATACACCCTTAACAAACAAACTAATAACTAAAACTTTTTTCATCTACTAAATAGCATTTAAAATGCTACTTTTTGTTAAACTATTAATCAAGGACAGAAACCCTTAATTTAAAATAATTATTTTTAAGATCCCCTTATCCTATTGAATACAACAACATCATTAATTTTTACAGTTTTTATGATAAGGTATGATGAAATTATTGTTGAAAAGATCTTTCTTACTTTCGTGACAAGCAATGCTGGTCACCTTTTACTAAAATGGTCACTAATGTTAAACGGCCCGCTGATATTGTCATATATCTGGGAAGAATTACACTTACATTTTAAAACGTAAAAAAAGTTCCACATCAGTCAATTATAATTATTTTCTAGATATGATTGACTTGGCCAATTGGTGCAAAATCGCTGGCGTCTCTTGCATTGTGTACGGATATCTTGTTGATTGGGCCAAGGTAGCCACCGAAAATACACTTAACAGGGGGCTTCGGCATCACCTCCAACAGGGGTTTGGCCATTTTGTTGGTCACTAGGAGCCTCCTTCGTCATGTCTTCCATCTCCAGTAAGGACTCCTGAATCTGGTCCATGTCGATCACTACATCATTTTTATCCTCGTCAATGGCTGCAAGTTTTCTTTGTAATTCTGCGTCACTTCCCCCGTCGTCGTCATCATCATGGTCCTTATTACCAAGCATCCACAGGCCTTCGTCTTCTTCTTCTTCTTGACCCTCACTGTCTTTTTTATGCCGGTTATGCTTGTCTCTGTGGCGGTGATGATGTCTGTGCTTGTGTTTATGCTTGTCACCAGATTTACTGCCCTTTCTGCTCTTTTCTGACTTCTTCGCTGAGCCACCCTTGTCAAATGTCTTCCACAGAGATGTTTTGCACATTTCTTCCGTGATGTTGATGGGTTTTTCATGAGGAGTGGTGCCATTTAATGCCTTGCCATCAGTACCATTCTACAAACACATATCACAATAACCGATTAAAAACCGAATCACTAAGTAGAGGTGGGTGCCCAGGATGTCCAGGGGCTTCTATTTTTGGCAAAGCCAGCCCCTAGACAGAGTTACACCCCCATGGCTGCTAAACCTGCGCCTTCCAGCCAAGAGCTCCTACGCCAATGGAACCAGGTACCTGTCACACTGATTTATCAGTGGAAAAATCAAAGGGTGGGGGAGAGAGAACACCATCAAAGAAACCTCACATGCATTATTTTTGGGACTAAGAGCTCTGTTTACATTTCTTCTGTTGACTTACTTTAGCTTACATCACTTAGCTTTCAAAATGAATTGAATCATTTTGTAAGTGAAACAACCTTTCACAGTCATAATGAGACTCTTGAGAAAGCGTGCGAAATGGGAAAATTAACCCTTTAAGTCCCAATAGTGACCAAGATCAATTTTCTCCTAACAATATCCATACATTGTCAACAGATAAGTTATGAGAATTAATAAAATGATCACCCAAGTAAAAACGCCTGATCTTTTAACAAATTCTCTCAACTCATTCTTTAAGGAAATGTATGGAGATCAGTTTGGAGAATTTGTAAGCGGATACCGTGGCTTAAAAGGTTAAAAAAGCAAGTAAATTCAGTTTTTACCATTTTGCCATCTGGATCATCCCCATCACACCCATGTTCATCATAGTCAAAGTCATCGTCTTTCTTCTTCAATGCTTCCAGCTCGGCTTTTTGTTTTTTGATGTTCTCTGGCATCAAATCATCCAGCACTTCCAGTTCGTGAAGGTTGAAAATCTTCTCCATAACCTTACGGACAGCCACCAACATCAACACCTAGGGTTTAATCAAGGGGCCCATCAAAATGCAATCTAAAAACTACATCTCATCCCTCAGTGATTGGCTAGCCTGCGCCATAGACGAAACTAAACCTCTGGTTAAGTCCGTCTGTAAAAAAGCACTGAAGTCCTTGGTCTGCGCCCCTACCTGTGTACCAGGATTTGAGTATGTGCCATGATTGGCCTGTTAAAAAGGCCAGTGCCGATTTGCCAATAAGGTTGAAGGGAAATTTGAGACACACTTCTGAGAATTAGTTGTGTTTGTGGTGGAGGGAAGTACAGGTGGGTACTGGAACAAGATTTTCATCGGAATTTTCAGGTCAAACGGTATTTTTAGCCTTTTTTGAAGGCCTCAACTGAATCATTGAAAGATCCCTTCCCCTCCCTGCAAAGACCTGACAGCAAAGTTTTTCTTGACTATTAAAACTGATGACATCACAAGCCATACAAGTGATGTGGATCTGCACGGGTAGCCTGCATAGCAAGCACTTAGAAGAAAGAACGGGGCGTGGGAGGGAGACACGTGAGGGGAGAGGGAGCTCGTCTCCCTTGCACTCCAAGGCGCAGTTATTGGGCAGTTCAGGGGCGAACGAGTTAATTATGTCACTCTAACTTTTTTAATCTGAGACTGAAATCCTTCGGTGTTACCATTCAAATAAACCCTTTCTGGCAGAACATTTACATGATGCTCTCTGATTAGTAGGATTTTACACAATGAAATTGGATTTTTTGTGAATTTTTTCTTTGGTCACTATCACGAGTTTGAAGGTTAAAGAGGCTTGACTGTAACAATATAGTACAAAAACAATGAACTAACCATGACAGGGAAGATAAGAGCTGCTGGAGTAGACTTAATGGCCCAAAGGACGGCCAAACAAAACAGCTGAATAAAGGTGAAGATGTGAATTCTTTTGAGTGGAACTTGACGTAGATACATCAAATCAGGCTGGTGCTTGATGGGCATAAAGATGATCTTTAACCTCTCATAAAACTGTTTACAAAACAAAGAAACACGACAAAGTCAAACCTCATATAGACGAGATGTTAGTATCTGAATTGTCCACTCTGTGAATACAATGTGTGTAGGATGTCTCAGGTTGTTTAACCCTTTCACTGCCAGAGTGTTTGATAGAGTTTTGTGAGGTAACTCTAACTTTGAGTTTGTGGACAAATTCCTATGATGTGACCATTCAGATGAAACCTCTCCGCCTCTACTTTCACATGATGCTATTTGTTTGTCAAAATTTTAGAATACGAAATTTGGTCAAAATTTGCCTTTGGCCACATTTGGCAGTGACAGGGTAAAATGTCAAAAAAAGTCAACATTAATCTATAAGTAATGACTCCATTATACTAAAATCATTCTGTATATCTAAGTTTGATGGGAATGTTTCTGTTTTGTTACTATATGTTAAAAAAAAGAATAAAAGAAATTCCCAAATAGGATACAAAGAAATTCGTAAGTGTTTCCTTATCTGTTTTTCAAATGCAATGTGTACATATAATAGTATGCTTTGATTTCAATAATAACGCCCTTTTAATCAAAATTATTCTATCACCATTTAAATTTTTTAATACTGTTGGTAGGACTCCCCGTAAAAGTTCCAAGAGTTATTACTCATGCGACACTTGGTGACTACACCTTAGCTGAGGCACCAAAACTGTGGAACAGCTTGCCTGTTAACATTCGTAACAAGGAAACTTTTGAGAATTTTTAAACATTGCTTAAGACACATTTTTTAAAACTAGCTTTTTATTAGATCCAATAGATATTTTGCAAAATATTTTCAATCATGGTTTTTTGTTAGTCAATATGTTTTAATTTATATGTGAAGCTCATTTGATCATATATGTACATGTAATTTGCACAATATAAGTAATACATTTGTTATTATTTATTACATGTATGTATGCTATAAGATTTTACTGACTTGTAACATCTTGATTTCATGTTTTCATGAGAATGACAAGCAAGTCATAGGGGCTCTTATAGAAAGAAAGAGAATTTCTATTTTTTCCAACAACAGTTTTAAACTAACCTGTAACCCTTTGAGAGCAGAAAATCCCATGTAGAAGAAAAGACCAAAGAGAACAGGCATAGGAACATACTGAAAAAAAAAACACAAGTTATTATAATTATTGGTAAGATGGACAAATTCTAAATAGTTTGATGGGCAAGATTTTAAAAGCAAAAGGCTAGTCAGTAAAAAATGTACTTTATTTGAGTGTCAATGCATTTAACACAAAAGTACTGATTCATTGAGGACACTATTTTTTATGTCTCCTTGCGGAGACGGGACTGCCGTTTTACATGGTCATCTGAGCCATGCGAAGGTCTAGCCGTTTGCAGGGCGAAGGAAGTACGTTCTCAGTTCATTTCTCAGTTATTTTAAGACCCTGAGTATTGGTCCAGCCCCGGAAATTGAACCCATGACCTCTCAATCTGTAGTCAAGCGCTCTAACAACTTAACTACTCCAGTAGTGGTTAGAAGTGAGGAGAAGCAAAATGTCACAAACAAAAATTGATTCATCATTTTCACATTGCCTATAATATGCTGACCCTGTTCACCCACCAAAATTTTGCATAAAGTAAACCGGTGCTTGGTAACTCAGGATTACTAAGAATATCTGGTCAAACATGAAAATTTCTCACTGAAGAGTTCAATCAGTGAGAATGATTGTGAGTGATGCAAGCAACATAATGTGCTGTTGAATTTCAATTAATTCCTTTGACACCTGAGAGTCTTATCAGAAATTTAAGCTGAGTCAAATTATGTAAATCCATTCACATCAGGATCCTCTTGGATTTGGTTCATATGTCTCAGAGTGCTAAACTAGTTAATAGCACAGAATACAAACCTTCAAAAAGGGGGCAAGAAACACAGTCAAACCAATAAGGAGAAAGATGAAGAAACCAGTAACACGTTGTTCCCTAGAGAACAGATCACACACTGTTAATAGCATTGTTAGATGTGTACATGACAAACACCAAAATATTAATAATAGTGTTCTGTAACCATTTGGCAAAGGAAAAAATAAACTAGGAACTGAATAATTGACATACCTTACACCAAGAAACTGAACCTTCTCTCCAGGAGCTGTACATTGTGATTCTACAAACAAGCTCTGTACATGACCAACAGAGAGAACAGTTGCTGCCACAACCCACGGTAAACCCAACAGTGAACAAATTCCAATTATGATGGCAACGAGCAAAAGATCTAAATGATAGCCAGCACCTTTCTGTGGGGAAAAAAAGGAACAGTTTAGAAAAAAAAATGGCACCATTACAATAGCCGGCAATGCAGCCCTTTCCCTTGGGTGCATGGGTGTTGCTGCTTGCCTAACTGTTATGTTGAATTCCATACACATTGAGGAGTTGGGTGGGTCAAAGGGGCTTGGGAAGGGGCCAAGGAAAGAGAGCCCTCCCCAAGGGTTACTCCTTCGAGTGTCCCCAAAAGGGTTCTTCAAATCTTGTTATCCTGACGTTTATTTTCAGCATCCTGCATCTCAATCCTGAATCTAGCACCCAATTTGCTATAAAATCCTGAAGCCTAACATTCAAACAAGGCAAATCTCAGATCTATTATTGCAGAGAGGGGTTATCTATAGTCACAAATCACAGAATGAAACAGTGAACCTGAATTTACTGAGCTACTTTACCTTTAGCTTATGCTCTCGTCTGTTAACAATCAGAGCAGTGATCTGCTGGTCCATAAATACTAGGATTGTTGCCAGAAGGGCTGGAATAGCTGCAGCGGGAATGGTCCATACAGGATTTTTACCCAGCGGAGGTACAATCCAACCCCTTTTTTCAGCAGCTGTTGGTTGAAATTTCAATGGGATATCAAGCTTTGGTGTGTTGACGCCAAATGCGAGATCCACGCTCACCATTATTATTATGGCAATCAGGATAGCAAAGTCTGAGATAACTGCTCTAACCTGCAGAAAAATGAAGCATTTGAAAATTATTGATTTCCTTTAATATATAGACACTGATGAAATACCAACATTGGTTTCAGCAAAGAAACAATTTTCATCTTTCACATGTGAAGATATCACGGTTGTCATGGCAACTTCAGTCATGGTCAATAGAAAAAGAGCATCACAGCATCTCGCCATCAGTGTCTATATAATACACAGAACATTACATGCCCACTTGTGGATACGACTTTTATCTTCTCGTGTTCAATTTGATATCTCATGAGAAATCAAGTTGAACACTCGAAGATAAAATTCATAATTATCCACACACGGGCATGTAACATCTTCAAATTGAAACTCAAGTAATAATAATAATAATTTTACTTTAAAACATAAAAGTAAGAAGTTTTCATTCCAAGTTGAGGGTGCTGTTAACTTGATATGTTGTGAAACACAAGTTTTCAACTCTTTAAACTTTCTATCTCAAAGGCAATGCTAAAAGTATTTCAAGAGGTTGCAGCTTTTTGATCTGTGGAAGAATTCTCTAATACACTTACGGCATGACACAGTATTAGCTCATCAGTATTTTACAGAACGGAATTATTGTGAAATTAATTTTACTTTTTGAATTTGTTTTTCCAGTTTGGGTTTGAGAGCCCTCAGGTATAACCTGTCTGTAGCCCTGAATATAGTGTGGCTATTCAAGTCAAAGATACTAAGTCTTTGTAGTCTTTGACAAAAAAAAACTTCATTTATTCATCTTTCCTTTCCTCTTTTTGTAACATTCAAATAAAAGAATAGATGAAAGCCTCACCCTTGTTGGAAAATAAGAACTGTTACGGAAGCCCTTCAGTGAAATTGCCAGTGCAAATGTCCCCACTGAGAGAATGACAGACAGAAAAAATACATTGTCATTGCAGCCTGTACCCACAAGTTTACCACCAAATCTTGCACAGTCTCCCATTGGGACATCCACGCGATAGAGAGTGTCGTTGCTTCCATATGTAAAATTACTTATTGGCGCATCTTCCCGTAGGCAATGACACCTATGCCAGTCAATATATCCCTTCTGAACAGGGTGATCATCCAAAACATGGAAGAGCTTTTTGAATCCTTCAACAATGAAAATCAGAGCAATTAGAGTGGCAAAGGACTCTTCTGTGAAGCGGGTGAAGTATCTCACAAATGCACTGGCATCAGTTATAACAAGGATAAAGCAGTATAACATTGTCCAAATTCCAATCCATAAGCGAAATGGCAGGTAGTCAATACCACTGCTTTCACAGAATGTGTACAAAATTTCTTCAAACACTAACATGGGGCCAGTGGCACCAAGGATAATGAGAGGCTGACCACCAAAGAGTGAGAAGAGCACTCCACCGATACCACCAGCCAAGATCTGCTCCATAGCAGCCTACAGGAAGAGAAATGATGTAAGATGACCATGACGAAAATAATACCCTTTCCCTTCAGTCCACCTACATTAGCAACTTCCACATGTAGGCCAGCCAATTGTAAAATATCTACTGGTATTTCAAAATAGACTCCCATAATGGCCTATACCTTGAGGCTCCACCCAAGATGGTTACCTTTTTGGGGCTTCAGGTATATGAAAGGGTAGGGATTTTACAGGTTGATGTATATAAAAGGCTAGTGAAATCTGTCATTTCGGTATGTAAAATTGCTCAAAAGGGCTAACAATGCACTTTATGGCCATGAAAAAATCGAAAAAACGTTTCTGGATTTGTGATAGACAGCATATTTTCAGCAGTAAAAAGAGATGCAAATGTCTAAACTACTAAAACTAGGCATGAAAAAAAGGGGCCTTTTCTATCAGAAATGGTATATAAAAGGGAAAGGTGTTGGACCTCAGGGCGGAGCCTCCCCCGGTAAAAAACTTTGTTGAGCCCCCCCTCCTGGAAAGTTATACTAATACAAAAATTGAAAGAAAGGAAAAATTGAACAATTCATTCCTCCGTTAATATTTTAGAGTCCCTTGTAGAGACAAGGAAGATTAAAATAGTTTCAATCCAGGAGGCCAAAGAGGCAGTTTAAGACTTTTCTGTTCGAATTGATTGATTGATTGTTGATTGATCAGTTAACCTTACCATGTTCTTTCCTGTCTTTGTTCCCATCAAACCTCCAAATGTGATAATCGGTGTAAGACATGCAAAATAGATGAAGATGACAGAAGCAATGCACTGTGGGTTAAGCGCATCCTTGAAATCACTCCAGTACCATGGAGCACGCCGCTTGATATCATTAATCAGGCCCCCACAAAACCTGTGAAAAACATACCAGTAAACTGTCAGTGCAGTATTTTCACATCTGAACATAATGCTTAACAAAACAATACAAAAAGAAAGCAGAATATGGCATTCAGGATATAGAGTGACAATTGGGGACGAAACTCCAAGAAACATGTAAAATTTACACCTGATGCAAAATGTAATATTTAACGCAACGTTCATCATGTCATGAGTGAGAAAAAACAAGATCTGAACTATGATCCACTGTAAAGTTGACAGGAATTAATACATCTCCTTTGTAAAAACACTCATACATTGGAATGGAAAAGTTGATTTCATTTTTCAGGATTCAAGTATTATAAGCAGTGAGCAAAGTTTAGCCAATGTTGTAGACAATCATTTGTTGGATTAATAATAAAGCATAGGAGAGGAAGACATAATAAATATTCTTATCATTTGCTATTATCCAGACTCTCAGTAATACGCTGTAATTAAGGACTATTTTAAGCCAGTTTTGCTGATTTAAGATTATTGATGACCCAATGCTCTTCTCTTTTTCACCCATAGCAGTTTCTGATGAGTGTGTTAAGCTTTATAACAGAAGCTAGCAAATTAATAACATTCAATCCCTATTCACATAGCTACACCATGTATGTCCCTAACCTTCCTGTTTTCTTCAGCTGTTCTTCTCTGTCTCCTGCTGGGTCATGTTCTGGACCATCTGCATTACCTCCTGTCTTGGCGATCTCAAGACGCTTGTCCTGACATGGCACAGCATCTGGTGGCTCAATACGAATGGATGGATCCCATTCACCTGGGGGTAATACTGTGACCTGTGAAAAAAAAAAGTGCTTTATTTGAGTGTCAATGTATTTAGCACGAAAGTGCTAATTGGGGACACTATATTTTACGTCTCCCACGTCTCCTAATGGAGACGGGACTGCCATTTTACGTGGTCATCCGAGCCACGCGAAGGTCCAGCCGCCTGCAGGGCAAAGGCAGTACCTTCATTTCTCAGTTATTTTAAGACCCTGAGTATTGGTCCGGCCCCAGGAATCGAACCGGTGACCTCCCGCTCTGCAGTCAAGCGCTCTACCGACTGAGCTAATCCTGCCGTGGTTAAAAACCTAATTAACACTAAGACCCAATTAACACGGGGCCGGACAAATTCTTAACCTGTGCGACCCATTTACATGGAACCATGCAAATTGTGTTACAGATGGCAGTACTGTTGCCATTCAAAAACTTACATGAGTCCACAGGTCCCGTGTAAACAAAAGGCAGGTCTGTTTGTCTGTTCAAAAATTTGTTTGGACCCATAAAAATGGACTCTAAGACAATGCAGATACCTTAAGGGTGACAGCAGTAAAACCATCACTTAAAAAAGTGAACAACATAAGTTACCTGCATCAGAAACTCATCAATTCCAGCTAACAAATCCTCACGACAGTGTGCTTTGTAAGCAACCGAATGAAAGACCTGTTGTAAAGACGGAACACAAATCATGAAGTACATTGTACTAAGCTTCTTTTTTTCATTAAGAACATGAAAGGTATAGTAAGATAGCTTTTTGAGACTGAGAGTTGAAAAGAAAGTTCGTTGAACATCCACAGGTACTATTTTAGCTATAAAAGCAACAAAATGTCTTTAAAAAAAAAACACTGGCACAGAACATACCTCATCAGACATAAGGGTTCCTATGGCACGTCCAACCTCGTGATAACGCCCAGGTGTACCAGGTGGACCCAACATAACAAAGATGAAACGGGTGGGTACAGGGACCTCCGTAAGGTCACCAAGAATATGTGCATTCTCCAGACGGACAAACGCGGTCACAGGCTTCTTCAAGAAATCCAGTTCTCCAACAAGAACGTTGGAAGCTTCAGCACCTGGTGGTATTTTCTTCATGAAGTTGGCATCAAACTGAAAAGAGAATATGCAGGTCTTCCTTAATCCCTTTGGTAAAATTTGAACAAAGAGCATTTCAAAGCATTCCTTACTTTCAAGACTGGGGATGAAAGTCTCTGGTGTGACCAGTAAAAAACATCTTTAACAGTTTTTGCTTGTAAATCTCAGTTTCAGCTATTACAGTCAACTCTCGCCTGGTAGACACCCCGCTATAAAGGACACCCCGATATATTATCATAACACGGACAGCAGCTAAATCCCAGGCAAAATTAAGTTACAGACATTTGACTGAAATAAACTCCCGCTCTCACTAATGAGGACACTTGCTTCAGTTCCCTACAGTGTCTGATATAAAGAGAGTTGACCATACTGGGAAAATTCAACAGGGGTGCACTCGGGGTTGTTCTAGTAGCTGACAACTGTGTTTTGTTACTAATGGCAACTACACAACAACAAAATGAACAGCTACTCAGAGTTTAAAGAAATGGCTTTACTGGTGACAAGAAGAGAGATCCTATCAAAAATTTAAGCAGAGCAAAGGTGGTGCAGTGGTGAGAGCACTCGCCCCCCACCAGTGTGGCCCGAGTGTGAATCCTGGCATGGACTCCATACGTGTAAGTGAGTTGAGATTATTATGGTTCTCGGTTTTTCTCCAAGTACTCCCGTTTTCCCCCCTGCTTAAAAACCAACGTTTCCAAATTCCAATTTGATCTGGAATGCACGGACACATTTCAACAAATTCTTAACAATTCCTAAGTGCACTGTGGGTAAACAAATTACAATATTTATTACAATGACAGTTTTCCTGTGTTGACATAAAGAAAAAGTCTATGAAATAGCTTTAAACACTGTACCCCAACAAAGGCTTCATCGGTACATTCCCCATTATCCTCTTTTGCATCACTATCCTTTTGCTTCCCAACCAAATCCACTGCTGATGGTAGTTGAGGGAAGTCGCCATCTCTTCTATCTGTTTCATTTACTACTTCTAATGTTGTTGGGGATAATGCTGATGTCTTATTGGAGGAGTCCGATCTTTTGAAAAAGTCTGCCAAACCAGCTGATGAAGGTTTCTTGCTGAATGAAGGGAAGCTACTTATGCCAGTCTTACTCTTTTTCTTCTCTCTTGCACCCTGACCTTGATGCCGTTTCTTCTTTAAAAGAATATCTCGCGCCCTCTGTCGGGCATCTTGTTCCAGATGCATTTTATTCACCATGTCATCAAGCACAAGATCTATGACAAATACAGGAGAATCAAAACCTATCCTATGCTGGTCAAATCCTAACATTTCTTTCTTTCAAAGCCACATGAAATACCTTAACATTACATCCAAACCACTACAACACAAAGACTTCGTGTTAAGGGCGGCCATCTTAGATGAGTGTCAAATCTACTTAGGGGGTGGGGGACAGTTTGGAAGGAGGAGAGAAAAATAGAGGGACTGTACCAACATCACTGCGACTCGCGTTCAGGGGGCATGACAGGCATTTCACGCCTTTTACTATACATTTTTAACAAACTCTGCTTGGAATGAAAAACACGCCAGACACATTTAGCATCAACTTGGCATGTTTACAAACATCTCCTTTCGAAACAGTGATTATAATACAGTTAAAAGAAAAGCTGTGTATACTTCAGTACACTTCCATATATTCATTCACTACCTTGATCGGATTGGATCACTGCTTGCATGTTTTTTAAAACAACTTATTTTATTTTAGTAAACCTTCAAGTGGTTGCTGGAGGTAAGACGTGTTGTTTCAGACAGTTAGTTTTGCCAGTTACCACCTGGTAAGGAGAACACTGCTAAACCTAGTTTAGTTGGTAGAAAATCTAGACTACAATCAACATTCTCTTACACGGACACCTTTCGGACCAGCACTAAGTGTCCGTCAGAGAGAGGTGTCCATGTGAAAAGAAAGGCAGGGACCAACTCTAGGGGTCCATTTGAGCAAGTGCCTGTCTTATAGAGGTGTCCATTAAGAGAGAGTTGACTGTAATAACCACTGAAAGTCATGGGTTTGATTCCTGTTGGGAGAACTTTTGTTACCTTCTATCTGCATTTCTCGCATCATTGACTGAAAAGCTTAATTCTCAAGAATTCTATTGCACAGTACAGTCACACTTAACAGAGGATTGTTTTTATTTTTTTGCTAATTTTTGTTATTTTTTGTGCATTGCTATCTGAGGTGTCTGTTATTTAAAATACCATGTGGGGTACAAACGAAGAGGTCATAACACGAAACTATATTAGTAAAATTGCCTAGATAAAATAGTGTGTTAATATGAAAGTGGATCTCCATTAGATTTTTCTTTTCTCTCTTTTGACATAATGTCAAACAAAATAATCACAAATTTTTCCTGCAACTCACCAGCAATTTGAGTCAAGTTACTAGCATTCATGTCCAATAGCACAGTTCCACGCAAAAGAGAACTTCTCAGCTCAAACAAACTGTAGAGCGATAGGGTTCCAACATGAGGTTTACTCCACCGATCACCACCTTCTTCAACAGCTTCCTCAAACTTTAACCAGCGTGCCATTTCTCTCCACTCTTCGTTTCCATCCTTGTCACACTGCAAAGCTGCCAACTCCGTGAACATTTTATGAGATTCATCATTTTCTTCTCCTCCAAGGATAAACCGTACCTTGTCCGTTGGCAGTGATGATGATGTACTATTATCTGAAAGACACCACAATTTGTTATAAACTATGAAAAAACTCAAAATAATTTATGATGAAAAAGAGAGAAATTAATGTTTAATGAGTGTCTTTATATCTGATCAAGACATGGCTAAACTTTACCTCCAATTAACCCCAAATCTAAAATATTAGTGCAAGAATGAGTTAATCTATAGGATAGATTTTAAAGCCATTCAAAAAACTCGCAGTCATGTATTATCACGAGTAAAATCTCTCGTCTTTGCCTCAAGCTTTTAAACCTGATAATACACAAGTGCCTGCGTGTTTTTTAAACAGTACAAAAATAATCTCCTCATAGGACATTATTTCAATATTAATTATTGACATGTTTGAACATACACTCATTTTTTCCAGTATAGTGGAAGAAAACCTGTTACTGACTCACCTCTTAGAGTCTACTTATATATACTTATATTCAAATCTGCAAAAATACAGCTGATTCTCCTTTCCAAACATACTTGAAGGCTTAGGACTGGGGCAGTAAATGATCAGACCCACAGCTGAAGTTGTACAATGACCAAAATCCACTGAGCTGCACTAGGCATTTGACAATTGAAAAACATTCCTGACTAGTTATTTAAAAGTACAATAACTATACTGATAAACATGTACACTCTATTGCAATATTGCAACATGTTTGCTTACAAAGATTTATCTCATTGACATTCCGCAAGGATTTTATTCACAAACATCACAACCAGCCTGGCAATGCATAAGCTGAGGTCAAAATATAAAATTTTTAATTCTTCCATAAGAACAGCTCAGATACAATGGATGCCAAATGACATCAGGCTTGTGTCATAAAAATGTATCTCAACCAAAAACGTTAGGCAAATGAAAACCACATAAGTTTTTAGCGACTCTTTTAGCCAGGTCCCCGAAACTTAAGGGACTATAGAATATTATTAAACTAACAAACCATATGGTTCTGCATTAGCCTAACACAGTAACATTATTTTGACCATAATCATGAACTTCAAAAATTGCTTAACAGATACAAGATAACAAATTTGTCCATTTAATGGACATATTTTACATCAAGACACGTAAGAACTTAAGTTCACATAGAAACTGCATATACAGACTGTACTATACTGTATGTATGAGTACTCACAAGAAACACTGTTTATTTAACAAGCATAATGGTAAACTGAGTTGCCATGACTACTTCCTTCCCCCTAGGGGACCATTTTATCGCTATTTTATCAAGTTGACAGTACATTTAGAAATCTGAAACCTAACTTTGATTTGTTTTTCAAGCACAGTTTAAGTGTTATGGCCAGAATTGCGTGCTGACTGAAATAACTATGTAAAATTATCATAAACTCTGGTTATTGACCTGATAAGTCAATCAACTTGAATTGTTGGTATTGGTCGTCCAGCGTCAGCTATAAACCAGATATCATTGGCTATCAGGAGTCTAAACGAGAGAGCTGCATTTTAAACTGTCTTTTGTCATAGAAATAAATAAATATTCTCGTTATTGTTGGTTTGTCCAGACATTCTATTATTGTCAATTGCTTATGACAACACTCAGGAAACCTTTCACAGTACACATGTGTTTGCAGTCTCTTAACCAGCTGGGGCATAAATGAAGCAATGAGCTACAGGGGTTTAAAAATTGCAGAGGCCGGTAAATTAACAGGTTTGAACTAGAAATATGTTTATCAAACACTTTGAAGAAGTAGGGAACAGTAAAGTAAGGCCTTAAATTTATTCATTAGCATCTTATTTTTCTTAGCCGGTTTCAAAATCTTTTTTTAAAATTTCATGCGCTAAAGACAAGTCTGTAAAATTTTATTGAGGTTGAAAACTAAAGGAATTTGCGTTTCATTAAATTAATTGATAATTGAAGAAAATTAATTGGTGTTTTTTTATTTCAATGAGGGAACAAAATAATCAGTATGCTACATCTCGAGTTGATTGCAATGTTTTACTCTTAATTAACAGAAACAACTTGCTGGTGGATATAAAATTAATGGTGCTTATTAAAAAGTCATTCACAATTATGTTCTTAACACAAAGCTTACTTTCCTAGGTAAAGAAATTAACAAAAGGCCTCTAGTCAAGAGCCTTCCAGTAAAAATAACTCAACCGTAAATAAACAAGCTTTTGTCAATTTCACGATTCGTACCCTTCCTCATTAAAAATATATTTGCTAGCTTTTTGAGGTGTAAGTTTAATTGAGAGATCAGCATAATTTTAATGTACATAAAGAATAGATGTCGCTTGTACCATTGGCAGCGTTTGATCTATATGAACACGGTAGTCGGGTGCAAAGGAACGCATCTCTTTTTTTTCAGGGGTAATATTTGTCATTTAGCAGCTTAAGCTCAATACAGACACATATTTTGTATCCGTTCACCTGAAGTGTACTTTAAAATACTTGGGTGTTAGATCTCTCAAGACAGAGGCTCATATACAGCCGATATGAAAACAGTGAGAAAGAATTGCAGACGTAATTTTCAGTATTGAGATCTCGACTGAGAAAAGTTTAAGTGGAAAAGGAATATAGTCACTCGACAGTCGTCAGTGGAAACCATGTGATCTATATTTCCCGAGTTTAAAAAAAAGTTTACAATACAAGTCTGAAAAGTTTGGCATACAAGCTAAAAATCAGCTATCTTCCAAACTTCAAACGATTACTTCCAATGAAGTACACAATAAAGATTATCGCTTTCGGATTATGTAATTTGATGTAGGTAAGCTGACATACACAGACTGTGGTTGAACGCGTGACAGGAGTCGTGAACAACAAAAAGTAATTTGAGAAAAATAAGAGTCATTTTCACCGAAGCAACAATTTGCTATTTTTTCTGGCGTCAATCGTGAAAGTTAGACGATACACTTAGCAAGCAACTAAACATCAACAACTCGCAAGCTAATACAGAACACCCTCTAATGTTATTTTAATTTTTGTCGCGTTGCAGCCTTTCTAGTACTTCAACTACAAACAAAACGAAAATGCCCACCAAAAACAAACACAATTTTGTTCATATGGGCAGAAATACATCTACGTGGCATTAACCAAGGGCAGTAAATTCTAACCTTTCTCGTCGATAGAAGTAAACGAGCCATCATAGGCTGGTCTGCGTCTACGCCTGTGATGGTGATGTCTTTGATGATGATGTTTTCGTGGTCTTAGGGGAATATGAACTCCAACGTACACTTGACGATGATCTAGTAGGAAGAAGAAATAAATGATGAGCTAACCAAACCAACCTTCCATTGACAATTCAGCACTGTCACATAAAAAAAACCTTTCATACGATCGCGTGTGCAAAGTACGAACGAAAATTCTATTTTCTATAACATTCACGCGTACGTTGATAATCGAGTTCCCCGATATATCCAGTTGAGCTCAGAGCCCTGTTATCAATGTGTCCTGGTATTTCGTCACCGCTCTAGAAAAAAGAAGGAAAGTTGTAGTTGTCCATTCAAAGAGTTTGACAAAAGGAAAATTTCTGCGTATTCACCGGCTGCGGGAACTCCATCGTCTGTACACCAATTCTGTTTGAAACCTCGCTTGCGTGCATGTCGCGCTTTTATGGCAGCTCAGGAAGACTGGAGCGGGCATCTTTGATACTGCACGACATCAACAAGAGCTATATCCAAATTTTCGCTTGCAAATAATTAGAGATTTTGCGGCTTTCAAGGCGGAAGATTCGAATATTAATATACTAGAGCATTACCCTTTTTGCTCATAGAATTTTTTTTTTTTTTTACTTACCACCTTTTACCTGAATTTGAGCCTAGTTTCACTGCTTTTATTGCAGGTTGCACGTGCGCATCAAATGCTAGCTCTATATTTCCATATAACAGGTGTCATAGTTCATTTTCCTTTTAAACATTCTCACAAGCTATATACCGTACACACTCAGTCAACTACAAGGCGTTATTATGCCGAACAAATGAGTGACAAAAAGAATTCACGGTAAAATCAACAGATCAGTTTTATTTTCAAGTCACGCGCCGTACTCTAGTTGTTAGTTTTTGTTGTTGAAAGAGGTCATTCCATGGCCTTGGCATGAAAATTTTGTAACATCTGTCTTCATCAAATATTGTTGTTTAATTATGGCTCTATAATGACTCCAGATATATACCCTCTTGTATGTACTTTCTTTTATACCAGACTGAAGAGCCCGAACCATGCATGTATGCATGGTTAAATATACTCGTGATGCCAAGATATTACTAGGAACTAAACGAAAACATTGAATGCTAAACTTGTCACTAGGAATAAAAGTTTTTAATATTAATTTCGATATTTTCCTTTAAAACAGTCAATTATTGTTATTATATTATTTCTTTCCTCCATCTAATAAAGAAATATTTGTAATAATATAGCCATATAAATCAAAACTTCTTCCAAGAACTCTTTGCTTTCTGCTCGTGTCATAAAATTACTTTCAAACTGAGGAAACTCACAAAGAAACACTGGGCAGTAAAAGTTTTACAGATATGTTTAATTGGTCCACAAATTGTTACACAAAAGCATTTAATTTAACAAGTATAATGTTATTCGGAAGTAACTTAAGTTAAGGAATTTTGACAGTTTTTATATATAGATTCTCTTTGATGTCATCCCAAGTCATCCGACGTCACACATCTTCGTGATCAAGTATATTATCTTTTAAATAGGCGACAAACAAATGTACTTTTGGTGAAAAAAAAGCTGGCAATATCGTTGTTCGTCACACGCAATGATCCCTCGGAAGAGTAATCTCTGATTCAATGAAACGTCTTTACACCCGGCTTTACAATTAAGAAATTTCACCGGAAAGAACCGAGAAAGAGAGTCATGAAAATGGCTGAAAAAAACGGGCAAGAAAGAAAGCGTATATTTTATTGAAAACTTATTATCTTCAAGTTTCAATATTATAACGGCTTTTAAGTCACTGGCCATTAAACCTGGCAACTGTGAGTTCGCTGTATCACAATGTCGTGCCTTCGAAGGAAAACTACCTGAAGACGTCATTTCTGGTCTTCTGATGTTGGCAAATCTAAGATGCTAATATCGGTTGTTTTTCCTTTGTTCACTGGCTAAGCCTATCACGCTATTGAACTGGCAGAGAAACAATAACGAGTATTCGAGCTAATCGCAGCCAATTGTAAGTAACTTTTCAGTTTCAAGGAGCATTTTAATTTGTGAAATACCGGCTTTCGAGCGAATGAATTTTTCAGATCCTGCAAGATCAAGCAATACTGAGAATACTGAGACAAATTGGCTAAGGGTTGGAGTGCTCTTTAAAAAGTCGTAAGGCACTATTTAATTACCTTGAATTTCTAAATCCTCTATTTCAGAGCGGTAAACTTCGTGCGAATGCGGATCAATTGCCACATCTCCGCCAATCCTCGAGCCCTAAAACGACAAAAGCTGAAATTAACATCTGTCATTGGTTTCAAAAGAGAACAACTTTATCCAAATCATTTTGATTTTGACCATTCTGTTTTATGGTAGAAAGGGACGAACTAAATATTTAGTAAGTTTTAAGAAGGGAAAAGCGATTGTTGCGCGTGCAGAGAGGATGGATCAAAATAAAACGACAGAATGAAGCTTAAGCTTAATTTGTGGTCGGTACTCAGTTGGAAGTCTTATAAACAAAACATAAGCTTACCGTTCGGGGCCGATATTCTCGGGAAATCATTCTGCACAAAATATCATTCGTCTCCTAAGAGACTCTTTTAGAATATTCCAGTGACGATTCAATAAGTCCTTCAAACATGCAATTATTTTCGATCTCGAACTCCGCCATTAACAATATTTACAGGCAAAACGCACAAGCTGCGCATCGCCGTTGTCACCATTTGCAATCCTCGGAAATGTCATTCAAGGATTTGACCAATCATGATGCAACTTCGTCACGCAAGCGATTGACAACCTTAACTTTATTTGGCCAGTTCATTGTTCCTTTTTATGAATAGTAAATTATAAACACAGAACATTGTTTGCATTTCGTTTGCATGTAACTCCTTTGGTTTGACCTTTAAAAAAGTGTCGGGAAAATCCTAGATGGCCAGGGACAAAGACGTGCGGGGGGAGGGGGGGAGGGACGGAGTGGGGTGAAAGTTGACTTCTTTAAATACGAAAAGAGTATTTTATCATTTCCATACAAGATTCAGTTGTTTCCGACACAACAATCAACAATTTGGAAATGGACGGAATTGGAGCAGTTTAAAAACAACCTGTAAAGCAAGTCAAAACAATTGTTAACAGGCACTGAAACTGAGACGAGGGGGTTCCTTCTCACCACAAGACCTGCGAGGATCATAAGAGGCGCTTTGGCGCTTTCTTTAACGATTTTGTTTGCAAGGTACCTTTATCCTCACTGTATTTCCGTTATTCAGAGACATCTGAGATTTGCTTTAAGGCTGTTTTTCCTAACTCAGACCGGTTTTCACAGAGATAGTAGGTGCAATTAAAACCGGTGTCACCTGACAAACTGTGCCCTAAGGATTCTCTTTAGTCCCTGTTAAAAATCTTAATTGAGCGGACGTTTGTCGTAGCCAAAATTTCTGTAAAATCGAACTCCACCCAATTGAGTGCCATTTCTCTCAGTCAAATCCAAGCTTTCTTGCTTCTCATTAGCACCGAACTCTTTGACAGCCTCTGGACACCTTTCTACACATACTGGCGCTTATGGACGACAGCCGCTCAGTACTCAGTTTCTCTTCTTCCACAAGCCTTCATCTCGCTTTCCACTCAAATAAGATTTCAATCATTGCCCAATATGTTTTTTTCGCTAAGCTTTGATGCCTGCAGGGAAGTCTGAGTTGAACATTTTGTTTACGGCCGTATCTCCGTCGATTTCTCCGAGATTTATAGGTATAAGGTGTAGAACCAAGAAACGGTGATGGTGTTTGAGCATGCAACCATTCAATGTATAAGCTCCTGATGAAACAAAACCTTTTATTTTTCCCCTTATGTATCACCAATACTGCTGTAGTTAAAGTGTGGGGCTGGAGACGTCCATGAGTCACGGGGGCAGGGCTAGCCTGTGTTGGGGGGGGGGGGAGGGCTTTACACAGACGTGTAGGGCAGGGCTGCGGGCAGCTGCTACCCCCGCTCTTGTTGGTCAACAGTATTCTTGGTCTTTGAGTAGATCTTTAAAGTACACCGATTCATAATATAGATTTTCACACATATTCCATACAATAGGTGAGATAAAAACAGGAAACGCAAGGTTCCATGCACAGCTTCAGTTCGATTTAACCAGCTTTGATCAAAACATTCTCAGTTTCGAGAATAGTTTATTCTAAACCATAAGAAAAGATTTAATTAGAAGTTGGAATTTTTCGCTATTTCTCTTTCAATTTTACATACAGTTAATTTTATTTGCGGGAAAGTAAGCCTTTAGAAATTCAAAGGTTTGCTCAATTCACAACTGAATTCACGCTCGCGCGTTCTAGTCTTTTTTTAGCTTTATAGAAGGACATCTGTGAGCAGGGAGTAAGTCAGCACAAAATTGTCGGCGAATTTCTGTAATCGTCCATCCTTTAGCTAATGATAAGCTAGCCTTTGATTCACTCGTCTTGCTCGTTTGTGGACTGAGTCTTATTCCCCCAAAGATATTGTAGCCTGTTCCAGGCGTTCAGATGGTGGGGAGAGGGCAAAAAATTAGTTGGGCGCGGTCTCCCCTCGTTTTTTTCCCTCGTGTTCCGCGTATTACGCTCGCCGCGCACGATTTAACTCGCTCCCCACCATCTGAAAGCCTGGAACAGGCTAACCCAAAGAGAAAGAAAGAGTGTCTGGCAAATTGTTTCTAATCAAAGATTTGTGAAACTCTCCAAGTGTTTATATACACACAATAATAAGCACCTTATAACTTCATCTGCGCTTAACGAGTGTGTTTTGGTCCATAACTTTCAAAACAGCTGTTCCACATAATGCCGCTGATAACACGTAACGCAAAAGAGTATCGAAGTATGTGTACAATAAGTTTCACAAAATCAACCTAATTGGTCCCTTCGGGGATTTTCCAAAGTATCTCTTACTTGCGGGCGCGAACAATAGAAACTTCATCATTACCCATGCGGCCCCTGTTCAAACAAGCCGAATTTCTGGGCTACCGACTGTGTAGTTCAACTGTATACGCGCGAGCTACTAGAGTGCCTCCTTGGGATTTCGCCTTCTGGGTGAAATCCCTGCAGTGGCAATGATCTTAAGACTTGTAACACCATAGGAAAAACTGTGCGGAACGACAAGAGTGCGACAGCTCGGTTCAGCCATCCCGTCTCACACATTGTCAAAACTTGGCGTGCCTTCGAATATCTCACCTCCTAAATATAATCCTAGTTTCATTTGATCATCATCAACTGGCCTTCTACTAATATGGGAACAGCGCAAGATCCAGGTTTATAAATGTTTGAATCGGTGAAAAAAAAATAAGCTTACTACCGGAAAGACCCGACGCAGTCATCTCTTTGAAAAGTGCCAGTAATATTAGAATAAGAAATTAAACTACTCATAAGGAAACAAAACCACAGCTACCTTTGTCGGGACAGCTCGTATTCAAACTTGTGATTATGTTAACGTTATAATCACAGAAAAGAGCGCAGCCGGAGCCTACATTTTGACTCTGAGTACAATCAATGAAAGGAGAGTCATCCTATAATACAAGCAGTTGTAAAATATTTTTGACACTTTTGCAACTATTTTGCAAAAAGTCCTGCTCTCTTACTTCGGTGCGGCTCTGAGGACACTGAAGAATTCTTATGAGGAAAAGAAATCCCCCACCCTCTCTTATTCTTCCGATGATATTTCTCACTCAGTACGGTTGTTGAATCCTTACAACTTTGATCATGGAATGAGGAAGCAGGAAGTCCCATAAAACCATTTTTGGATTAAAAAGGTACAGTCTCTCAAGCCTTTTGCAACTGGTTGTAGCTCGTCAGCCACATAACATGCAGGACCTAGATTTCTTCAGCAAAACAGGCTCCTGAGCAAAATTAAAACGTTGCATCAAACCTTAGCCTCCTCAATCTACTTAAGAGCCAGGAGCAAATAACACAGTGTAAAGAGTAGGCACGTATAAACAGCATCGCGCATTACCTGTAGCCTGACCGAGCACATAAAAAAACACACACAAAAACTGGCAAATTTTGCAAACTTACAAGACAAGACATAAGTTCCCTAGGAGTTTTTTCTGAAGCATTAACTCTTGGTGGGTTTCAGTTTAAGTCTCCCTTAGACTTCCGAGAACATCACTAATGAATTCAGTTTTTAATTGTTTGTTTTAATTTGGCCGTTCATGAGTAAGACATGTGATCCAAACTTATGGTCGATCAAAAGAAAGAACGCTACAGGCTAAGATAGCAGGAGTCCAAGACATGGGCTTCTAGGGATTGCCAACAACTTTTACTTGTTGACTTCCTACAGCATCATGACATTTTCTGTGAAGGGTTTTGGTCTTTTTTTGGCTGAATATGTAAATTGACACGTGATTACAGTCTAATTTTGAACGGAAAAATGACCTTTGTTTCCACGTCTAATTTTCGTTTGCTCATTGTTCCTTCCAAGCGTGAAGGTGCAAAACCTTCCATTTTCTGAGCGAGAAGCCCCAGGGACGAGAATGGGGCAGAACTACTTAATCTGCTATACAGAAGAGTGTTTCTGTTTTATTTTGAGAGCAGGAGTACGAGGCTTTCGAAGCTTTTCTGCGGCAGAAAATAAGTGAGTTCTGTACCCATTCTATCCCTTAGAGAAGACCCAGCATAAAAATTTTGCTATCTGAAAAAATAGTCTCGTGACTCGTCACGTCCTGTTAGAAACTCTGAGGGTTTTCTCTATTTTCCTGGACAAAACTCTTGACCCATTTAAGCCTTAACGTACCGGAGTTATTGCTGCGTCATATATGGGGCTGAGTCATGTAATCTTATTTTTTGCGCGCTCCAATGACCATCTTGCTCATGATTCTTTGCGTGCGATAAGTTAAGCATGAAGTCATTAATTGCTAAGTACGTCTTTCCGATCCAGTTCCGCTAGGCCGGAGTAGATTGTTAAAACACAAATTTAGGCGCCGTGCCTAGACGTTTTCGAATTTCAAATCAGAAGTAATCGCGCGATGTTTTCCAACTTTATGAAGTTAGTAAGCGCAAGAGCGACGTTCAGCGTGGTTACATGCATTCTAGAATTGTTGTAGAAAGCTCTAAAACTGAGGTGAAAGGAAAAGAATGCGGGTTGTAGAATCGATCTTCCTTTGTACTGTAGCAGCCAATCTCGATTCAAATCACACAGCTCTAACTGTTAAGTCTGAGGAAAAAGTCTAATAAATTTTCCTTAGTTCGACAGCTTGTTCCATTGGAATTCGGTTTGCGATCACCTTTCTTTTGGTTTCGTGAATTTTGCTATCCCTCTCTTCGTCGAAGATCAAGGGTTAATATCTGAATGGCTGCTTATTCTTCAAAGAATATCCGCAATATCAGAGGTTAGAGCAATATATAAGTCATAAACGTATCATTAAATAAAAGTATGTCCTCTAACAGCAAAAAATACCTTACTTTGTCTTCCATTGCTAGTCCGGCCGGCTGCGAAAACGTGGGTCGAAGCCTGTACCGCAAACTGAACTAGAGGGTCTTAACGTCAATTATTAAATGACGACGCACTAATCTAATGATCGTTCAAGCGGGGTTATTTTGCGTTGGCCGGGAAGCACGGAATTTTGATTTAATTGTTATTAATCACTCTTCTGGTTGGAAGGCCTCAAACACGCCATTATTTGTGGTGGTCATTAGCACAATTTATTGAGCAATGTACTTGATCGAAGGACATATTTTGGTCTAGGGTGTTGGTCGAAACGTCCGCGGTTTTCTTGCCACCAACATTCAATACCAAAACGACAATTTCGAAAACGTCGTCACTACTGTCTCTTTCGTGTACATAAGGAGAGAGGATGAGGAAACTGTCAACTGTTGCTTGCCCCCCGCAGACATTTAAAATCGTCAGAGCAAATGTTGATGAAGTCACGGAGACTCCTTGATTTGTTTGCTTTATTTTAGAACTTCCGTTGGATCGCGTTTGAGAAAAAACCCGTCTGTTTTGCAGTCTCCTTTCTTATTAAATGCCAACAAAAGACAGAAAAACTTCAGTTAAGAGCGGGTTTGCTAATTGTGAGAAAGACTGAAAGAAGGCCTAGAAACGAGACTGAAAACAAGAAAACAAAACAAAACAACAACAAAATAAACAAACAAACAAATCGGCAAACAAAGAACCACAAAAGATATTCTCTTGATTTGGTCTTCTTCAATTCTGATTATTTCATTCAATGACTTAAACAGGGCCATGAAAAGACTCTAGGTCTATTTTAAAGATGCTCCGTGCTTCTAGTGATGGGCCTAACAAATCTTTTTTTTACTGGCCTTTCTAGCGTATCAATCATTTCATGATCTATCAACGTCTCACTCAGTTACTGTTACGAGTCCATTGAAGAATTAAGAACGAAAGAGGCTAGGAGCAATATTGCAACCACAAACGCGCAACGTGGCACGTTTTTTTTTTTTATTTAAAACTTTTGTTAAATACTCCACAACGTACAATACTAACGTTACATGGCATTGCATAACATTGCATTACAATACATTATAAATACATTACATCACGCTTCATTACACTATAAACTTTAATACTAAAGTAACTATACAACAACGAAAAAAATACGCTCGGGGTACACACGTTACTAGGGTACAGAGTCCAAAGGCAGAGCCCTTTTCTTATCAAATTTGTGCATTTCATTTGTTTTAACAAATATGGACTTTTCTGTTTCATTCTTAATTTTAACCTTGGATGAAGAGGCAGTCATACTTGGAAGAGTCTGATTTCTTCTACAACCCCATAAGTACAGTTTAGCGGTCAGTATCAAATAATTCAGTAAAGGGCAATTTGTATATGTTGCAGTTATTTTTTTATTTTCTCTTTGTTTCGAATTCATTAGCATACATTACCATACCCAAAAACAATGGCAAAATAAAAATCAACTGAGATAAAAATTAAAACTGAATTATCTAAAACATGTATGATGTTCCTGTAATAATGTCTTGCAAGGTCAGACAGACGAATTCTCTTGCTAAAGTGTAAAAGTAATTTGAAATTTCCTCTAAAACTGCTTGGTGCGGTTTCTGCATTCGAAAAAAATGTCGTAAAGGGATTCCGAATCCGTTTTGCATAGTGAACATTTATCATCTTGGGTGTAACCTATTTTTCATGACTTTTTATTGGTAAATAAAATTAAATTAAGGACTTTGTATTGAAAAGCTTTTAGATAAGGTCCAAATGCTACCTCATGTGGACAAAGGCACAGTTGATTTGCCCAGTTCGTGTAACTTGGGGTCAGTCAAATTGGTCCTGAAACCAACCCAGAGTGAACTTGCCAATCAGGTCTATTGTGAGAGGGGAGGGGAGGGGAGATTTTTAAGGGCAAAGCGGGAAAGTTCTCTCCCCTGATACAGTAAAAACCCGCGACTAAAAATGCTTGTTGGGCCCCCTCTATGCAAGAACCTGTTTAGCATAAAATTTGAAACAGGCTGTTATTTCTTATAATCTACCATAAATATCCTGTTCACTAAGGCAAATAGGATAAGTGAATATTCATGATCCTCTTTGGAGACGTTTATTATTATTAAGGGCACCTTCGATAAGAAATCTAGATTTGGAGTTTTGAAATACGAATTTTTTCCAATAGAGCAAGAAATAGCTAGAAATTAAACTAAATTTGCCCTGCAGATCCATCTCGGAGAAAAAAGGAACCTTCTTTGCATAAAGAGTTCAGTTAAAAATCCGGAAAATCCTTCTTAGTAAACGATAGTAAAATCAAATAAATTAAACAGAAGTAAAGTATCATACGACTAGTTTAGACAATCTAATTTATTCTATGCGAAAAAGGACTAATTCATTCCAGTGCCAAAGTACTTTGGACGAATAGATAACATATAACCCTCGTTCACTTTTCACTACTTTAATATTCTTCTCAATGGTCAAAACTAACGAAAGGCCGATTACATCAATAATAAATAATGACTAAAAAATAATACGAATTTACAATGTATACAAAACTGCATTCGAAATAAAAATGTTAGACTGTAAACATTAATGGTCACGGAAAAAATGTACTCGAAAATGTCATATTTAAAATGGTGACTTATAAATAACTCCAAAAGGCAAAGCTGTTGACTCATAATAATAAAATCGGAATATAAAAATACTAGTCTATAATTTAATGAGCTAACGTAACTAAGTAAACTCTGCTGAGACTTCAAAAATATATTACATCTGTGACAAATATCATTATGCATAGAAAAATATCATGGAAAATACCAGAGTACGCTCAAAATGCAGAACTGCATTTCGAGAAAAATGAGCATTTATGACCCAGACCACCGTGGCTGTCTTGGCCGCGGAGGCCTAAGCTCCTCTAATTTTTATAGACTGTTTCTTTGAACGACAGTTACATCACCAATTACTTCATTTCCTTCAGGGGTGGTCTGACGGGGCACTTGAAGCTCGTTCCCAGTCCCTTTACATGAGGTCATAATCGTAGCCTTCTAGTTTTGGTAAGCGCATTCTATCCTCGTCGTATTTCCTTTGCCTTTCTTCAATTTTCTTCTCTTGACGAATTTCTTGTATGGTGATCTCGCGTCCGCGTAAAAGTTCGCTACGGAAGATTTAAAAGAAAGAAAAGAAAACAAGTGAAAAAACGGAAGGGAAACGAATTATTTAATTAATCTCAATTTCAGACTAACAAACCATGTTGATTATCAGGCCATTATACTTTTGGGCACTTTTCATCAATTAATAAGAAAGGAAAAGCACGTGCTGATACGTCCGAATCCTGTGGTACTTTTTAATTTTGGGCTGAAATCCACAAAAGATCATAACCATATTCAAAACCATTTAGTTTTCCAGTGTTTTCCTGCACATAAAAGTTTCTTAAAAATTCTTCTTCCAGTTTTGATTGGTTCATGTCTACTGTCTCAGTCCTTTGACTTTGTTTCGATCGGCCGAGCGTTTCACAACAGTTAGTTAAGCAATCTATGAATAAATCCCAGCCATAGTTACCTGTATTCAATTTCTCCGTCATCGTTAATGTCTATAAAATCTATAAGTCTGTCCAATTGTCGCTGCAGATTGGTAAAGATACGAAAAGAGAATAAGATGAAAACGATGAAACAGCTTTTAATATTGCAACCAAAATAATAACGGAGACAAAAGCTTTTGTTTGTGACTGTTGATACCTGAGTCATCACAAGCCCAGTTTCCTTGAGTCCCGTTTTAAACTCCTCGCGGGATATCCCGCCGCTGTGGTCCTTGTCAAACTGGTTAAACCAGTCAACCAAGCGAAGTCGGTTATCTTGAATGAAACTCAGCAATATGCGCATACCAGGAGGCATTTCCTAAAGAAAACAAAAATAATAATGTAAAATACCGAGATAAAAAATAAAAAATAACAATAATTGAAATAACATCGGCAACAAATATACCAGTTCAAACGTCACAAGTTAAGCGTAACCCGTGAACTGGCAGTAGACAGTCTAGATAGCTCCGAGTGAACTACCAAACTAAAAAATCCAGCGCACGGAGAAAAAAAATGGCCATTGAGCAATCTTCACAGTTTCTCCGCCAACCCCTACCCTTTAGTCAAGGGTTTGCGCGCAACTAGAAAGGGACTTGAATCAGTTCGGGGATTTGAATTTCGAATCTGGCGCCCCAAACAATCGGCCAAACTGCCTCTAGAGCAGAGGCTTTTTCCAATAGTTTTTGCCAAAAAAACCATCTCCCTCGTGCATACTATTTAGGATTTGACTGATCTGGTTGGATAGTTTTGATTAATAGTGAAAATCTCATTACGATGGGAATGGTCTGGCTCGTCATTTATGACAAATGGAAAGTACCCTTAGTTAACAGTGGTTTAAAAGTTTAACACGAGTGGGTCTTTGTGCACTGAGTTAATCACGGTTTTCGTGTCTTTGTCAATGCGTAACCCAAATTGTTCTTGTTTCACAGGTTCAACTGTAATTGACCACTCCAGAAAATGCCATAACATACCATAATACTCTTTGTTTGTCATCCCAAAATTTTGCAGAAGCATTGTTTTCAGTTTCTCTTGGGGCCATTTTAACTCCCGAGAGAAACTGAAGACAATCCTTATGCAAAATTTCGGGGTGACAAACAAAGAGCATTATGGTATGTTATGGTATTTCTGGAGTGGTCAATAACAGCTATTGACTTCCTCAGCCAATCGTTCTTGGTAGCTACGAACGTTTCAGCCTCTCACCATCGCAACGGGATGGTTGCTAGCTAAACAGCCTTGACCACAATCTGGATTCTTCTCAGTGTGGATCGCTATTTTCTTAAATTGTGTTCAATACTTCAAAGCATCATTTTCGTCATTTTTAAGTAACATTAAATTGTTATGTACTGCTTTTGATGACGACTGATTACGATGCCCAATAACGGCTGTGATGCATGAAGAACTAATCTCGTGACGTCATCTTGAATACAAATAGCATACATGCAAAGGTCCTTTAAACTTTAAAAATACCATCTTTCAGCAATCTCTTATCTTCAAAGATCATTCTTTGAGAAAATTACATGTCTTACGAATTCCTGAAAAATTAGATGGAGGAAGGAAGAAAAACAAAACAAAGAGAATTTGAAAGGGATGATGATGCCGTTGACCGGCGAAAGCTTGGATTTTAGATTTTACTTTTTAAACAGCAGTTTAAGGCCTCACTAGAAAAGTTTAATATTTTTAATTATGCTACTGAAGGACAACATGAACATATTTAAGAGAATTTGATTTGAACTTCTCGAAATCATGATATGCGAAGCAATATATTACAAAACTAATTTTAACAGCGTTGGCTTTGTGCATTTATGGCTTTAAAGTCAAATATAAGGCTAGCTATAAAATGCTCGCCTCGAGTTGACAATTCTAAACAAGTACTATTTATTGCGTCAAACATTTAAATTTAAAACAAGTAGCACATTCAAATACTCATTACTTTAAAAACAAGCTATAGTGTTAGCTTGTCAGCAAAGTTTCCCATGTAGTTCTTTTGTAGTCTGATGACGGTTTTCTCGTAAATCATCCACGTTATGGGAAAAAAAATTATTTCGTGATCTTCAAGTGAAACTGACAGGATATAAACGCGACCTCTCCTAATTTAAACTACACTTAAGTAGGCTTTTGTCCCTATCAATACCGAATAACTATTGCCTACTTAAAGTTATTGGGTAAACTATTAGGTGTTACGTAACGAGCTTTTGGTTGTTTTTGTTGGCATTTGTTCCCTACATGTGCTTTAAAATTCAAACGTCAAACCTCACATGGGACGAGCGAGAACAATACATTTTGCTCCTTAATATTGGGTTCGTCACATGTAAAGTACGACTTTTGAACCTGGCCAGATCAGTAATAAAATAGATAGATTAGAGAGGGTTATTTACAATGTCCCAAGAAAAATCACGAAAAGTGGCAAAGGTGTCCTATCATATTTGTGTCAAGCATAAGTTATTTATTTTAAAAAGCACCTAAAACTGGAACTATGACTGTTGTAAGGCACTTTACCAGCGCGATATTCAAAATCTATAATTTTGTTCGTGCCGCCTTGTTGACTTCTTGTTGCACCTCTTAAACTTTTCAGTACAATATATTTATCAAGATTATATTTGTGAGTTTTGAAAAAACTGATAATATTTTTAAAGTAATATCTGGAAGATCTTGAGAGTTAGCGAGTAAACAATGCCGATATTGAATGTTAATACGCCATGCATACCGGGACTTTAATGTTACTATCTTAGTGAGTCTCCATGGCGGGCGCCAAAGCAATCCTAGCCTAAAAGCCTATATTCTTAGTTCATGGTTATTCTAGTAGTCTACAGAAAGTTGAATTGCTGACGAACTGTCTGAAAACTCAATAGAATAACTACATCTCGAAGTCAAGCATTCGTTTCATTTAATGCTGCTTGAGCCGACTGACTCAGAAGTACTAACGTGCGCTTTCCCAGGTGGGACTAGCATTTTGATTACAAAATGGTTTGTAGAGCCAGCAGTCCTCTTGCCGCGTACCCACGAGGGACGGGTAGGATCGGAAAAAAGAAGGAAAGGGTTGAGATTTAATAGTCAACACGGTTGATAATCCTATAAGATTCTGAAAAACCACCCACTGGCCCCTCTCCTAACACACTTAGGGCAAAATGTTTAGGTAGGGGAGGGGTGGGTGGGGATGTTTCCAGTATAGTGATGAGAAAATCCCATTGGGAAGGAGGCAGAGCAGAGACTATTTTGAACGTCTCCGAGGGCCCCTGTGTTGACCTGGTTCTTAAAACAATTCTAGCGGTCACATAGTGATGTGTATTCGGGGACCCAGGGCTTCTTTTTCAGTTCCGCAAAGGTCGCAATCATTCACCTAGGCCATATCACCGTTGTAAATGCTGTAGTTAAATTCAATTCGTAATTTAATTTTATATTCCCTTGATTTGAACTAATAACCATACATTACTGTACCCAAGAACAGTGAGAGATAAAATTAAAACCAAGGATAAATGATTTGAACCACAACGCACTCCATACCCTATACAAAGGAAAAAAAAGACATCTGCACACAGGCGACCCATTCTCAGCAGCTATAACCCCTTTATGGTCACTCTCAAATCACAATTTGTCAAAACCCCGTGATTTCTGCCTTTTCTATTCTTATTCTCGAACCGAACGCGGAAATGGACAGGGGAAAGGGTCGCTTCTTCTCGTCGGTACCACACCCGGTTCGCCTCTTTCTTCGCGCTTGTCTTGTTATTTGCCCTTTTTCCCCAATAAGGAGCCTGCTCAAAGCCTAATTCAGGAATAGTTCCACAAAAGAGCGAGAGACATCATGCCCTTTTAGATTTATAGACATCCTCACGTATGTCGCACTACTCCTGTAAGAAATTTCGAACAGACGACTTCCAAGAATGGGCAAAAAAAAAAAATGCTTAAACGATACCTTTGGTCTCTTGTAACCGCCGATACCTCCTGTAATTATAGTGACGCCTTTTTCTTTCTCAATCTCTTTGATTTCGTCAAATATTTTAGGAGATACTGTTATGTCCTACAAAAGAGTAGACACAAAATTCCAGTAAGAAAACCCATTTCTTCATACGTTTAATCGAACGTTTTACAAAATACCCATGGGCAGTCAAACTCTCTTTTACAGAAACCTATTGGACTGAGTCAGATGCCCGCATTACAGAGGTGCCTGTATAATGTAGAGGTGGGAATGTATGAAGATTGCTGGACTTGAAATCTGGGGGCTCCGAGCTCAAGTCATGTCCGCACCACTAGCTGGATTGTTTTTTACTGTAATTGTTATTATTGATAGTAGCACTATTATTACAATCATTAAGTTTGGTATTTCTGGGACGAATATGATATTACTATCCCCGGCGTATAGAGATGTCCGTATTATGGAGGCTAGCAGGCGAGCATGTTCCCTAGGGGGCTAGCTGAGGGGTCCGGGGTCGAGACAAATACCCCCCTTTTTCTCCCCCGCCCTCAAAGCCCCCAGAAAGCTTGCTCCCAGACTGTATAGAGGAGGTCGTAGAGGTTTGATTCTACTTTGATAAATTGTAAGAATAGTTATGTAGAACGTGGTACAGGAATACCTGCAAACACAGTGGGAAATACCCCGATGCCTAGTGCCAAGCACAGATAACTAACATTTGTCGAGAGCCAGAAAATGCATTTTTCAGGATTGATAAGAAAACACGCATGTTTATTGTAACGGGCTAGCGCATGCTGCGCGAGTATTTTCTTTCAATGCAAACCTTAAGACTTAAAATTTTACAAACTTTAACAAACATACTTCAAGAGAAAGGAACTTTATGGTGCGGTGAGCCTTGACGACATTCAACAGCGTTTCTACTCCTCCATCCCCAATAGGATTCTTCCCGATCTGCAAGGATTACAGCAATAGGCAGGTTTAGCAAAGACGGCAGAATGTCAAATGAAAACGCGAAAGCGCGCGGACAGGACTAAACGTGGCTTCCGGAGATTTATTTGCTATTCACCAGCCTGGTTCCCATGCCAGTCCGCGCTATCCGACAAGCCTAACAGGTGACGTCAGGTCCGAAATCGCCGAGGAAGACTAAGAAAAAGGCTGCTTTTCTACCATTGATCATGTCACAGACAGCTGAAAGACTGGTAGTCTTTTGTTATACGCGGTCATGTCGGTTTTATGTTCTCCGCGCTATGAACACTTTTGTCGCGTTGTCTTGTTAAATCTGTCAATTACATTGAAGATACACAGTGTTACTCTTAATTAACCTAGCATTTATTTGAAACTTCAAGCAGTGCTTTCTTCCGCTGTGTATGATATCTTCATTTAAGAGAGTCGGTAGAGGACAAAGTCTATGACACAAACCTCCTTTTTCGCACTTTGTATATACGCAAATTAACTCTCCTGTTGTACTTAAACACAAACTAAAAGAGGTATAAGCAACTCCAACGAATTGTTTCTGAACATCAGTTCCCTGTAGAACTTGAAGCCGAAGAACTTAAATGATAATTGACTTTTCACTTTTTTTTAAATGTTAAGGGTTATAAAAGGTACCAAAGAACTTGATGGGGACGGCACGCCCACATCGCTATCCAAAACTGATCACTCCAATGTGGACGAACGTTGCGTACCTTTAAGACTTTGAGATTTGGGTGTGCAGCAATGCCAAGAGCCAGTTTCTGAGTGGCTAGTAGACCAATACGATTGTTACTGCAAAAAAAATAAAAAAGATTCAAAAGTACTTCATTATACTCCTTTATGGCTAATGTGTTTTACAATCATGAAGTCGACAGTTCTAACACAGCAAGCTCTCAAGGGGAAAACGGGTGGTGGAACGGGTAGGGAAGGGAAATATCCGGGGCGCACACGAGCCACGGGACAACCCTAGGGTAGTAGCCTCCCACGCAGACGTTCTTAGGGGTTCGTCACGCCAAAAAACGTCCGCGGGGGAGGCTAGTACGGCAGGAACTTAACCTCGTTTCTGTCAAACGTGGTAGACAAGAGTATTGCTACTTCCCAACAAGAAATGTGTAGTTAATATCCCCTCGGCATTATGTTACCTGTCCATTCATTTATGCATCTAGCTGGGTGAGGAAAGATAAATCAGATTTGGAACGCAAGTGCTGTGCTCATCTTAGGGTGCTTTCCATAGCCGGACCAGTCATTTTGACTATGAAAAATGCTTTTTTCCGAGAGTTTTTGTTGAAACACTATCTCCTTCGTGTATGCTTTTTAGGATTGAGTGATCTGGCCGGATAGTATTGATTAAAAGTGAAATTCTCATCATGACTGGAATGGTCTGGTCGGTCGGTGCGGTTCTGACAAATGGAAACCGCCCTTATTGCCATATTCTGCCCGCAACTGGACATTTAGCCAGCGAGCAAGCTCTCCTATTTGGGCGAGCCGCGCGAGAACGCGCCAGCGAGCGGCGAGGCCGCAAGGGGAAGCCCCCTTCCCGCTTCCCCCCACTTTCGCGTCTCCTCTCGTGTGCCTCTCGCTCGTCTACTTTTCGCGATATCCCCCAAATGAAGAGCTTGCTCGCGAGCTACTGGAGATTCGGCTTGAAAATACAAAAGGATTTCGAGTACTGCTGTGAATGTTTTTGTGTTCATTAAATTGAAAAGCACTTTGAGACACTGAAATTTTGTTTGCTTTAGTGATCAAGATTTCTTCCCTTAAGAAATAGTTGGAGCCAATTTTAGGGATGCGAAATTTGGCTGGCGAGTGACACGTTGAGGTGTTCTAACAAAGAAAAGCTGTAAGCACAGGAGAACGTTTGAATAAAGTCCACGTCTTCGTTCTCGTCTTAAAATTACGTGCTGAATCGCTATCGATTAATTTTAGTTAATTAAAATAGAGAGTTACTATCAAAAAGGTAAGAACAGTCGAAAATGTCGATTTATGTCAGCCTTCCATGTTACCGCAAAATCGGGTCCAAGTTGTTCGTCTCCTTCGGCAATTTATCAGCAGGTAAACACAAACATAAAAGTGATCACATTTTAAAGCGAGTCTAACACAACCTAACTTCTCAAGGGAAGCTCTGGCAAAACAGTGTAGTATACCCACACCTTATATGGAGCAAACTTTCATTCACCTAAGATAACAAAATGATACCCAGGCAAGCAATATTTTACCTTGACCCAATAATAGCTACAAATCCCGCCAAATCATTCTACCTGAGAAACAACTTCAAGTAAAGACAACCACCTCCCCCGAATGAACGTTGCTTCGCACAAACGCCCAAGGTTGAGGCTCTCTTTTGAAGACACAACAACATTGATTTAAGGGGAGGGGGAGGGATGATTTGCAGCGGGCACATTTGTACGATGTTTAGAAAAATGCCCTCGAAGTACGCACAGGAAATGTTATAGAGCGTTTCGTCCAAGATTGTTGCAATGTTTCACATTCTGGCCCTGTAACAGAAGTGCTTTTCTATGCTCTTTGAATGCGGCTGCTTTTTGGTGCCGTGGCATCTCTAGCGTCGTGAGTTCAGAGTCCTGTAAAAGATAGACAATACCTAATGTCAAGTGATTCTAAAGCTTCATTTTTCTTCAGAAATCGTCCCAGAGCCACGCATCCCAACAGGGATAAACCATTCCAGGAAATGTTGAGATGTGAAAGGCAATCGTTTGTCTGAAAATAAGAAGATAGTATGCATGTATAAGAAGGGTTGCACATAAGGCTGGCTTCTTAACCTGACAAATACAGTAAAACCTCCATGTGTGACCACCTCTCACAAGGGTTTACGGTCATCTCGCCACCACATAATTACTCTACAATAATTGACACTGTTTACTTACCTGGGATTGTTACTTCTTCCTTAAGCCCAAATTTAAGTTTATCGATTTTAATTGACACCTTGCGTCGTACTTCTCATCTTCAGTTTTGTGAATAATTGCTACTTTTTAATACCTTTATACGGGTTATTTGCATCGCTCGAGAGGTTTGATTTGTTTAAAATCCAACATCCTTTAACTTATGAAAGTTGATTAATCTTGTCACTTGAACCTTACCTCCTTAAATTCCATTGTAAATCTAAAGTGAAAGAATTCAGAGACTTGTCCTTTCGATAAGTATTAACATACATATTTCTTGTTGGCGATTTCATTGGTGGCGAGGTGACCGGATACCCCCAGAAGTGACCACTTATCCAAAAGACCAAGATTTTCCCCGTCAAAGCCTTATAGTTTGAACCTACAACTACCACCTCTCGAAAGCGACCACCATCACTTTTTAAGATGACGGTCGAATAATTTTCCATCTGATACAATGGTCTGATATTTGTGTTCGCTGTATGTACTACGGTACTCATAGTACATGAATGAGAAGGACTTTTAGAAACTACATGGATTTACATATATCGTAACCTCGAAATTGCATGCAATACATTCTCTCCAAAAGTAAATGTGTCGGGCCTTCTCCTCGTAAATGACCTCCTACAATACAACTTTCGTAAGCGAACACTAACTCTTGGCATTTTGTGTGGTCGATTACGGAACGTTCGACTGTAATGTGCATTTTCATTGTGGTGAGGTCTACATAAAATCACAATTTGATACGGTGCAAAAATAACAACAATGTAATATACACTAGATGAATTTTTAAAATAAACAAACAACAACAAATGGTGGTTCCATGCAGTTTTTACTATTTTTGAGCAATGTTACTCTGCTTCATTGCCAAAAATCGACAAAAATGTGGGGTTGCCATATTCATTCTCAGTTTTCTTTATGGACGTCACATACAGTAAAAACCCGCTTATAAGAACCTAAAATTTAAGAACCTGTTAGTCTAACATTTTCATTTTAAACAGCCGTTTCATAAGAACCTATTTAGCCCAAAATTTTTAGTTTAGGTTTCAGCCAGTAAGATTCAAAATGTAACACAGCATTTTATGGACACAGCAGCACGAAAGACATGCATGAATGCTAACTAGTACTTTGGAAAGATAAATTTACTGTATGGTTATCATCTAAATTGTATTCTGGATGATTATTTAATAATGCAATATATTCAAAATCACATATGCCGTGTAGTAGTTATCTGTGCTGATCGCTAGTGCCCCTATCAAATTAAGAACCCACGTAGCCTAAACTCCCACTAAATACCATTTCTATAAGAATCTATTTAGGCTAAGTTGGAGAAATCTAGGTTCTTATACGCGGCTTTTTACTGTATCCCTTGCTGAGAGCCACTCCTTTCTGCACAGTCAGAAAATGATTTCCATCAGTGGCTGTTAAGACAAACTTACCTTCAAACCCTGGGCCATTCCAACAGCACCTTTAAATCTTATACAATTCCAACTGAGATCTAGGTGTTTTAAACCATAGTTCATACCCTGCCAAGGCAAGGAAGAAATAATTTTATTCACCAGCAAACACATCATTTTCTTTGCATAACGGACACAAAGCTTTGAAATCCAAAAAAGATTTTTTAGTAACAACAACAATACTATAAACATGTTGCAGCAGTTTAACACGGGTGCTTTACAGAAGTTTATAATAGTTTTAACAAAAATGTACTAAAATGATACGGAGGGGAAAAAAAGCTAAAAAGGCTGCAAAAAGTGACTTCAAAGGCTGTCCTAAGATCAGCTTCTGAAGTAAGTGTTTACAAAAGTATCTTTGTTAAAGTTTGCCTTTAAACCTTTTCCACAGGACAAAAGCTCAAGCCAGTGGCCAGTGCTCTAGACCTGCCTAGTACATTGGAACCTCGATAACGAACGAACCTCCATACAACGAACTCCGCGATATAACGAACGATTTTCTTTGCCCCAGTAATGAAAAAGAACCTGGATATAACGAAACCTCGGTATAGCGAACAAATTTTGCCAGTCCCTTGGCCCTTCGTTATATCGAGGTTCCACTGTATACGGTTTCATCCCGGGTTTCATATTTAACAACAAATAAGATTTGCTAGTTGTCCAAAAGCGAAAGTATGGTTCCAGGGACGACCGGGGGCTGCTAGAACAAAGTCCTGTCAAGGAATAGTCTCCCTCGCAAACGGCTGCGGGGGAGACTAGTCAAGGAACAAAAATGTACTTATTTTCAATAAAATTCTTTCAAATTCTTAAAGTACAAATATAAGGTGAAGCGTGACAATGAATATTGAAAATTTAGATTTTGATCTTTGTTTATTAAAGATCTCTTACCAGACCAGCTCCTAAGTAAATTCCACCCATTTCTCCAATTTCATTGTGGCTCAGGTCCAGGTGAGTCAGAGTGCGATTTTCTTTCAGCGCCTCGGCAAATGCTTTGGCATCTTTGTCCGACAAGTGGTTTGCTGATAAGAGAAGACATGAAACTCTCACACACATTCAATAAAACTTGTGCTCAGTTAGACTTTTGAGTCTCAGAAACCCATTTTTCGAAAGAAAAAGTGCTCCCTTGCACGTTATTTTATCGCTTTACAAAGAAGTGACCAACAGCAATACCAGTTTAAAGTCAAGCCAGGTCAAGCGCACCGCCCAAGATTCCAGACAAACAGACAGACAGACAGCCTTTATTTTAGCACAATGACATTAAAAGCTACGCAGCTTATGGGGTCGTGCATAAAAAATAAACCTAAGAACGAAATATATACGTACATGTAATAAAACAACACAAAATCAGACTATCTAAAAGCTCATTGTTAAAAACTCTGACTAAACTATATGTGTACATCATTAAAAACTCTAAATCTCCTAAATATAATTAAAATCTTTACATCTAAAATTTGTAGTTGTTGTAGTTGTTTCAAAAGTCAACTCTTTAAAAATTTCCATTGAACGGGTTTTACTCTTCAGGTCTTTATAACTTATGTTTGAAAAATTCTTGTCCTTAAAAATTAAAGCATTCCATAGTGCGGGGCCTCTATGAGCGACAGAGTTTTTGCCATAGGTAGAACTGAAACGAGGCACCGTTAGAGAGCCTGGCTCTCGTAAAGAGTAACCTGTAGCGCGTTTCATTACAATATTACAATATAGCAGATAGTGATAATTCAGTCCGTTGGTAGTTGAGGCTAAAAAGCTGTTCTCAAAGTATAATGATAAAAAACACTCGCAATAATTTACTTACATCTTAGCACCAGCTTTATCAATGATGTGTTCTTCAGTAACATGCTGGCAAAAGCCACACCCCCTTGTGATCGAAGAAAATTCTCAGACAAGTTCTAACAAAGAAGAAACGAGATATACAGTCAACTCCCTCTAAGATGGACACCTTTGGGATCGGCAGTAAGTGTCCGTCTTAGAGAGATGTCTGTCTTATAGAGAGTCAAATAAGGGGAGTAAAGAAAGGTAGGGACCAACTCTAGGTGTCCGTTTTAGGGAGGTGTCCGTCTTATAGGGTTGTCCGTTAAGAGAGAGTCGATTGTAGCTGTACTGCATAAAAACGACAAGCGTATTTAATGCTGTGTTGAAATTACCTGTTGAAATTATCTTGGTATTGTAAAGAGTCTTGATGTTATTCCCAGTTAACTGGTGTGGTGGATAATAATAAGGCATTTTAAAACCTAGCTCTTTAAAATGTTTATAATTCAGCAGATGGGTGCACAGTTTAAATGGTATATGAGGTAAAATGGTTTTTACTGTGAAGAATACACACCGTTGTTACTCAACAAAATGGGTTACTGAAAAGTTTACGTAGATTCTCATCATTTTTTAAAAGTTTTAAAATGTTAACAAACCTGTCAGTATTTTGTCACTGCTCTTGATTTCAAAATGAACTGTCATCAGATGATAGGAACATTGATTATTATTTTAATCAACAGCCTTTAGAAATATTATTAACTTATACATCAAATATGTGAGAAAAAATCAAACAAAACCAATAGAAAAATCATTAATTTCATTGCAATGCAGTTACTTAATTTACTGTAATTTTTAAAGTTAATGCTGTTTAAAGCAAACAGATCTGTTCAAATCTCCCATGCCGATAATCCTTAGCCAACAAATAGCATAATTATTTCCCTCAAGAATTACTTTAAATGATTGTGATTGTCCACTGTGTCCTAGTGTTTAATTTTAAAAAGTCATGCTAAACAGACCTCTGTATGAGCTTAAATTATCAACTTAATGTAATTATGGGAAGCAGTTTGGGAGGAATGTATAAGTATATTAGGTTTACATTTCAGTTTTTCTTCAATGGAAGAGCTTAATTTAGTTACTTAATTGCCACTCCTTTAATAGTACTTTACACTCAGCTAGACAATGTACACAGCCAACCAGTGAGAGTGTTATTTATGATCTGATAATAATGTATCGATCATTCCAGGAAATATCCATACCTTTCCCATGGATGGTTAATAAAAATTCTGAGGGGGAGGGGGTATAATCTAAAAGACCATCTGTGGGGTGGGGGTATGGATATTTTCTGAAATAACACAATGGCACATGACATATGTTTCTGTCATGGCATAACTTAATAACTATTTTTTAACATTGTTCAGGGTGTCAAAAAACCACGTCATTGTCTCACTTTCTTACAAACATTTTATTTCAAAGCCCTCTTTTCCCATCTTGTCATACAAAATCCTATATGCTCCCTCTTTCTACATTAAGACTGCTTAAAGTCTGAAAACACCTGACAGCTCTAGATTTTAAGTTGGACTTGCTTACTGTTGGAGTAAAATTTATTGCTTAGTTTCTGTCAAAAAATGACATGCTTGCATGGGTAAAATTTGTTGCAGTTACAGAAAATATCCACACTAAAATCCCTGCTTGAAATTTTGTTGGTTCATGTAACAATGTCTAGTTCAAGCCTCTGAAAATTCCAGCTTAGTCCAATTAACCCTTATTATTGCACTGTAGATAGACTGTGGTTTGGTGCCTAGGGCTGATGGGAAACCCCTCTGACTCAGAATTCCCATTGAATTATAAATTCTGTAGAAAGGGATGCTTTACCAGACTGTATATTGCTGCTGTTAAATTGCATGATTATTTATTCATGACATTCACGTTGTGAGCTTAAAAAGACCAGATGAGTGATATTGGTTGCATAAAGTCCTGGTTATCAAACTATTATTGACGGCCACCATGATTGTTAAGTGCATTTAAAAACATCCAGGTTCCTTTTTTACATGACATAATAGTCATGCTAATCATGCATTGCAGTGCCTTAATTATTGATAGCAACATAGATTTAACTTACTATTTCTGTGATGAAGCAGTTATCCATCAACATTCTGGCCAATGCAACTCCCCCAGCAGCCTCTATGTAGTTATCTGTCAAGTCTAACCTTTCTGTAAAAGTATTTTTCTGAGAAAAAGGAAGGATCGATAAATTAAGGGATTGTCAAAGGTACCTGCACAAACTAATATGAAGAAAAATATGTTACAATACTTATAAATAACAATTATTTTTGGCTGTCTATATAGATGGCAGAGCAGTCTGAAAATGTCTTTTTCTAAAGTCTAAGTTCCTTCACTGAAAAGTGGTTAAGTTGTGTAATGATTATTACCCAGGCACTTCATGTTTCAATATACTGCACAACCACATGTACATTTTCTGTCCCTTTGACAATGTCAAAATATGTGCTTTTTGAAGACTTGAATGCCAATAATAGGAGCTTCTAATAAATTGTGTGCAGCACATAAAGTACAATACAATTAAAATCCTCCAGACGGTACATCTGTTACCATGAGTTGCACTGGTGACCATACAGTCAACCAGTGCAGTGAAGCAACTCTTATCTTATGTAGACCTCTTTGCCTGTTCAATGGAGACATTTAATAATTTTAAGCACTATTAATTTGTGTGGAATCCTAGACTTCGCAAACAGCATCTTCTTTGTCCACACTATAGTGTTAGGACAATTGCACACATGACCAATATATGGGCCCATATTTTAATAATGGCCCTATGCACTTAAATCAAGGGTGAAGGATCAAGCAGTAACAACTGCCTGAGTACATCAAGAGACTGCAGAACTTTAGCGCAAAAGAATAGATTTAATTTAGCAACACACTGTCTTTCCTTAACTTGTAACTTCCACACAGAAAAACCAAGGGTAAAAAATACTTCATGTAAAAACCACCTGCTTTGGTATTTGTGTTAAACACTAAAATAAAAGGCATTTGGTTAATAGCTAGGTCAAGGTACGTACAATGAGTGCCTGGGCAATAGGCAGTGTTCCTTGAGATCCCAGTCCATGATGCTTCATAACAATCTCTTTGGATCTGAACCGGTCAGACAAATATGACACTGGGACAAGATCTGTTCGTAAAAACAATATCACTGGTAAATCAATAGATTATAATTAATTTTTCTCATGTGAAGAATGACTGCTGAATGATCCTGAACTAAAAAAGTGTTACTTAACCAGCCAAAATTAGAGGCCCTTTTAGGGCTGGGTGGGTTATGCATGTCCCTTGTCTTAGCTATACATGTACAATATACGTCTCTCTTAGCATTTCACTTAATTTTTATTTGAAGTACAGCTATATCTATTGTTTTCTTTACTGTCATAGTGTTAACCAAACTTTGTTTTGTTTGTCACCATTTCATCTTTCCTTATCCTGCTAGCAGAGGTTTCTTCGCAGCATGGTTTTTAGCATTTACACATTAATTTGCATCTCCCTATAATTTTCTTTTTTTGTGTTTGACAGAAAAACTGGATGCGTAAACAAGCCAACCTATGTGAACGCTAGTGACTCAAACAACTTCATATTAAATACTAGGTACTGAAAATCATGTTGGAAAAATACCTCTGCTAGCAGGGTACTTGTTGGAATAATTTACACCATTAAAACAGCTGACAGCCTTAGAGTATCAGTTGTTGCTAGCCAAAGGTAGTACCCAAAACTTCATTGTCCCTTTGGGGAGCCTTCCAATGGGTAAAAATGACAGGCAACATGGCTTCAAAAATTGATGACAATCCTCTCAGAAAGCACTGACAATTGGCAGAAGAGGAGGAAAAAATTGTGACTGTGACAATCCATTTTTAAGTAGGTGAAAGCTGCAGTTAACTTTTGTATTTTTGCTGTTTTGGCAGCAAAATAAAAACTCTCTTCTGTAATTTGCAAATATTTTCTGTTATTTTCTTTGGAAAATGTTTTAATAATTAGAAAGTGATTTTCAAAAGGGGCTTATCAGATTATCAGTTTATGTATTTTGGAAGTTGAAATATTAAGGGGCTTCTCACCTTCTTCTTTGCACAACTTGTGGTACACATTTCTTCCTGATGGATCAAACACTTTCTTTGGAACTGAGTAACAGTAACATAATGAATCACTGATTTGTTTTCACAATATTGCTCACTGAAAGGCTGTTTTCAGTCATAACATTGTACAAATGTACCTGGAAAGTCCTCCTCTAAATCTGTTTCATAATCTGAACTTTCATCATGATCTAGCAAATTCTGAAAAGAAGGAGAGGCAATGGACCTTGAACTGCGACCATCATCTGATTCTGGTATAGACACCATAGTAGATACAGAACCCGGTATGAGGGCACCAGCATTGAATCCTGTACGCCTTCTGGGGAGGGCTGACCTTCCTTTGTCTTGTGAATTACTGACAGTCCACGTCTGAGTAGTGGAATTATTACCTGAGACAAAAAACAGCACATACATGCCAGTCACAGACTCCAGCCAGGGCACCCTAAACTTTTTATGTGCATTGTGATAAAAAAAGGCACTTTATCTGATTGTCAATGTAAATTTTAGGATGAAAATACTAATTGGGGACACAATTTTTACATTTCCTACCAGAGACAGGAGTGTCACCTTATGTGGCCATCCAAGCCATGGAAAGGTCTGGCCATTTGCAGGGTAAGGCAGTATTACTCAGTTATTTCAAGACCCTGAGTACTGGTCCTGCACCCCCGAGAATCAAACCCGTGCCCTCCCACTCTGCAGTCAAGCACTCTACCACTGAGCTAATCCTGCCGCAGTAATAAATTGATGTTATTTTGTTATCCATAAACAACAACCACATGTATAGTTGTGACTCATGATTTCTACCTTCAAGAAGTGACGTGATAAACACAGCAATATTTGCTTAAACATTGCCTCCTAAGTAGATTATTGCATGACAAGCTGAAAGGAGGTCTTACTTCTTGAAGGAAGAGTAACTGCATATATGTAAGTATGTATGCATGATACCCCTTTTATTTCAACCTTTCGCTTTGGAGGCCCAGAAGAACAAGAAAACAACAAAAACCTATTCTTTAAGATAAAATTGCTTGCGTAAATGTCCTAATAAATGCCCACTTCCAAATAAAATGCCTCTTATCTTATAAACACTCCCTCTAAACTGTTAAAATTTTATTGGACGCCCATCTTTAATAAATGCCCCCTGCCTAACAGATGCCCCTATGAGAATTAGTCCAAAATACCAGGGACTAGCAAGAGGTGCAAAATCATTCAATTCATTCAGTTTCTTGCTTGATCAACAAGGCTTTGCTAATTGCATCTTGGACAATGTCAATTTTGAAGAAGGATAGACAAACGATAGGAACACAACAATGAGCAAGGATTCTGACATCAGTGTTGAAATTTCAAAGAGGGATATGGATCTCTAGATGGCCTAGATGTATCAACTGGAGGGGGTATTCTGCTATTTTTTAACTCTCTCAAGTGATATTTTCACCAAAAGCATTATATTAAGCACCCCCAAAATTGAATAGACGCCCCAGGCAATTTATTAGGTCATTAACGGTATTTGATTTTTGCTGAACACTGAAACCAACTCAGTGATTGCATAACTCTCTGCTCCTGGTTTATACAAAGTGATGTAGTTGTACATCAGACCAAGTATTTAGATCACAAAAAAAACAGATCAAGCTATAAATTCAAAGAATCATTGGACAGAATGTGAAAAGGGGCACTTACTTGGTGTGTTATATTTTGATGATTCAAATTCAGTTGAATTTGTGACTGCATCACTGTTTGACTCATGTTGGGTGTCCTGTGGCACAGCATTGTCCACCCAAACAACTCTTGCTTTGGATGGGCCTTTCTTTGATCTTTGGGTAGTCTTTGTAGACTTGTTGACCGTTCTACTCTTTGTCGAAGTTTTTGACCTAAATATCAAATGTTGAAGCAAAGGATAAAACTGTAAGCTTCCACAGATGCACAGGTTTGATCGGGGGGGGAGAAGGGGATCATTTTTTGTCAAAAGGCATTCAATCTAAAAAAACAGTGAATATTTTGTATTTTCCATAAAAAAATTCTTTGACATACTCAGCAGATTTATTTCTTCATCTTTTTTGGAAAATATATAAGATGCACAAAAGCATGCCCATGATCAGTATTGAAAGAGGCAACCTCCTAAAGAGGACCATAGCTGAATCTGAGATAGTAGCCCAAGAAACAAGTAGGAACAGAACTCTGAGGGAAATTAGGATCTATCACCAATCCTTTATCACCCTGTTGGCATTTTTGTATAAAATGTACAAGAATTTACCTGTTAATGTTGTACACTTTTGTTACTCTTTCATTGTTGTTTCCAAATGCAGATTTCGGCCTTGAATAATCCAACACTTCATCAAAAGTAGCCTCTTGTTCATTATAAAGTCCCAATGAAGTTTGCGGTCTTGAAACATTTCTCGAACCAGGGCTTGTTTTGGGGGGTGATGGTGTTATTGCTTGACGATAAGGCTTTCTTGCCACTTGCTTTTGATGTAAAATAGCGGGTTTTTTATCCTGAAAAGAATAGAGGAATGCAACACATTATGATTTACCATACTGAAATAACTAAATTATTTTGTTGTTTTGTACACAGTCACTGAAAAATGAAAGATAAGAAATTACACTCTATTATCCTATCCCTTGAAGGGACTTTTCAGGGATAATGAAGCAAAGTCAGACCCCTTGTACGGACACCCGCTTAACTCTTAGTTTTCACATGACGTCACCAAAATTCAAACTAAGAAACTATCAATTCTTCTGAGTTTTTACTTTCATGAGGTATTACAGCACCTAAACACCTTTAATATACAAATTTTCGGCTTGAAAGGGTCCTTTGTTTTGCAATAGAGGATGCTTCCGTTTTCAGGTTTTTGCATGATGCAGCATCTAGCTGGTGGTTGGGAAAGCTCTTATGTGGGTTAAAAAAAACATTCCTTGCCTCAGAATAATAATTATTACTTTAACTTTATGAGTTCCTCAAGCAAGGAATTAACGCTTTGTAGGAAAACTCAAAAACAGGTGTTTTTATTGATTTCTGGTGGCCATGTTGTTTCCATATATATAAAGCTTTACTGTATGAATTTGAATAAAACATTTTTCTGAATATCTTGCATAAGAAATATCGCACAGACTTGATTCTTGGCAAGGTTTTTTGTATATTCATCTTCTTTAATTTCCCAGATTCTGGACTCTCTGTATTGAATTGTTTGCATTTTTATTTTTGATGGCATCACAGTGAAAACATAGAATATGGGCACTTCATTTATTACAGACAGTTTGCTTTGTCCATGGGAGAAGAAAGCCCTTTGATGATCTCTAAATTCAGCCCACTTAATATGGACACCCTGTTAATACTGAACTTTTTATGGCCCCCTCAGTGTCCATATTAACAGGATTTGACTCTTTAATTGGAACGTATCAAGCTTAAGAAACCCAGCTGGTAGAAGGAAAACCAGGTGGCTATTTTGCTATTGTGGCCAAAGATTTGAACTCGGGATTTCCAAGAACAAATCCAGGTAGTCGTCAGGGCAGGACTTAAACTCGAGGTTCTATGACAGAGATTAGCTTAGAGACCTTGAATTGCTTTAGCATATAATAAAACGTACTGTATGACCTGCCAAAGTTCCACCAGTTTCATGCAGCTTTGAGGCACTTTATATCTAGGCATTAACTACACTAAATTAACCAAAAGTAACTAATGTGCGGTGGAATACATGCAATTTACAGAGTGGAGGCGAAATCTTAAATAAACAGCGGCTTTCTAGCCAAAGAAAGACCTTCAATACATGATTCTAGAACAAGAACCCTGACTCTAATTAACTAGCACCGCCATGAGCTACAAACCGTTCTTTTCTCCAACGAAGACGGCGGAGTAAAGCCAACATTAAACACAGAAGTTTTAAAAAATTAACAACCCTAAAGCTATAGATACCCTGGAACGATGCTTCTTCTCATGGGAAATATTAAAACAGTTAACAACAAAGCGGAAGCCTCACCGGTGTTTGAGTTGAGATGAATCTGTTGCCATGCGAGTTCACCCCCGGTGATTTTGCGGATCTCATAGTAAACAGAGTCAATCATACCTTTCTCCGCCTTCCTTTGAAGGCCTTGAAGCATTACATCGTAACAGAAATTAAAAGAAAACTTAAATACTGAAGAGGATTGTATAAAACATGAGTTAACTTCAGACAACCCAGGGGACAACCTCCTTACTAGCGTTCAAAGACTTCCGCTGACATGACTGCGTTGTCAAGTAGAATGTTTTCTCGGGACCTGGCATAAGAGGGTGGGTGCGTGGGTGGGTAGGTAAACAGGTCAACATTGATTTCTCAACTTTTATTATTTTCGTTTTGTTTGTTTATTCTTTATCCTACTAATTATATTTTAAATTTCATTTAAGTTTTTAAATCTATCGTTTTTGAATACGTTTTTTTTTAAATTTTCTTCTTTTTCAGTCTCGAACCTGAGCGCTTCACCTACCCCCTCCCTCCCCCCGCTTCCTTGTACATGTTCATGTGTCAGGTGTAATGGCGGATGCACAGGAAAAAAAGTGAATTTCCAACGTGGAAAATCATTGGAATATAGCCAGTTTAATATTCCATGTTTGGGATATCAATGGTAAACATAGGCGATACCAGTGTTATTCCAACCTTGGTAAGTCTAAGCAGAGTTTTATAAAACCGATATAGGAAATTTATAGGAAGATGACTGGCAAATTAATATAAAAAATACCAATATAGGAATATCAATGGCAGTTTACTGGAACATGAACAAAGTACACTAATCATAACAGCTTCTGTTACGTACCAATATTGGTATCCTGGTGGGAATTCACTGGTAAGTTTCTTTTAAAATTCCAATTTTGGATTAACATTGGAACACTAGTGTTGTTAAAATAAAGCATACCAATCAAAGCACAACGTTGGAAAATTAATTGTTGCTATGATGCACCATTTTTGGTATCCTGACGGGAATTCACTGGTAAGTTCTTTTTTAAGATTCCAATTCTGGATTAACATTGGAACACTAGTGTTGTTGAAATAAAGCATACCAATCATAGCACAATGTTGGCAAATTAATTGTCGCTATAATGTACCATTATTGGTATCCTGGTGGGAATTCACTGGTAAGTTTCTTTTCAAAAGCAAAGGGAAGGAGGAATTTTGAATTCCCTACGTGCGCATGCCATTTTTCTCAGACAACTGGCCTGGGTCCATGGAAGTAATACAGCAGCCGAAATATGTCGGTGATGGTTGGTGCAGTTAAAAGTAAGCAAAAAAGTGGTGAAGATCAAGGTAAATGTAGAGATTCTACACATCTTTCCACAAACTGATCGGCCTGCACACCGGGCCTGCACACGATCGGCCATTTTTCTAAGCACGTGAGAGTCTGGGGCTTATGAGTCATGCGCAGTCTATCTTTGATCGTTGCGCGCGGTAGACTGGTAACCAGCACGTCATCATTTTGTTTTGGCGCCATTTCACTCAGTCAGACGTTCAAGATGGCGGATACGGCCAAGAGACTAGCAGCTAAATACAGGAATTGCACCGACCTGTGATTGGAAGATAAAAATAGTATTTCAGTGACGATGACGTGACAATTCGTTACGTTAGCCGTTTCAAGAGTAATGGTTTTTACACGAAAAAGACAGTCCACAGGAAAATACAATATAATATTAAATATTTCTCAAAGACAAACAGTGCAGTATTCTTTTGAAGTCGGCTGACTCGCTAAGAGTCAATGTCTTATCGAAGTTGAAGTTCAACTGTCGCAAATCGGATAACTTCACTGAGTGATTCTGAGATGAAACCTTTTGTCTGCATCCACATTGATCTTAGATTTTACCACTTACATATTGAAGAAAAGCCATAAACAGAGCTTCAATGTCCACGTACATCCGACTGAACCTCGGTGCGATTCCTGCAGATACCGCTGTTCATACTAAATGCAGGAATTGCACCGGACGCGTTCTCGTCCCCAGAGTTTTTTTTTTTGAAACCGCGACAAGACATCGATCCCTTTTCAATATAGTCTTGCGACAAAGGTCTGTATTAAAAAAATTAATACTGTTGTTGGAGGGCATGCAATGAATCATGCTAAAGTTTCTATTGGGAACACAAAATAGAGGTACCAGGGAATCACAGGGAACAACTGTGTAAGTGACATAACTTTTTATTTAACTTTGTAGCTAGTGTGCCGGTGGGGGGATTCCTATACAATAGTCACAGGGCGGCTCATTAGAAAATTTAGTGTACCAAAGACTTTCTTTGACCCCTCGAGGAGTCCACTTCAACACTGTTAGCAGTAAAGTATGTGCAGGGCTTTTGTAAATGGATATTTCTATATTTACTGCCTTTCCACCCCCAATATAAACATACCAATTAAGTGAGATCAAATTCTGTGTATTTCTATGCCTTTACTGAGATGAGACAACTTGATAAGTTAGAAGACAAGCAATCCCTGTAACTTTTATACAGGAGTTTCTCCCTCAAAAAGGAAAGTGTAATTTATTTGGATTGTGTGGTTCCAGAAAATAAACATACCCACCAACCCCAAGGAAAATTCTGAAGGGGAGGGGGGTTTGAAAGGCCAAGATTTTTAAAGAAAAGTATGAAATTAACCTGGAATTTCCCGAATGGTGGGGGCATCCCAAGGAAAATACCATCCTTGGAGGGACTATGGATATTTCCTGGAACAATGCATTTATTGTTTGTTATTAATAATTTAAAGGAAAAATAACACAGTTTGTTTATATAAGTGTATATGTTGTGGTTCAATTTGATCCTTGGTTTAAATTTTAGTTTCCTTTATTGTAAACTCATTATCATAGATTACCATACACAAAAACAAAGGAAAATATAAACCAAGGACAAAATTGAACCACAACATACATATATTAAGCTTATGTATAAACTAGCCAACGTATATATCTGTTACCTAGATAACATTTCGGCAATGATTTATATAATGCTAAGAAAGTCAGACATTCATGCTCACAGCTTGGGGCTATATTTCACAGCCGGCAAAAAGTTGATTATCCCTGGTAGTAGTTTTGCAAAACAAAAAGCAAATTTAAAACAAATAGAAGATTTCAAATGTACAGAAACCAAATTAAACAGTTTTTGAGTGCATGAAACAGTACATATGTGTGTAAATACTGTCAAGAAGGTCACTTAAAACCCATCGTGTGACACAGAGAGAAGCCACTTCATTTGGTGTCATGTCATAGTTTGGAATAATATAATCAAAAGGATTCAAGTATAGAATTTCCTGAAATTTCTTTATGGAACTTTCTGGAGGATACATTTGGACAGTCAGTGGTTTAATGTATGGTTCTGAAAACCAGTTTAATTCTGCTTGGACGGCCCTTTGTAGATCCCTTTGCATAATGTACTTTTAACATATCTTTAACATCAGATATGCTAAAACATTGGGAGCCATGCTGCAGATAATAGTAACCCTTCTCTTCTTTCTGCCAGAAGCTTAGCTGCTTATCCCATGTTGTTAACAGACTAAACGGTGGTATTGTTTTCAATGAAAAGGGGTTTGTTGTAATTCTTGGAGAATCTGACACAACAACATCACCATCAGCATTTCGAGGGGATTTTGTGGGGGTAAATTGAATTCAAAGGCCTCTCTCCTGGTATGGCTGGTAAGGGCAGAAGAGGTTACTTGCTTACTGCACTTTTGCCAGTCACCAGCCTGCATGGAATAGAGTTCAGATTCATTCAGATGAGTGTTTAGTCATTGACTGCCCTCAACTCCCTCCACCCCCCAAAAAAAAAAAAATAAAAATATAAATCAATGTAGAAATGTTATCCACAGGTACACAAAGTGTAAATACAAGAGCTAATTTCAGCAAACTCTTACAGGTGGACCGCCTTTTCCCTAAATTTGCGAGTGAACATGACATGTAACTCTATTAGCTTAAAACAAGCATTGACTCGTCTTTAGTTTCTCCACAGACTTTTTTTCTGCGAAAACTCAACCCCACCCACCCACCCCCTAT